ATTGAAAAGTTTATATTAAAAGCTGAAAACGAAACGGATAACAAACTGAAGGTCCTCAGAACCGACAATGGTCTTGAATTCACAAACAGAGAAGTCCAAGAAATGTTAGATAAAAGAGGCATTAAACATCAAAGGTCAGTGGTATATACTCCTCAACAGAATGGCAGAGCTGAGCGAGATATGAGAACTCTTGTAGAAGCAGCTAGAAGTATGTTAAATGGAATGAACAAGAAATTTTGGGCAGAAGCTGTGAACAATGCTGTTTACACCATAAACAGAACCGGAAAAAGTCATGTGAGTAACAAGTCACCTTATGAAGTTTGGTATCAAAAAGATGTCAGTCTAAACCAGTTCAAGGTTTTTGGTTCAAGAGTGTCAGTACATGTTCCAAAAGAACAGCGATTGAAATGGGATTCAAAGAACAAGATTGGAATTCTAATGGGTTACAGTGACACTACAAAAGGCTATAGAATTTACTTTGAAGATTCAAATAAAGTAGAAATATATCGTGATGTTGTATTTTTACCAGAGAAAACAGACCAAAAACAAATAGAAGTTACAGAACAAGTTAACAGTAGTTTTCAAAGCGAAAATGAAGAAGATACAGAAGAACCAGAAAGTGAAAAAGAGCAAGAAGAAAGACATGACAGGTACAACCTACGCCAAAACAGACAAAGACCATCCAGGCTTGATGATTATGATGTTCAATGGGAAGCCAGTTTCCTAAGTGTATATGAAGAGGATGAACCAACTACATATGAGATGGCAGTCACATCAAATGAAAAGGACAAATGGAAAGAAGCAATCCAAGAAGAAATTAAAGCACTGGAAGACAACGAAACATGGACATGCAATGAGAAACCTTATGAAAACAGAGTTGTTGAGTGTAAGTGGGTGTTCAAAAGAAAAAGAAATGAAAGTGGTAGTGTAGTGAAACACAAAGCTCGTCTAGTAGCTAAAGGCTTTCAACAGACTGGTATGTTATTTAATGACTTTTATAGTCCAGTAGCTAAGTTGCCATCCATAAGAATTTTCTTAGCAATTTGTAATTATCTTAAAATTGAAGTATGTCAGTTAGACATATGTAGTGCGTTTTTAAATGGTACTATTTCTGAAGATGTTTATATATCATTACCAAAAGGTTTTAAACAAAAAGAAGGCACAATTTGCAAACTAAGAAAATCCTTATACGGCTTAAAAAGTTCACCAAAAAGCTGGTATAATAAATTTCATAATTTAATGTTATCCTTAAAGTTTAAAAGATCTGAAAATGAATATTGTTTTTATGTAAAAATTTCAGAAACTGACAAATTGTACATTTTAATATATGTGGATGATGTATTACTAGCAGGAACAGATAAGAGTAAAGTTGAAAAAGTTAAGAATGCTTTAAAAGAAAATTTTAAATTAAAAGATTTAGGTTTAGTAAGTCACTTTTTAGGCATGATAATTAAACAAGATATAATTAAAGGTGAAACAATAATAAGTCAAACAAAATATGTAGAAAATATATTGCAAAAATATAACATGTTAGAATGTAAATCAGTAACAACACCAATGGATGTAAATTTCAAGCATGATATTTTAAAAAGAGATTTTTCAGAGAGTCCTGAAATCGAGAATAGATGCAGAATACTGATAGGTTTGCTTATGTACTTAATGCTATGTACTAGACCAGATTTATGTATAACAGTTAGCATTTTAAGTAGATATCAGTCTTGTGCTTCTATAGATCTATGGCAGTCATTAAAGAGAATATTAAGATATTTAAAAGGTACCAAAAATTTATGTTTAAACTTTAAAGTTCCAAATGAAGATATAAACATGTTAACGGGATATGTTGATTCTGATTGGGCAGGTGACAGAGTTGACAGAAAATCTACATCTGGGTATGTATTTAAATTGTTGAATTGTTCAGTATCTTGGTGCTCACGAAAACAATGTACAGTAGCCCTGTCAACTACCGAAGCAGAATACATTGCTCTGAGTTTAGGTGTAAGTGAAGCATGTTGGATTAGATATTTTGTACATGATTTCAAATTAGATAACGATTTTATTTGTGTAAAAATCTTTGCAGATAATCAGTCCGCTATAAAAGTTTCTAAAAATCCCGAGTTTCATAAGAGACTAAAACATGTAGATATAAAGTTTCATTTTGTAAGAGATAAAATTAATAATGGTGTAGTAACAGTTAATTATTTAAGTACTGATAACCAGATAGCAGATATGTTTACAAAACCATTAAGTTTATATATGTTTAATAAGTTTAGAAACCAATTAGGCCTAGAGATTTACCATTGAGGGGGTGTGTAGAATATACAATGTTAAATCTACATATTGTTACTACAAGTAATACTGTATCTATAAGGTTTGATAGTCGTAGTTTAGATAGTTACGGTGTCTACTTGTGTTAATAGTCGAGAGTGTCGAGAATAAGAAGTTGACAGTTAAGTTTGTAAAGAAAACCCTTTTTGTTTCTTTTATAAGTTCTGTATTTAAAGTATTGTTTATTAACAATAAACTTTTACCTTTTATTGTTACTTTGATTCACGTCCAACAACAGTAACAAATATTAAAAATTACATTATTCATTGAATCCGTACGCAAGTGTGAAGGGGAATGGCTAGATTCATTATTATACCGTATGGTCGAAAAAAAACGACGTCCAGTTGGCTTGTAAATGACGATCGACGACATTCCCCATATAATTTTACATATAAAATGACAGCGATGTTCATTTCATAGCTATCGCTGACGCCGTCTTTTTTCGATGTCGTTTTGTATAGTTTTTATGTCATTTTATATGTAGAATTATATAGGGGAATATCATCGATCGTAATTTACAAGCCAACTGACGTCGTTTTTTTGATTATACGGTATAATAATGAATCTAGTCAGTTCCCTTCACACTTACTTTTACGGATTCACTGAATAATGTAATTTTTTAATATTCATTTGTGAAATTGTCATTTCCAAACAAACAAGACGCCGTTTTTTCGATCATACAGTATATATGTCTATACACGTTTAAAACATATGTTATTACATTATTTTTTATTTAATTAATCATTATACAGACGTTAAGAAATAAATAATTGTCTTGATAATCAGTCCACTGTGACTGTTAAATAAATTTTGCATTATCGACTTAGATATTCTAATATTATAAAGGTGAGACTATAAAATACAAAATTGTATATGCTTTACTCAAAAATGAACGATATATTAGTTAACGTTTTAATAAATATTTTGTACCGTCTAGGTACAAGCTAATTTCTGATGCTACGCCATTGGAGAATTTCGTGTGGTGACAACTTGCCTCACTTTCAGCTGCCGTGTTACCCTTGTGTTACCTGTACCCTCTCTTTCCTTGTCTAAGATTTCAACTTTCTCCTTTTGATCATTTTTTTCTACGCACTAACCTATCTGAGTTTAGGCGATCTAGGAGGAAAAAAGAGAAAGTCTATGCCAAATCTGTGGTTGCTGTTCTTTTAAGACCTTAAATACGAAAAAGAATAATGCTTGTAGCGGCATTATGGAAAAAGCGAGAAAATTTTGAACTAAAGTGTTTCCAAGGTTGCCAAGATATTAGCAAAATCCTGAAACTAATTTAAATCAATATTTTTGTAAGGTTAAATTGAAATGAAGCGTTACAAAATGATGATCATTGATGATAAATCCTCGATAAATCTAATAAACTTAAAATTTATAATTCAAACTTTATTTCAGCAGAATAAATAATATACTTTCTTTTAGACAGAGGAATATTTATTTATACCGCAAAAAACGACCATTCTGTTTTACATTTGTTCAATCCGACAACCTTTCTTCAATTTTTAAAAAAATTGAATGTCCTTGAAAAACGCGTCTTCATCTAGAAACGGGGAGTCATCGTCAGGTTCCATTTTTATAAAATTTTCCAACTTCACCTTCTTAGCGACAGATAAATTTTCGGCATTTCTGGAAACAATAAAAAATAATTAAAACACAATATGTATCACATTAGTAAAAATACATTTAAAAAACATACTTGAAGTCATCCTGCAAGTCTTTATGCTGAATCAGAGCAACATCATCAGGTTCTAATTTTAAAAGATCTTCTGATTTTATTTCATTAGTTGCAAAAAGACATTCAGTATTTCTGGAATTAAAAAACTATACATTATTATCGTTATATTAGTAAAAATGACATTTAAAAAAATCATACCGAAACTCATCCGTAAGTGGAGCCGAATCTTCAATTTCAATTTTTAAAGTATCTAACATCACTTCATCAGTTACAGATGTACAATCAGGATTTCTAAAATAATAAAAAAAAATAAACAGCAAAATACCGTGCGATCTAAAAAAAAATGGCGTTAAATTGGCCTAGAAGTGACGATCGATAATATCTCCCTATATAATTTTATCTATAAATGATGTAAAGCAAATAAGAAAGATGTATTTTTATTGCTACAATTTATGTGCATGTTATAAGCCCACATTTTAGACTTTCAACTCAACGTTTTGCTTTTTTGCAACCAGTCATGAACTTTAGAGCTCAAACGCACTGACGGCCAGGTCACAGCGACCGTTACTTCAGAAATTATTTGGAAAAAATCGAAATAAAAATGAAACTTCTACACCCTGTATCTCCGAAACTAAGCATTTTAGGACATACATTTATTCGAACTTTTTTACTTATTTTTATCTGCAGAATATGCTGCCGAATTTTCAGGAATACAGTTCGGACCATCCTGTATACAGTTCAACAACATGTAGGAGTCGATTCTTGGCAAATTGAAACTCTGTGTCCATTGGTCCCACTTATAATAATAACTTCACATATCCCTGCTATGATTCACAGAAAACTGTCCAATTAACCAAAGATTTTTGTTAAAAAAATTACAACAGAATCCCACATATGTTGTCATTATAGCTGGGAGGTTATTGCTAATAATTTCTACTCTTTTTTATGAAACTGTAATGATCTATGTATAATTCTTAAACAAAAAAAATACCTCAAATCAATATGATTATTCCGAAGGTGGCATTGTAAGCGTCCTTTTCTTGTATATGTTTTGTCGCAATGCAGACAAGCAAACATCTGTCGTTCTTCAGGTGCCAAGTGAGTTTTCTTGTGGCTGTTAAAATTGGACTTACTTGTTGTTTGATAGCTACATGTGGAACATTTATAGACCTTTTTCTGCAATTCCTCCAACTGTCGATCTTCCCGTGCCAAGTGAATTTTCTTGTGCCTATGAAGATTGGGGTGATATGGCGTTTGGAAGCCACATTTGGAACATCTATAGATCTTTTTCTGCGATTCCTTAAATGTCTTCGCCCTAATAGTACAATTTTTAAATATTAGTCTTCTAACTCTATAAAACATACTTTTTCAAACATATATTCAATTCTATACCACAGATTATACAGATTATAATCTTTGTTTTTTCTTTATTGTTTTTCGTGGTTCCTATTTTCGGGATCGGGCACTAGTTAGGTGACTAGTTTGCGCACATAGCACGCCCACTTATGGCCTCTAAAATTGTGCACAGCGCCTGACCGGCACAGTTATTAGAGAGATATCGGAAAACCGAATAGCGTCATCCAGTATTTACGCGTACCTTATCATGGTTATGATATGCGCAAGTCAATTTTTAACGCAACACCCGCTAATAACGTTACCGCCTGACGTAATTTGCGGATCAATTACACCAAGCGCTCTTTCTAAATAACCTCTGATAACGTTTAAAAATTGCTTAAATGGGCATGTGCGGGTATTTGACAACCGGAGCCGGCCGGCGAGATCTTTTATTTTAGGTTATGTTTGAATTGTTTTGAATTATTGCTTTTAGTTTTATTAGGTAATTTGATATTTAAGTAGTTGGGATTAGTTTTAATTAAATAAATATAGCCCAAAATATGGATTCCGCCTCTTCCAATACTAAAGAACCTATAAAGAGTCTTAGGTTTACAGCAGATGACGACTTAGCCCTTCTAAGAGAATTTGTTGCTTGTTGCCCTAAACCCACTGGCAGACGTTGAACAATAAAGCACTGGAAATAAGCACTTTAGCTCTTTAGTTTTAAAATACCTAGTAAACAAAACAATGTCAAAGTTTTAAATTCAAAGTTAGGTTAAGTTTAAATAGCGGACGCGACGCGAACAGAATTCTTTCCGATCCGATAACTATAAATGAAGAGAGTTAATACCACCTCACGTAAAGAAAATAACACCTGGCCTTATTAACGTCCATGCACGCTATTCGGTTTAGCGATATCTCTCTATTACGCTGTTTATTGTTATTTTACGCGAGTTTATTTTTGCGCACAGGAAATTTGACTCGTTTGCACATCGTCATAAAAAAACAATTTTCGTACCACGAATTAGGGACAAGATTTTTATCTCTATACTTATAGGATACCTAATCTGTGTTTATACAAACTTATTACATAATATTAATATATCAGTCTTAAAAAAAATATTATATTATTAAATTATAATTATTAAGCATCGATGTCTACGAACATCGATGTTTCGCGTCGATGTCTCATCACTATGGAGAGGCGTCGGAGCAGTGTTGCCACTTTGAGAAGCACAGCATTCTTAATTTTTGTTTTACTGAAAAGTTCCAAGCGAAAACTGTCAGAAAATCTTATCAACTAAAAATATTTAAGGAATATGCTTAGTTTTGGTATTTATTTTTTTTTTTCTTGGGATAATTAAAATTCACGTAAAATAAAAGCTCTTTCAGCATTTGGCAACAGTGTTACATTGAAAACTCTATGTAATAAAACACCATGTATCTGCCCGCGCAAGCGTGTTACTGTCCAACCCTGTTGTCACTTACTCTCTTTCTTCTTGAGGGACTTCTCGCTCTACTAGCCTTTTAGAAGTATTAATTCTATTACGTCCCACTAGTCAACTCGCATACCCAACGTTGCCGTTCGTTGTCCCTTAATTTCGCAGTTCTGCACGAGCATAAACGTTAATCGGTCGGGTATTTCTCGTGTAATCTAAACAAAAAAAACTTACCCCAGAGACTAACCAAGGCAATTAAAATACGTCTAAAGCGTATATTGATTGCTATTACCAACAACTATAAGTAAATAAAAAAATAAAAACAGCTGTAAAAAAATAAAAGAATTTTGGTTTGGGTTGGGATACGATCCTAGGACCTCTCGTTCCCGAAGCGACGACTTTACCAATGGATCCACAGTTGCTCTTGCAAAATTGGCTATAGCTAAGCTAGGCGTTGCTATCCACCGCTCTTAAAACCGTTCATAAAATAAAGCGACAGCAAACGGCAACATTCTAGAAGTTTCTCAGTTCACATTTATACCCCTTGTTATAATTAAATATAAAAACACAGACAACTGTTCAACTAACAAAAGATTTTTGTTAAAAAAATTACAACAGAATTGCTAATAATCTCTACTCTTTTTACACGGAAGTGTAATGATCTATGTATAATTCTTAAACAAAAATAAATTTACCTCAGATCAATATGATTATTCTCAAGGTGGCATCGTAACCATAGTTTTGTTGTATATTTGTTGTCGCAGTGCGCACAAGCAAACAACTGTCGTTTTTCCCGTGCCAAGTGAATTTTCTGGTGCCTATGAAGACTGGCCTGATATGGCGTTTGGAAGCCACATTTGGAACATCTATGGATCTTTTTCTGCGATTTCTTCAATGCCTTCGCCCTAATACTACAATTTTTAAACATTTCAGTCTTGTATTCTTATATCCACAAAAATATATATGATCTCTGTACCATATGATCGAAAAAAAACGGCGTTCCGTTGGCTAGGAAATGACGATCAATGACATTTCCCATATAAATTTACATATAAAATGACAGCGATCTTCTTTTCATAGCCATCGCTGACGCCGTTTTTTTTTTGAATCATAAGGTATAATAATTCTTAAACAAAAATAAATTTACCTGGAATCACTATGATTTATATCAAGGTGGCTTATTAAGCTTCGTTTTGATGTATACTTGTTGCCACAGTGCTCACAAGCAAACATTTGTCTTTCTTCCGGTGCCAAGTGAATTTTCTTGTGATTGAAAAGATAGTACTTTACTGGCGTTTGATAAACACATATGGAACATCTATATACCTTTATCTGCGATTCCTTCAATTCGTTCCCCCTAATAAAATTTCATTTAAATATTACAGTCTTATAATTCTATAAAGCAGGCTTTTTCAAACATATAACCTCACATATATGTTATAAGTTATAATACACAGATGATTGTTAAACTAACAAAATATTTGTTAAAAAATTTACAAAAATTAACAGGATCCCCAAATATTGAAATAATGGTTTGGTTTGGGAGATTATATATATTATAGCCTTATTTCCACGTATAATGATCTATGTATAATCCTTAAACAAAAATAAATTTACCTGGAATTAGTATGCTTATTGTAAAGGTGGTTTTGTAAGCCTTCCTTTGACCTATATTTGTTGGCACAGTGCTCACAAGAAAGCAGCTGTCGTTCATTCAAGTGATTTTTCTGGTGCCTGTTAAGATTGTGCTTACGTAGTGTTTTGTAGTTACATGTGGTACATGTATAGACTTTTTTCTGCGATTCCTTCAATTCCTTCTCGCTAATGGAACAATTTTTAAATATTAGTCTTGTAACTATATACATATTGTTCTATATGTATATGCTTGTAACTCTATAAAACAGGGTTTTACAAACATAACTCCACATATTATATGCCGGTTATAATTAACAGACTCTTGCGTTTTATAGCTACATGTGGAACATCTATAGATCTTTTTCTGCGATTTCTTCAATCCCTTTGCCCTAATAGTACAATCTTTAAATATTAGTCTTGTAGCTCTATAAAACAGGATTTTTCAATCATATAACTTCACATCCCCTTATATCCCTGCTACAATATACTCAGCTATAATTCACAGAAATATTGCGCTAAAGAGCAAGTCAGCATGCAAATCTTTATACTGTTTGAGAAAAAAGGAGAAGAACTATTGCGCTAACAAAAGGTTTTTGTTAAAAAAATTACAACATAATCATCGATATGTTGACATTATAGCTGGGACGTTATTACAGAGCTTTATATCAAAATATAATAATAACCTTAGTTAGCACTTAGCTACTGGGAATTAATGTACCGATTATTCATAAGATTCTAAATTTCTACATAACAGAAGGATCATACCCCTCGACGGATCATACTTACATTTTTAAAACTGTAACTTCATCTATATTATCCATAGTTTCTAAAAGGAAATATCAGTATAGAGGCAAAATAAATTAACCAATTTCAGTTCACTTATAAATTTCGCCCTTGAGGAATTGAAAATTTTAGGAGTAATCTTGGAGAGAACCTAATGCAGAGCAATTAATATATCACCAATTTATTTATTTTTAATGACACAGTACACACCTATGGAATAAGTATATAGAAACTACTTAGTCTTTACATAATGTACCTTTTCTCTGGTATTTACAATTTACAACCCCAAAATCATAGAGAAATATAAAATGTTTCTTATTTTTTACTTTTTTCAAATATTGCTCCAGTCAAATGATTAACCATAGATTATAAATTATAATTTCAATTTTCTCCTTTTGATCATTTTTTTCTACGCACTAACCTATCTGAGTTTAGGCGATCTAGGTGGAAAAAAGAGAAAGTCTATGCCAAATCTGTGGTTGCTGTTCTTTTAAGACCTTAAATACGAAAAAGAATAATGCTTGTAGCGGCATTATGGAAAAAGCGAGAAAATTTTGAACTAAAGTGTTTCCAAGGTTGCCAAGCTTTTAGCAAAATCCTGAAACTAATTTAAATCAATATTTTTGTAAGGTTAAGTTGAAATGAAGCGTTACAAAATGATGATCATTGATGATAAATCCTCGATAAATCTAATAAACTTAAAATTTATAATTCAAACTTTATTTCAGCAGAATAAATAATATACTTTCTTTTAGACAGAGGAATATTTATTTATACCGCAAAAAAACGACCATTCTGTTTTACATTTGTTCAATCCGACAACCTTCCTTCAAATTTTTAAAAAAATTGAATGTCCTTGAAAAACGCGTCTTCATCTAGAAACGGGGAGTTATCGTCAGGTTCCATTTTTATAAAATCTTCCAACTTCACCTTCTTAGCGACAGATACATTTTCGGCATTTCTGGAAACAATAAGAAATATTTAAAAAACAAATATGTATCCCATTAGTAAAAATATATTTAAAAAACATACTTAAAGTCAGCATGCAAATCTTTATGCTGAATCGGAGCGACATCATCAGGTTCTAATTTTAAAAGATCTGATTTTATTTGATTAGTCGCAAAAAGGCATTCAGTATTTCTGGAATTAAATTACATTAATATCATTATATTAGTAAAAATGCATTTAAAGAAAAGCATACTTAAACTCGTCGTTAAGTGGAGTGTGATCATCAATTTCAATTTTTAAAGAATCTAGTATCACTTCTTCAGTTACAGATGTACAACCAGGATTTCTGAAATAATGAAAAAGATAAACAGCAAAATATCGTGCTATCTAAAAAAATGGCGTGAAATTGGCCTGGAAGTGTCGATCAATAACATTCCCCCATATAAAGCCAACAAGAAAGATTTATTTTTATTGCTACAATTTATGTGCATGTTATAAGCCGACATTTTGGACTTTCGATTGAACGTATTGCTTCTTTGCAACCGGTCACGAACTTTATATACAGCTCAACATGTAGGAGGAGTCGATTCTAGGCAAATTGTGACTCTATTATTGGTCACGCGACTATGTGGGCGTGTCCGCACTATTATAACAGTCAACTAATTAGTATATTTTTAGGTATTTTAAAAAAATATTTTTGCTGATAATTTTCGAGTATTGGGTACGTAGATGATGTTTCATATAATTTAAAACTTTCAACTTCTTCGCCCTAATAGAACAATTTTTAAATATTACAGTCTTATAACTTTATAAAACAGTTTTTTTTAAATTCACATATTTCACCTTATCACCCGAAAAAATAGAAGATATGGCATCGTTGTAAATTTTCAAATTTCTGATTAGGTCTAGAATATATTTGTCTCTCTCATTACATAGGAGAGAGAACGAAGGATATATCAAATGTCAAACTTCCATCTGGTCTCAATTTTCTTTGTTATTTTGTTAATCAAAGTCAGTGTTGCCAGATATACCATTTAAATGGTATCTATACCATTTTTTCTTCCTTGATACCTGCAAAAATTTTGAGTATACCATTTTCCATTTTTCTACCATTTTTTGAAGACGTTACCATTTTTGGTAATGGTGTGGATCCGGTGGCTGACCTTGAAACGAGCTTTTGCTGCATATAGTCACAGACACTACGCATGTGCACATCTTCGATGTTGCCAGATTGCAAGTTATTTTGGAATTATTTTCAGTAGAATACAAATATGTGGTTTTCAGTGTTTTCAATATATACCGTATGATCGAGAAAACGGTGTTCAGTTGGCTGAGAAATGACGATTGAGGATATTTCCCATATAAAATGACAGCGATCTTCATTACATAGTCATCGCTGACGCTATTTTTTTTCAATCATAGTACGCGGTATATTATTTATATTATTACTTTAATATTTCGCACAACACGTCAACGCTTATTATGTATTTTTATAGTCAATAAAATTAAATAGAAATAAAACTCTAGATTATATCTCTTATATCTAATTGCTCTAGATTATTATGCTACGTTTAAAAAGGGCTTTATTAAAAATTCGGGAAATTAAAAGGGATGTGTCCAAGTTTTTTCTTTTTTTAATTTTTAAATGCTGTAGCTCCATGTCATGTTTATAATAGTTTTTTTAACATTCCATCAAAACTACGGAGGCCTTAAAAGGCATCCGTAATTAAAATTGTAGAATCAGCTTCAGCAACATTAACAGTTACCTTGTTTAATTCTGCTTATACATATATTGCATTATTTTTTCTGCTACCTTAAGATTTCTCTATTCTTACACCTAATTTATGTGATTTTCTTAGCACATATGGGGGGTGGGTCCCCAAAGAAGATTTATAAACCATATTTTTCCTAATGGAAGGATGGAATAGGATATGCAAAATTAAAATATTTTAATATTTATTTTCCAGACAAAGCATAATATAGTATTAAGATTAAGACATAACAAATATTACAAGAAAGATCTTAATATAAATCACAAACTAACTAAGTCTTAATTTGGTCTTGTATAAACACAGGTATAAAACTAATAAGATCAAAACTCAACCTTCACCATATTGTCAAGATTTGGCATTATAGGAAACAAGAAATTAGTAGTACACGATATTAAATACTGTAATGTATTTTACGACACAAACCATCTCCCTTCTAAAGAGAAAAAGATAAAACATAAAGCTTATTTTAGTTTAATCACCACCCTCTTTGATAAAATATATGTCTAAAATTGCTATTAATCCACTAACTTCATATTTTTAAGAAATTATGATACAAACATTATAACCAAAGTATATTATATTAGTAACATTATAGGTAAAATGTTACCTCTATCTCCCATTGACGTGTATTGTTCTATAAGACTCGTCATATGGTAGTACTTCAATACATCAATACATATAATCAAAACTATTGTTGCCTGTAAATAACTAGAAATTAAATAACTTGAAAGAAATAAAATAATTCTAATAAGTTTAAAACCATTAGGAAAAAATCCGTAAATGGTAATTTTTAATTCTAATGTAAATATATAAATAAATGTTATTATTATTACAATTTTATATATTCAATTTTATATATCATTCCTTAATTTTGGATATCAAGATAAATCTGAAATTATAAAATTAATTATAGAATTTGTTTTATTATTGATTAACAATCAAAAAAAAAATTTTAACTGCAGATAATTCGAAAATAAACTGCAATTTGGCAACATCGACGATGTGCGCTTGCGTAGTATCGCTGACCAAATGCAGCAAATATGGGCTTCAAGGTCAGCCACCGGATCCACACCTTTACCCCATTTTTCTACCATTTTTTTAGAATCCCAGCGATCTACATTTTTTAAACTTTTTAATGCAAACCAATCTAGTTTTCCACATCTACTAAAAATATGAAGCACATCTCTATTAGGCTATCTCATATCTCTATTATTTTTTATAGGTATTATTTCTTGAAAAGTTTTACCTATTTTATTCTAAGTCTAGGTTTTACCTATATTTTCAGAGCCAAATATGTAGATTATTAATGCTGAATTATTAATAATATATTTTATGTTACCTATCTATTTAAAATGTTCCCATTACCTTATTATTATATTAGGTCTGTTCGTTTTCCTGTTATTATCGATTCTGAATTGTCCAAGAACTCTCCAGCGCATGCGCAAATGAAATAATGTCTTCATATTTCCTTCTGCGCATACGCATCACAATTCTAGGACGGTTCAGAATCGGTAATAACAGGAAAACGAAAAAAGCTATTAATTATACCTATTTCTTTTATTATTATTTTGCATAAATAAAATGTTAAAAAAAAATTAAATGCCTTGCGCAAGAGTTCAAAACTGATGTGACAACCAACAGCTACGATGTTTTCAACCAAAATGAGGTTCGTTTGGTTTTTGGGGTTAATCCACGGTTAATCATAGTATCAAAATTATAAAAATATTAAGATCCTCTTTAAAAGTAAAAATACCATTTTTTTTTCAGTCAAATACCATTTTTTTAAATACTCGATACCACTTTTTATTTTTTCCATCTGGCAACACTGATCAAAGTGTTTTTCAGTAAACTTTTGGACATTTTTCTATCCCTAATCAAGTGTAGCTTTTAGATAAACTATAATATAATGAAAATATAGTGAAGTTATTACTTATTACTTATTACTTTATAGGGCCGAAATAAAGAAAAATTCAATGTTAAATAATTTTCCGTTTTTCTGAAAAACGGTAAGAGACCGCCAAGAAAAAAGTTCAGATTCGTAATCTACGACCTCAAAATACCAATTTTGGTGAAAATCGGACGATTTCTAGTTTTCCCAATAATTACCTATGCTTATTATAAAGGTGTTTTTGTAAGCCTTGCTTTGACCTATATTTGTTGAAACAGTGCTCACAAGAAAGCAGCTGTCTTTGTTCCGGTGGCAAGTGAGTTTCCTTGTGTTTGTCTAAATCTGCCTTACGCTGCGTTATGTACCTACATGTGGCACATACATAGACTTTTCTCTTAGTTTCCCTCAATTTAGTTACTCTAGAACAATTTTTAAATATTAGTCTTGTAACTATAACATATGTAACATATTGTTTTATATGTATATGCTTGTATTTAGTCATTGCTTGTAACTGTATAAAACAGGGTTTTACAAACATATAACTTCACATATATAACCGTTATAATTGTAAGAGACTCTCCCATTTTATCACTACAGGTGGAACACCTATAGATCTTTTTCTGCTATTTCTTCGATCCCTTCACCCTAATATTACAATTTTTAAATATTAGTCTTGTAGCTCTATAAAACATGGTATTTCAAACATATAACTTCACACCCCCCTCATATCACTGCTATAATATACTCTGCTATAATTCACAGACAACTGTTGCGCTAACAAAAGGTTTTGGTTTAATTTTTTACAACATAGTCATCGATATGTTGACATTATAGCTGGGAGATTATTACAGCCTTATATCTAAATACCGTATGATCGAAAAAAAACGGCGTCAGCGATGGCTATGAAATGAACATCAATGACAATGTCATTTTATATGTAAAATTATTTGGGAAATGTCATTGATCGTCATTTTCAAGCCAACGGGACGCCGTTTTTTTTTCGATCATACGGTATAATAACCTTAGTTAGCACTTAGATACTGGAATTAATGTACCAATTATTCATAAGAATCAAAATTTCAGATCATACTTACACTTTAAAAACTATTACTTCATCCATATTATCCATAGTTTCTAAAAGGAAATATCAGTATATCAGTTGTATAGAGGTAAATAAATAAACCAATCTCATTAGAGACTGGAGAGAACCTCCTGCAGAGCAATTTTACTTGATGTACCTTTTCTCTGGTATTTACAATTTTTAACCCGTAAATCACAGAGGAATATAATATCTAAGACTTATTTATTTACTTTTTTGGAATATTTACAGGCAGATTTAATAGATTATTTATTTACTATTGCTGTACTTGTTTGTATTTGTACCACAGGTTAGTACTTTTTTATTCGTCTCTGTCTAATAATTAACCATAGATTATAACTTTGACTCTCGTTGATTATTCTTTTTCTAGACACTGGCCTAATGACCTATCTCAGTTCAAGCCATCTAACAAGAAAGAAGAGAAAATCTATATCAAATCTGTGTTTTTTTTTCCTATTTTTGGCCACTTGTCTATTACGACATTCAGCCAGCTTATTTCTTGATATTTAATTAGCGTTTAAAATCGGACAAATACAGACTCACACACACATTTATCACCCATGTCCGAGGGCGGAATCGAACCGGCGACCTTGCGTCTACTAGAATGCGACGCAATCATTTCGACCACACGGCCGACAAATCTGTGGTTACTCATTGTTTCGAAACGTAAATATTAAAAAGAAGAAGAACGTTACCGGGAATCTGTGGTTATTGCTCTTTTAAGTCCTGAAATACCAATTGGAAGAAGAATGCTGGTGGCGCCATTATAGAAAGTGAGAAAATTTTGAACTAATGTTCCCAAGGTTGCCAAGATAGCAAAATACTGAAACTGAAACCCTTAATCCACAGCCTTAATCTAATGGTGCGTTTAGACTTGATCCTCCGCGAATGCTCAAGTGTAAACGGCTGTGCGCGCACGCTCACTCTGAATCTGTCTGCGCGCGAGTAGCCGCAAACGTGAGCCGTCTGGTGTCGGTTTTTGATCCGTGCTCAAAGGGATTTTATGTGTGCGCCAACGCTCAGTTTGGACCGGCAATTTGTTTTGTCTGCGTTCTTGCGTGCGTGTGTGATTTTTTCGTTTTCATAAAATTATGAAGTTGATCAATGACGCTCAGCTCGTGCGTGCTCAAGTCTAAACGCACCATAAGACTGAAACCAAACTTAAACTAATTTAAATCAAGATTTTTGTAAGTCTAAAATGAAGGGATCTGTTACAAAATGGTGAAAAATCTAATTTAACCTATAATTCAAACCTTGTTTCAGCAGAATAAATAATATATTTACTTTTAGACAGCAATATTTATACAAAAAAACGACCATTCTGTTGTTTACGTTTATAAAGTCGTTATGTCGCTCTTACAATTTTTCTGATATTTTATAGAAAACATGATTTTTCTGTGCACGATTTGAGTTTATTGTGTTCCTTAAGGCCTTTTTAATCTTCTAATAATGTAAGTACCCATTATTATCGTCAGTCGTTATTGTCAGGTTCCATTTTTATAAAATCTTCCAACTTCACCTTTTTAGCGACAGATAAATTTTCGCCATTTCTGGAAACAATAAAAAATATTTAAACACAATATGTATCCCATTAGTAAAAATACATTTAAAAAACATACTTGAAGTCATCCTGCAAGTCTTTATGCTGAATCGGAGCGACATCATCAGGTTCTAATTTTAAAAGATCTTCTGATTTTATTTGATTAGTCGTAATAAGACATTCGGTATTTCTGGAATTAATAAATTACATTATTATCGTTATATTAGTATAAATGCATTTAAAGGAAAGCATACCTAAACTCGTCCTTTAGTGGAGTGTGATCATCAAGTTCAATTTTTAAAGAATCTAATATCACTTTGTCAGTTACTGATGTACAATCAGGGTTTCTGAAATAATAAAATAAATTAAACAGCAAAATATCGTGCAATCTAAAAAAGTGGCGTGAAATTGGCCTGGAAGTGTCGATCAATAACATTCCCCTATATAAAGCAAACAAGAAAGATGTATTTTTATTGCTACAATTTATGTGCATGTTATATTTTGCTTCTTTGCAACCAGTCATGAACTTTATATACAGCTCAACAACATGTAGGAGGAGTCGATTCTTGGCAAATTGTGACTCTATTATTGGTCACGCGACTATGTGGGCGTGTCCGCACGATTATAACCATAGACTTAAAATAAAATATAGACTGAACATCTCATTCATAAATAGCTGGAACATGCGGTCAGACAATGTCTAGTTATTGTTGTGTTATTGTTTTAGGTTATAACCAGTGCGACACGAGCGATAGACAGGTTGTCTCTGTCGTAACGGTCGTTCCCTGACGACTCTGCCGAGAAACACAACACTGTCTTTCGTTTCTCAAGTACATCTGAACTCTCCGTATCATAGCCGGGTAATTTTTTGTTTTAATGAGCTGAAATTAAAAATATATCGTATTTAAACTTTTTTATATTTGATTAAGATTTAGGACAGGTTTTTTTAAATAAAAGTTTAGAAAAAAGTCCAAAAAGGATAAAAATAATAAAATACACGTTATAGAAGACATTTTATAATCGAAATTACGTAATTTTTGAAATTAATAATAAATTATTAATTTTAGTGAAACATTTGCAACCCTTAATATTAATCAAAACAGGATCTATTCCACAGATATAATAGAATCGGCGACAGGGGGAGAAAAAAAATATGATTGTTGTAATTTTTTTTCTGGTTAAGTGATGTCTTATTATGTAAATTAGAGAAAACATAAATCTGTTCCATTAAAGCAAGGAAGGTGATAGGAAGTGGATAAAATGAAAACTACATTTATTTAACTCGGTACTGTCTTTATTATACCGGGTGCGTCCAAAAGTGGCTCATCCCCATAATTTTTTTATATTTTCAAATAAAATACAAGATTTAGTATGTTAGTATATGACATAAATTAGGATTGATTGACGCATTCAATTGTTTTTGGTCACTTCCTGTTTCACCGGAAATGACTATAACTTTTAATTTTTAAACGGCACCCTTGGTATATTTCTACTTTATTCGATAGAAAATGACACTCTGAATAGAATGACATATCATATGTCAACTTTTGACATTTTCGCATATGGTTTAATTGTAATTGTAACACGCGGTTCATAACGACAATTTGACTCGAAATACCAAGTGTGTGGTATCAATATATTCATAAAAAAATGCTTTTTCCAAATATGCTAATGAGTCACCCTTGTTCCATTTGAAAAAATTGACATATGTATGATTAAAAATACGATTTGTACATCTTTTAACCGGCCTAGACAAGACACGAAACCTATTAGACGATCAAAACTATTTTTCCAAGACTCCTTAATTAAAACTTAGTGTTTTTAACAACACCATGGCACCCTGGATTGCAATTTAAAATACGATTTGTTTTTAAACGACAATGTCAAAAGTTGACATATGATATGTCATTCTATTCAGAGTGTCATTTTTTATCGAATAAAGAGCAATATACCGAGGGTGCCTTTAAAAATCAAAAGATGTAATCATTTCGGTGAAACAGGAAGAGACCAAAAACAATTGAATACGTCAATAAATCCTAATTTATGTCATATACCTACTAACATAAAAATCTGTTTTTTATCTAAAAAATAAAAAGTTATAGGGGTGAGCCACTTTTTAAGACGACCCGGTATATTAAAAATATTGTTTCATAATTTAATATCATTTTAAAATTCTTGTATGTTATTTTAGATTTTGAAGATAATTTTAGAATAAACCGGAATATATTTTTAATAAAAACATTATTAATTATTAACAGGGTTATAATTATGATTTTGTTACAATGTAAGTAAGTAAATAATGTAATGTAAGAGAAAAAAATCAGATTTTACATTTTACTAAAATATTATCTAAATAAGAGCCTTTCTACAACAACGCTACTGACTCCTAATGGGTAAATTGAGAGTTGCCTACCGGTCGAAAGTCGTTTCAAGACTTAAATGGATTATTTAAGTCAAATTCCTTGCAAATTTGGCACTGGCGAACCATATTTTATAGTTCTTGAACAGAAAAAGTCAATAAAATAAACACTTAACGGCTACAAGCTAAGAAAATGCGTTAATACAGCCGGGAACATAGCGGCAACAAAGCTTTACCGCACACGTGCGACGCGTACTACAAGGTAATAAATGAATGAATAGGCTCCCTCGCCTCTAATCGGTGTTGTCATATTGTAAAGAACTTATCCTTTTTAAACAGTATCCGACTTATAATTTAGTAGTATAAGGACTATTTAATACATCTATGGAATATTAAAACCTACTTTATTAAACTGTAGTATTAATATCTCAATATATGTGTATAACAAAAAAAAAATATTGATAATATTAAAGACGTGACAACATAGGCTGGATGAGGAAGGCTCGGTCGACTGTACCCAGAAGTAAACATGTGTATAAAAAAGATTGTTTGACCGCGTTGAGATGTAAATAGTGTAGTCTATATTTTATTTTAAGTCTATGATTATAACAGTCAACTAATTAGTATATTTTTAGGTATTTTAAAAACATATTTTTGCTGATAATTTTTTAGTATTGGGTACGTAGATGATGTTTCATATAATTTAAAACTTCATACAAATTGTACATTACCACTATCTATAAATATATAGTGTGTTTCATATAGAGCATTCAACTCAATTATGAGCAGTGAGCAGTTCATAATCGAGGCATCATTTTAATTTCGAATATAATAAATATAGTTAAACAATTTTTACCTGGAACAAGTAGGATTATTCACAAGGTGGTGTTGTAAGTCTTGTTTTTTCATATATGTTTTGTCACTGTCTTGACAAGCAAACAACTTTCGATCTTCTGGTACAAAGTGAATTTTATTGTGTCTGTTAAGCCTGTACTGACGTGGCACTTTCTTCAACTTCTTCGCCCTAATAGAACAATTTTTAAATATTACAGTCTTATAACTTTATAAAACAGTTTTTTTTAATTTCACATATATTTCACTGCTATAATTTGCAGATAACTATAACTAATATATAAGATATTTATATATATATATATATATATATATATATATATATTTCACTGCTATAATTTGCAGACAACTGTTGAACTAACAAAAGATTTTTGTTAAAATTTTTTCAACAGAATCACCCATGTGTTGACATTACAGCTGCAGGGTTATTGCTAATAATCTCTACTTTTTTTTACATGAAAGTGTAATGATTTAATGATCTAGGTATAAGTTTTAAACAAAAATAAATTTACCTGGAATCAGTATGTTTTTTAACAAGGTGGCTTTGTAAACACAGTTTTGTTGTATATTTATTGCCGCAGTGCGCACACGCAAACAACTGACGTTCTTCCCGTGCCAAGTGAACTTTTTTGTGCCTATAAAGACTGGCCTGATATGGCGTTTGGAAGCCACATTTGGAACATCTATGGACCTTTTTCTGCGATTTCTTCAATGCCTTCGCCCTAATACTACAATTTTTAAATATTAGTCTTGTATTCTTATATCCACAAAAATATATATGATCTCTGTAGCATATGATCGATATGTCGTTTGGAAGCTACATTTGGAACATCGATAGATCTTTTTCTGCGATTCCTTCAATGCCTTCGCCCTAACAATATTACAGTCTTGTAACAAATTTTACAACATATGTTGACATTATAGTTGGGAGATTATTATAGCCTTATATCCGCAACAGTATATATTATCTATGTATAATAATCCTTAAACAAAAATAAATTTACCTGGAATCAATATGATTTTTATCTAGGTGGTATTGTAAGCATCGGTTTGTTGTATACTTGTTGCCACAGTGCTCACAAGTAAACATTCGTCTTTCTTCTGGTGCCAAGTGAATTTTCTTGTGTTTAAAAAGATAGTACCTTATTGGCGTTTGATAGACACATAAGGAACAACTATATAACTTTATCTGCGATTCCTTCAATTCATTCTCCCTAATAGAATTTCATTTAAATATTACAGTCTTGTAACTCTATAAAACAGGCTTTTTCAAACATATAACAGGGTGTCCTCACATATACAGGGTGTCCCACTTAAGATGGACACAAGCCAATATCGCATTTCTTACCCTCGGCAAAATGTACGTCTTATAGCCATACAGCCTCCTGCCAAAAATGAAAAAGATCGCTCAACAAACAACCAAGATATTGGCTTGTATCCATCTTAAGTGGGACACCCTGTATATAAACCTGTTATAATTTCACAGGTGACTGTTAAACTAACAAAATATTTCTGTTAGAAAAATTACAAAAATGAACAGGATTCCCATATATAGAAAATATAGTTTGGTTTGGGAGATTACATATATTATAGCCTTATCATCACGTATAATGATCTATGTATAATTCTTAAACAAAAATAAATTTACCTGGAATTAGTATGCTTATTGTAAAGGTGGTTTCGTAAGCCTTCCTTTGTCCTATATTTGTTGGCACAGTGCTTACAAGAAAGCAGCTGTCGTGGTTCCGGTGGCAAGTGAGTTTTCTTGTGTTTGTTAAAACGTTTCTCATGCAACGTTATGTAGCTACATGAGGCACATATATAGACTTTTCTCTGCGATTCATTCAATTCAGTCACTCTAATAAAACAATTTTTAAATATTACTCTTGTAACTATGTAAAATACGAGAGTCTCTTACAAATTATAACCGACATATAACTCCACATATTATATGTCGGTTATAATTTGTAAGAAACTCTCGTATTTGATAGCTACATGTGGACCATCTATAGATCTTTTTCTGCTATTTCTTCGATCCCTTCGCCCTAATGGTACAATTTTTAAATATTAGTCTTGTAACTCTATAAAATAGGGTTTTTCAAACATATAACTTCACACCCCCCTCATATCCCTGCTATAATTCACAGACCACTGTTGCGCGAAAACAAAAGGTTTTTGTTAAGAAATTTACAACCATAGTTTACAACACAACATAGTCATCGATATGTTGACATTATAGCTGAGAGATTATTACAGCCTTATATCAAAATATAATAATAACCTTAGTTAGCACTTAGCTACTGGGAATTAATGTACCAATTATTCATACGAATCAAAATTTGAGATCATACTTACATTTTAAAAACTATTACTTCATTTATATTATCCATTGTTTCTAAAAGGAAATATCAGTATAGAGGCAAATAAATAAACCAATTTCATTGGAAATTGGAGAGAACCTCATGCAGAGCATTTACTTAATGTACCTTGCCTCTGGTATTTACAATTTTTAACCCTTAAATCATAGTGGAATATAATATCTAAGACTTATTTATTTACTTTTTTGGAATGTTTACAGTATGGTTTACAGGCACTTGTTTATTCTTGTATTTGTCAATTTGTCTAATAATTAACCATAGATTATAATTTTGACTAGCTTTGATTATTCTTTTTCTAGATTCTAGCCCAATAACCATAGACTTAAAATAAAATATAGACTACACTATTTACATCTCAACGCGGACAAACAACCTTTTTTGTACACATGTTTACTTCTGGGGTGCGACTTTGTTCAAGTTAGCAACCGATCGTTTAGAAGCGATGTCGAAACCAGATCGATACTATGTTCATTGCAAAACTAGTGTCGCTCAAATGCTGCGAAATATGGTATCACTATCACACTCTTGCACACGTGTCTAGACTGTCGCCTCGCCACAAAGCTAGAAATCAGAATATCGCTACAAATCGATGTTGCTACTGAACATAGTGCATCAAGCTACAAATTACTTTGCTATCGCTTTGAAACATGAACAAAGTTGCACCCCTGAAATGAAGGGAACCGTTACAAAATGGTGAAAAATCTAATAAACCAGAATTAACCAGTTTCAGCAGAATAAATAATATATTTACTTTTAGACAGCAATATTCATGCCACAAAAAAACGACCATTCTGTTGTTGACGTATATCACACGTATATAAAGTCGTTATATCCATAGATAAAAGAAAATAATCTACTATTAAGATAGATATGAAACTTAATAGTAAAATTTTTGGGTCAAAGCGCCCCTCCGTGTTTTTAGTGGACACTACGTTTAACCCAGCGCCTTCGCCTTTTCTGCTGTAAATGTTTTTTATGTTTATATTTGAATTGAAAGGATTTATTTTTAGTTACACTGATATATTGGTATATCAGAGTAACTTTAATAAAACATAAGAATATATATATATATATATATATATATATATATATATATATATATATATATATATATATATATATATATATATATATATATATATATATATATAGTACAATTCTTTAAAAGTTCCTCTAATATGGCCGACCTAGTTAGGGAAAATTGGTAATTTTTTTTAATGAAAAAATAAGTTGGCGTTAGCGAATTAAGAAATTGATTTAGTCTTTGGTTAACAATAACATTTTTCAGGATTGTCAAGTTGACGTTAAAGTTAGGTTATTAGGTGGTTGTCAAAAATAAAACATAGATTATTGAAATTATTTAATAAGAATAAAGGTATTTTACAGCAGATTCGAAGAGATTTTACTTAAAGGTATTTTATAAACTTTCTCAGTGAGAATATTAACTCCCCCTGTTTCTTATATTTCAGTTAAAGGGACGTAAGAACTATAGGAAGTGAATTTTTGTTTTCATGTTTTGACGATATCTGAGAGTTCCTAGAATTATCAAGATTATTGAATAATTATAGCTGTTTAATAAGTGAAATTAATAGAAGACTTGGAAATAGGATGATTCGTTTCATGTTATAGTTTATAGATTACCTGATTTCTCTTAATTTGTTTTTTTATTTCAGTACAGTTAATCACAAATTGAATTGATGTGTGCAAAACAGCTATATATTTTCAAACATCTTATTTAAATAGTTTTTTTATATACTGTTAAACTGTTTCAACTACAAAGCTTTAGCAAAAGTTATAAGGTAATAAATTTTGTAGATATAATTTATGAAAATTTATATATAAAGTTTAGAACACAATCCTCTGAGGGGAAAAGACATACTCAAAACTCATTAAATATACTTTTATTAAAAAATAACAACATACAAAAACAGCCATGCAAACTGTAATAATCAGAACATTATCCACATACCTTTATTAAATATGTTATGACACTCCTGTCAAGAAAGCCAGAAATGTTTGTTTAAATATTAACTTATTTTAAATTGCCAGAAACACATCAGAATATGTCACAACCACAACTATAGGTTTGGAATCAGTACTAAATTTTATACCTAGTAAGTAATGTGTGAACTAACAAGTATAGGATAAAAAAGAATTATTAATATAGGGTGTACTATACAATGTCCTGCTTATTTATGAAATTACTTTCCCTTTCAAATCACGAGGAATACCAGTAAAATAAAACATAATTTTTGATTTGGTTTGGTGTTTGATATTCTAACTACATCTATTACAAACCTTAAAGTGCTTTTAGTGAGTAACTGTATTTTTTTATTATTCTTTGTGCATCCTGTAAAGTAAAAAAATATATATTTCAAGAAATATATAAAAAACAATGCAATAGATATTAGCATATCTCTCAACAGATTCATAAAAACTACTTACAATTATTATTGTACATATTATATATTTCAAGTGTTATTTGATCTTTGGTCCCATTACCAACATTACCTTATTTAAGTATTCTCTACTAACTCAACTTTTAAACCTGTTTTAAACCTTCTTTATATTTTAAAATTGATTTACAACAATCTGTAATGCCCGCGCTGTTTCCTGAAATATAAGTTTTAATCTATTTATTATCATATACATATTACAAACCTGAAAATTACTGATCACGAGGGAAACTTCTCAAAATAATTAGAGACCTTTTACAAACATCTGGACTAATTTATTTTCACGAATTTGTGGACGAGTCAACATTTTCTAATACGTTTTTAAGCGTTTTACACATTTTGAATATCTTCCAGCCTATTCCCTCTCAGTTCTTGATCGGTGAAAAGATTATTTATAACTTATAACTATATATAATTAGTACTGCAGGCTGCACAAAGAACAAAATCAAGTAGAAATTGTGAATAAAATCTCAAAAAATAATGAAAAATATTTAGAAAAAGGAACGGTAAACGTCAGTGTCTGTCAATGTCAGCCAAGTGTCAGAGTTCAATTGGATTTACCACAGATTATCAATTTGAACGATTTGAACTACAGTCGATTCCAGTCTAGAGATTTTCGTTTTTTAAGCCTCCCATACTGAAGTCCGCTGCATATTGGGAAGTTTTAAATGAATACACAAAAGTATATATATATATATATATATATATATATATATATTTTACAATTTATTTTTTTATTTATTTTACAGAGTTTCAAACAACGAATACATACCATATATTTTTCTTTTATCTAAGATACATACCTTATCGTCTTTTGGAAACACGTACATTTTTGCAGTTTTGTTAGTTTCTTTGCAAGATGCAACACAACAAGAAAACACCATTTTTACAGTTAATAAATAATAAAACTTTTTCTGACTATGATATTTAAAATTTAGATAGATGGAAAATTAAAAAACAAACGAGTATTTGCAAACGCAGGCCCAAATTCAATAAAAATCAAAATTTTTCCTGCGAAAATCAGGCTTTTTTCACTTAAAATGTATTTTTTGATTTATCAGCAGTCATTGTCAAGTTGACAATATACAGGGTGTTTTCGAATTAGTCTAAAAAAATTATGGTGTGATTCCTCATGTGTTCTTAAAACAATTTTTATATAACCATTGGGTCTAAAGTACTTCCTTTCTGATCTACAGGGTGTTAAAATTTAAAAAAATCGATTTTTTTGCTTAACATAAATGGTACACCACTGCTTTTTTAAAGAAAATATATTTTTTTCTTGACTGGCCATCCTTTTTCAACAAAATTGATCTTTTGAGTTTTTCTTGTTCATCAAACGGTTGTCGAGAAAAAAATAAATATACTTATTAAGAGCCCGCCTTAATTCGTTTTCTAACGATTTTTTATTTTTTAGATTAATTAGGAAACACCCTGTATATGCATATCACAGGCAACCAAATAAACTACTAACCTCTAAAAATAATTTTTCCTACCACTAGCGACATACCGTGTTTTTAGTGTGTACTAAATTATTTTATCAAAATTTCACCATATAAGTTTCCAGGCAATGGTTATGTATCTCTTACAATTTTTCTGATATTTTATAGAAAACATGATTTTTCTGTGCACTATTTGAGTTTATTGTGTTCCTTAAAGCCTCTTTTAATCTTCTAATAATGTAAGTACCCATTATTATCGTCAGTCGTTATTGTCAGGTTCCATTTTTATAAAATCTTCCAACTTCACCTTTTTAGCGACAGATAAATTTTCGCCATTTCTGGAAACAATAAAAAATATTTAAACACAATATGTATCCCATTAGTAAAAATACATTTAAAAAACATACTTGAAGTCATCCTGCAAGTCTTTATGCTGAATCGGAGCGACATCATCAGGTTCTAATTTTAAAAGATCTTCTGATTTTAGTTCATTAGTTGCAATAAGACATTCAGTATTTCTGGAATTAATAAATTACATTATTATCGTTATATTAGTATAAATACATTTAAAAAAACATACTTGAAGTCATCCTGCAAGTCTTTATGCTGAATCGGAGCGACATCATCAGGTTCTAATTTTAAAAGATCTTCTGATTTTAGTTCATTAGTTGCAAAATGACATTCAGTATTTCTGGAATTAATAAATTACATTATATTATCATATTAGTAAAAATGCATTTAAAGAAAAGCATACTTAAACTCATCGTTAAGTGGAGTGTGATCATCAATTTCAATTTTTAAAGAATCTAATATCACTTCATCAGTTACAGATGTACAATCATCAGCATTTCTGAAAACAATAACAAAAAAATTAAACAGCGAAATACCGTGCGATTTAAAAAAGAATGGCGTGAAATTGACCTGGAAGTGATGATCAATAACATTTCCCTATATAATTTTACCTATAAATGATGTAAAGCAAATAAGAAAGGGCGTGTATGTATTTTTATTTCTACAATTTATGCCCATGTTATAAGGCCATAAGCTGACATCTTAGACTTTCAATCAGTCAGACTTTTAGTCGCAATCTTGACAAGCAAAAATAATGCTAGCAACAAATAACAAGCAATATACAGCTGGGAGGTTAAAATCAATAATATCCACGAAATAATTCTTAAACAAAAATAAATTTACCTCAGATCAGTATGATGATACTTAAGGTGCCATTGTAAGCCTTGTTTTTGTATATATGTTTTGTTGCAATGCAGACAAGCAAACCTCTGTCGTTCTTCAGGTGGCAAGTGAGTGTTCTTGTGTGTGTTAAGATGGGACTTATATGGCGTTTGGTAGCTACACATGGAACATCTATAGACCTTTTTGTGCGATTTCTTCAATGCCTTCGCCCTAAGAGTATTACAGTCTTGTAACAAATTTTACAATTCTATCTCTAGTATCTATGTATAATAATTCTTAAACAAAAAAAATTACCTTGAATCAATCTTATTATTCTGAAGGTGGAGTTGTAAGAGCTGTTTTCTTGTATATGTTTTATCGCAATGCAGACAAGCAAACATCTGTCGTTCTCCAGGTGCCAAGTGAATTTTCTTGTGGTTGTTAAAATTGAACTTATATGTTGTTTGGTAGCTACATGTGCAACATCTATAGATCTTTTTCTGCGATTCCTTCAATGCCTTCGCCCTAAGAGTATTACAGTCTTGTAACAAATTTTACAATTCTATTTCTAGTATCTATGTATAATAATTCTTAAACAAAAAAAAATCACCTTGAATCAATATGATTATTCTGAAGGTGGTGTTGTAAGCGTTGTTTTCTTGTATATGTTTTGTCGCAATGCAGACAAACAAATATCTGTCGTTCTCCAGGTGCCAAGTGAATTTTCTTGTGGTCGTTAAAATTGGACTTCCTTGTCGTTTGGTAGCTACATGTGCAACATCTATGGACCTTTTTCTGCAATTCCTTCAATGCATTCGCCCTAAGAGTACAATTTTTAAATATTAGTCTGAGTCTTGTAACTTTATAAAGGTTTTTCAAACATATAACCTCATATGGTCATTTGACATGTCATATACATGTCACATTTGACAACCCTGTCAAATATGTTTACATAAATATACGACGGCCTCCCCTAAAGAGCAATGAGAGGATTTATGTCCCGGTTATGGAGTGTAGAGGTAAGGAGAAATAACTCTTATGGTATTTTTATTGAAAAAGTGGTCACAAAATGTGGGAAGAATAAGGGTTCACTAAATGACCACAGTGCCTGCAGTGCAAAATAAGCCCTTAATTACCTTATTTTTATAACACGGTTACAGTATCAGTTACCCTCTTGATTATGACCATTCTAATAAAAAATAAAATAGAAACGATTAGTTTATTCTAAAATCGACAATATACCAGAATACCATAATGCCAGATGTATTAATATCTAATAATTAAGATATCAATGACAGTGAGTAAGAAACGACGCCTCAGTGAAGTCATGGTAGGCTTTGGAAAAAAGTTCCTTTTGACGTAATAGTATAAACGTCAAAGTGTTATTAGATCAACATTTTGATAGTCTTAGCAGCGTTTTTTCTCTTTTGAAGACAGGAATTTAAGAGGTACCCTTGGTATATATATTTAAACGTATTTGTAGGTCACAGACAACTGTTCAACTAACCAGATTTTTGTTTTGGACTAATTAAGACGTCCTCACCAAATAGACAACAGCCTGTTCTTGTAATTCCATTTTTTAATGACAAGCCTGAAATTTGTGTTGCCCATACAATGGAATATTACATAAAAATAACGTCTTCGTATCGAGAGCGCCAAAAATTTTTATTTCTAACACATAAGAAACCATATCGTGTAGCGACAGCACAAACTATAGCAAGATGGTTAAAGATTGTTTTAGTTAAGTCAGTTTTGGTTTTTTTTTATAGAACTTAGCTACTGGGAATTAATGTACTAATTATTCATAAGAATCAAAATTTCAGACCATACTTACATTTTAAAAACTATTACTTCATCTAGGTTCTGGTACCTTTTAGGTATATCGCCAATCTTGAAGTTATTGATGTAAATTTGATATTAATATGTTCTACAATTAATATTTTAACGTTTTAAGTACGGATCGTCGGCTAAACGTTTGTGATCTCAAACAATCAATAAAATTATTTTTTGACCAAATTTGAGGTTAAATATAGTTTTCTCCCTGGTTTAAATAAAACTTTATTTTAAACGTATTTGCTAATAACCTATCTCAATTCAAGCCATCTAACAGGAAAGAAGAGAAAATCTACGTCAAATCTGTGGTTACCCATTGTTTCGAACCATAAGTATTAAAAAGAAGAACGTTACTTGAAATCAGACCTCGACTTTGAGCTTGAAATCTGTGCTCTTTTAAGTCCTGAAATACCGAAAGGAAGAAGAATGCTGGTGGCGCCATTATAGAAAAAGTGAGAAAATCTTGGAACTAAAGCGTTCCCAAGGTTGCCAATATATTAGCGAAATCCGAAATCCTGAACCTAATCTAAATCAAGGTTTTTTAAGTCTAAAATGAAATGAACCATTACAAAATGATGAAAATCTAATAAACATATAAGTCAAACTTTTGTTTCTGCAGTAATAATATTTTCTTTTAGACACAGCAATATTTATACCGGAAAAATCGACCTTTCTGTTGGCAACCAAACCAACCAACCAACCTGTCCACAACCAAACCAAAACAACCGTTTTTACAGTTTTTAAATATATTTTAGATAATTCATACATGTCCTTATGTAAAATAAAGTTATAAAAAAAAAAGTTATATGAAACACACTTCATTTCACTTATAAAATTAGAAAATCATAATAAACTTGAATAGACAATATTTGGCGACATAATTCTGGATAAAGCTGAAAAATAGTATTAACAATGTGCTTATGAGGACTTTTCAATCCAAACTTGTTTTATTAATCTATGCGTAAAACTTTTATGGAAAATACCACAGCAACGAAATCAGTATAGAGCTTAAAATGATAAAAATATACATATAAAAATGAAACAATTCAGCTAATCAGATTTTTTGAATTATTAAGATTATGTCATGAAGATTCGGGTTGTAGAAGTTTTAAAATATCTTCAATTCTGACTTTTTCAGGTTCATCTACAATATCCCAGTCACTGGAATTAAATATTATTCATTAATAAACATACACAGTACAAAGTGTTAAAAAACTTACTAAAAACCATCTTGTATATCTTCGTCAGATTCTGTTTGCATAAAATCTTCTGATCTTATTACATTAGTTTCAGGTGGACATTCGACGTTTCTGGAAACAATTAAAAATATATTTGGAACAATATTACAAGTAAAAATATATTTAAAGACATACTGGGAATCATGGTGCATGTCTTCGCCCACAGCTGGAGCGCAATCATCAATTTCCATTTTTATAAAACTGTCTGTATTCTCTTCATTAGTTGTAGATATAGAGTCATCAGTTCTGAAAAAAATTAATTAAATACTCGTTGTACGAAGTAATCCAATAAAAAATCACTAGGAATTAAATGCAGTGGTGGCCAAAAGTATGGAAACTTTTTTAATTTGTCATTTATGCTGAGAAATTAAAATATGAAATAAAACGACTTATATAATCGTGACCTACAAATAATTTCCTGCAAAACCTAATACATTTAAATAAAAAATTACAGCTATCAAAAAATATATAAAAAATTATGAATATTTTCTTGGTCAAAAGTATGGAAACTTAAGAAGAATGTTTATTAAAATTCAAGATAATATAAAAATTACTCATATTTAGTGGAATATCCCTTTGAATTAATTACTTCTCTACATCTTCGTGGTATTGAATCGATCAATCTCTACTGGAAATGGTCGCCCATTCAGTTTTTAGCACTTCCCATAATTCATTTTTATTTGAAATAGAATGGTTTCGAATTTTGCTATCCAAATAGTCCCATAAATTTTCTATGGGGTTAAGATGTGGAGACTGTGAGGGCCAATCCATTAGTGGAACATTATGTTCATTTAACCAATTTTGAACAAACCGAGATTTGTGCTTGGGATCATTGTCTTGCTGGAACAACCATCTGAGTGGCATTTCTTCATCAGCATGAGGCAGCATATTATTCTCCAATATGTCTTTGTACAAAAAACGGTCCATTATCCCATCAATTTTAACAAGAGGACCAACACCTGAGCGAGAAAAACACCCCCATACCATTATACTCCCAACCCCATGTTTTACTGTGGGCATCTGGTACTTATGGCTGTACCGTGTACCTTTTGGTCTTCGGACATAATGTCTCCCGTCACTACCAAATAGTAGAAACTTGCTTTCGTCGCTAAACAGTACAGTATTCCATTTCTGTTAAGACCAGGTGAGATGATCTTGAGCAAATTTAAAGCGGGCCATCCTACTTTTCTTTGATATTAGTGGTTTCTTCACCGCAACTCTTCCAAAAAGTCCCATGTCATCCAACCTTCTTCTCACCGTGCGTGCAGACACCGATATTCCCCTTTCACTCATTTGTCGAGAAATGTCTGTGGATGTTTTTCTTGGATCTCCCATTGATATTCTCTTCATTACTTTCATTGTCCTGTTGCACAACTTTCTTGGTCTTCCTGACTTAAAAGCTATTGAAACGTTCCCTGTTTTATTAAATTTACGAATTATTTTCGAAACGGTGCCTTTTAAAATGTTTAAATTTTTACTTATTTGAATTTGTTTATAACCGCTCTTGTATAATTCAACTATTTTATTTTTTAAATCCGTAGAGAAATATTTAGACTTGGGCATGATGTTTATATTTATCTGAAGCAAATCGTACCGTTTATCAGCTTAAACTAAATAATTTTAATGTATTTACTTATGGTTTCCATACTTTTGGCTACAAGAAATCTATTGTTCTCCTACAAAAACTGCTAAACAGATTTTTTTCCCTGTGTAATTTTTGGAATATTTTTATTTGCTGATAAGCTGTTCATTTTTATATTCCTGAGAGTTTAAGCATAGCAATCTTTTCTGTGATATTTTAAAAAGTAAAAAGTTTCCATACTTTTGGCCACCACTGTATGTATAACTGCCTAGCCCCCAGAGCAGCAACAACTCAGTTTTAAAAAGTCTTAAGTCGTTTTTAAAATCAAAAGTCTTAATAGTCTAAGAGCTGGCTACATAAAAAACCTTATCATCGTTACATGGCTAATTTATTGTATGAAGTATCCTTTTGTGTAGCCATTATGAAATAGTCATGTCGGCCAGCGCGATCCCGGAGCTTACAGCGGGGGCAGCCAATCCGGTGTTTAACCATAGTAAATTTTTGTTATTTTTAATATAAAATTCAATTGAAGTGATTAAAAAGTACTCCCTCAATACAAAAAGAAATGCAACGAAGTTACAATTAAGGAATAAATAATAGATCAAATTCAACACAAATTTCACTGGTTTGAAATGACGCGTAGAAAATTGTGACGTCACCTATCAGCATTTGACTGAATAGTTGACAGAGGGCGCTCCAGCCTCTGAAGAATAATATTATGGCGTGTCTAGTTCTCTGCTACCGTATTTATACGCCATATATCTTAAAATCACGTTAGATTTTTCTATTTTTATTAAGATCGTTAAAAAATACGTTTTTTTGTGGGGTTATTCTTTATTACCCCGATATTAAATTTACTTTTATATTTTCCACTACTAGAAATTAAAACTTAAATTTTTATAATTAACAGGTTACTGCCATTTTTATCGAAGCATTAAACACTACCAAAGTTGTTCTGATGTTCGAGGCGTTCGAGGTTAGATTTGTATTTTGTTGATTTTGCGTTTGGCGTTAAATACTTTGAGTTTTCAATTTTGTTTTATTGTAGCTAGGGCTGCACCGAGTACCGAGTAGTTCGGTGCTCGGCCAGAATTTTAACCGAGTAGTATGTACCCGGTGCTCGGCCTTACTCGGCCGAGTAAGGCCGAGTAAAGTATAGTAATAGAAACAATCCATTTATGCATGTCCACAACAGATAGAAATGAGACATTTTAGCCACGAGAAAAATGTCTGTCAACAGTTTTGCACGTTTCTTAATAACAGAGAAAAGCTATTTTCGCAATTATAACACGTGTACCTTATAATATTTTTAGTGTCCAAATTTCACCCTTTCGATAGGCCGCCCCCGCTTTAAGCCCCGGGATCGCGCTGGCAGACATGACTATTTCATAATGGCTACACAAAAGGACGCTTCACACAAAAAATTAGCCATGTAACGATGATAAGGTTTTTTATGTAGCCAGCTCTCCGTCAATTTCAATATAAAGTTCAAATGACTTAAGTTTACCTAACCTAACCTAACTATAAATAGTACTAACTTAATGAACAGTGCTTTCCATAAAATCAGTAAAATGAAAAATATACGATATAATATAAATGTACTGATTTCTTTCGAAAATCGACAGCTATGAAACTATGAACTCTTCCCGGACACAAAAGGTACATTGTGAAACAGGAAATTGTAGAGAGAAACAAGCCCTATAACATATTATACAACATTTTAATGAACAGTGCTTTTCATAAAATCAATAAAATGAAAAATATACGAAATAAGAAATAATATAAATGTACTGATTTCCTTCGAAAATCGACAGCTATGAAACTATGAACTCTTCCCGGACACAAACGGTACGTTGTGAAACAGGAAATTGTAGAGAGAAACAAGCCCTATAACATATTATACAACATTTTAATGAACAGTGCTTTTCATAAAATCAATAAAATGAAAAATATACGAAATAATATAAATGTACTGATTTCTTTCGAAAATCGACAGCTATGAAACTATGAACTCTTCCCGGACACAAACGGTACATTGTGAAACAGGAAATTGTAGAGAGAAACAAGCCCTATAACATAGGATACAACATTTTAATGAATAGTGCTTTCCATAAAATCAATAAAATGAAAAATATAGGAAATAATATAAATGTACTGATTTCTTTCGAAAATCGACAGCTATGAAACTATGAACTCTTCCCGGACACAAACGGTACATTGTGAAACAGGAAATTGTAGAGAGAAACAAGCCCTATAACATAGGATACAACATTTTAATGAACAGTGCTTTCCATAAAATCAATAAAATGAAAAATATACGAAATAATATACATGTACGTATTTCTTTCGAAAATCGACAACTATCAAACTATGAACCCTTCCCGGACACAAACGGTACACTATGAGACAGGAAATTGTAGAAAGCTGACTTAAAATCAAATGATTTAAGTCATTAAAATCATTTAAGTCAAAAAAAAAACTTAAGTTTCCTGTGAGCTTCAAGCTCTGCTAGCCCCTAAATCAGATATTGCGCGTTTGTATAAAAATTATTATTTGACGCTACTTACTTGCGTTCACTATGAATACTTTTAATGTGTTTAAGCAAATGACGTTCGTAAATAAACAGGGCTTTACATATAGAACATTTATAATAATCTCCATTTTTTTTCGGGTTGTGACTGTCAATGCGTGACACGGTTGTACGTCGTGACACAATTTTTTCTGCTCGTTTATGCATGTTATACCTACAAAAAAATATTTATTTGTTAAAACAAACTGATATCTAATACAGTGTGTCGCCTCTTAAGCGACTCTTATTTAGTTATTTAGAGCCCTACAGTTGCCAATTCATCGTAGCTTTGTATTAAGTATTTTTATTTTATTATGAGATGCATTAACTTATGACATAGCATTACGTCATACACAGTTTATAGGCTTGGTGCATTTCATTTCATCAAATTCCGACTGCAGCGCTTCAAAAACCAGAAATTATCAATACATTATCAATATATTACTATATGATGCTAAGGACAATAAGACCTTCCACTCGGCAAGATGGCAGAAGGACTTCAATCCTGACCTCTGTTTCGTTAATAGGAACGACCGGAACCTTCCCCTCCCTTCCATTCGGAAAGTATTACATAAATTTCCAAACAGTCAACACAGACCAGTCCTTTTCACTGTAGGTGTTCAAGTTCCAGTAATTAGAACTGCTAAACTCAAGCGGTGGAATTCTAGAAAGGCAAACTGGAGCGTTTTCCAAGAAGCAGTTGAACTAGGAATTCAGAATCTGCCTGCTACAGTAAAGAGTTATAAGAAGTTTGTAAAGGTACTGATCAAATCAGCTAAGGAGAGCATTCCACGAGGCTTCCGTAAAGAGTATATCCCATGCTGGTCGAACGACACAGAGAACCTTAGGAGAGCATTCGAGGACACTGGCGATCCCCAAATTGCACAACAAATGATAGATTCCTTAGATTCTGCTAGAACGAAGAGATGGAGAGAGACTTCCGAAGGAATAGACTTTACCCACTCAAGCAGGAAGGGTTGGAACCTCCTTAGACGCCTTGGAGCTGCTGCCCCTCCACCCTTAAAAACACTAAGCATTCATCCAAACACAATTGCAGACCGGCTCGAGAAAGTATCCAAGATCAAGCAAGAAGATAGGGAATTTTCCAGAGAAATCAAAAAAGCTGTAACAACAACATCTCGCTCAATGCCTTCCGTCAGTGGTCGCATGATTTCTCCATGGATGACCTAAATAGCGCCTTAAAGAAAATGAAACAGGGGAAGGCTCCTGGCCCGGATGGCGTGTTTCCGGAGTTCCTAAAAAATCTCGGAAATTTAGCTAAACAATGGCTCTTGGACTTCTTTAATGACCTCCTTCGGACAGGCGAGATCCCCAGTGTTTTCAGACATTCGAAGATCCTTGCCATACTTAAACCAGGAAAACCGGCTGACGTCTCTTCAAACTATAGACCCATTGCATTACTTAGCATGACCTATAAACTGCTGGAGAGATTACTTTATAACAGAATCTCGCCATCAGTCGAAGACGTTCTTATCCAAAAACAGGCAGGTTTCAGAGCCAAGCGCAACTGCACTGATCAAGTTCTTGCTCTTTCCACTTTCATCGAAGCAGGTTTCCAGACGGGGATGAAAACTGCATGCGCATTCGTTGATTTATCATCAGCCTACGACACAGTGTGGAGAAAGGGTATGATGTACAAGCTCCAACAAATAATTCCCTGCAGAAAGATCACAAACCTCATACAGAACATGCTGAGCAACAGAAGAATAACAGTACATTTGAACGATAAAACTAGCTCCCCTCGCACATTTAATAATGGTCTCCCACAGGGGTCAGTACTCGCTCCACTTCTTTTCAACGTATATACAAATGACGTCCCGCCAACTACGGCTCATAAATTTATATACGCAGATGACATGGCACTGGCTACACAACATCAGTCCTTGGAAACAGGCGGCAACCAGCTTACGCGAGATCTTGAAATGCATGCATATTACAAGAAATGGTGCCTTAAGCCCAACCCGCTAAAATCGGAAACTGGGGCATTTCACTTGTCGAATAGGTTAGCTAAAGAGGAACTGAATGTATATTTTGGGGGAGAAAGAATTAGACACAACCAATGTCCAACATATCTGGACGTTTTTACACGACTTTATCCTATAATCAGCACATTACAAAAACCGACAGAAAATTAAATCCAGAAATAATATCTTGAGTAAACTCGCAGGAACTTCGTGGGGTGCGGATGGAAACACACTCAGAACTGACGCGCTGGCTCTAACTTACTCGGCGGCAGAGTACTGTGCCACCGGTATGGTACAAAAGTCACCACACGTATAAAATCAACGTGCAGCTCAATGAAGCTATGAGAGTTGTACCTGGGACATTAAGATCAACCCCAACAGTATGACTCCCGATCCTGGCGAATATTGCCCCCCCTCAAATTCGCAGAACAGCTATGGCACAAAAGGAGTGGATGAAGGCTTCCACCCAAGACGGCTTACCTATTCAACTGTCTATCAATCCTCCTCCTTCTAAGCGCCTGAAATCTCGCAACCCAATCTGAATGGACGACGAACTTAAGAGCGAGTACAATATGCACTCCAAATGGAACGAGCTTGTGGCTAGCAGTCTGGGAACACGCAACTTGAACTTAGTTGCCGATATATCGGGTGCCCTCCCGGGCATGGACCTTCCTCGTCATACCTGGAATCGTCTAAATCGTTTTAGGGTGGGTCATGGCAGATGCCGTGATATGCTTCATAAATGGGGAATTGAAGACTCACCAGCGTGCGACTGTGGCGCTCCACGACAAACGATGGAACACATTCTGACCGAATGTCCACCCAGAGCCTTTCCTGGGGGCATCCAGAACTTATTTTGCGCTACTTCTTCGGCAACTGACTGGATAAATGACCTCAATATAAATGTTTAATGTAAATTTTGTCCCTGACTACATATATGTTTTATATATACTTGTAATATTTTTAAGTCCTTATATTTCTCATGCATGTTTTCTTTTTTCTTTTACAACTATTTGTTTGTTTATATATGCTTATCTCTGTGTATGTTTATAGAATGTATTCACATATCCTGTATTTGTGCTTTTCGTACGAAATAAATAAAAAAATTACAGTTGAGGGTTGGAACCTTTTTAAATAGACATATAATGAGAGGATAAAATATAATTTGCAATATCAATGATATACTTTTTTTAATCAACTAGTGATTAAATGTTTTATGAACATCTTCTAAAATTATAATTATGTACCTTTAAAAAATTTCGTTATAACCGAAATAGTCCCAATTATGCCCCACTAGCAAAACTGGTGGTTAAAACTATGCTCGCTACCGTAGTTGAACTGATCTAAAAAGTTTTTTTAACTGGAATAATAAATTATAATTAAAGTTAAACCTTCTGAAGATTTCAAAATATTTACTTTTTTATTTTTATTTTTAGAATTTTCACAAATTATACTTCCTAACACCGTTAGAATAATTAAATAATAAATCTTTCGTATTCTCGCTATTTAAACCCGGGTATTTGTTTATGCTAGTTTTTTACGATATTTTCCGATGGTGGCAGCACCGGCGGAGAATCCACCAAGCCTATAGGTTCTAAGGTAATAAGAAAATAAGTCTGTCCAACAAGTCAGGGAAAGATTTGACAGACCTAATTACAAACCTATCTTGTTTTTTTAACTGTTTTTTTTTTATTTTCCGTTAACACGGCAATGCATCTCTGTAGTGTTGGCATGCCTCTCAAGAAAGTTATAGTAGCAAGTCTTGTTATTTTAATCAATAGTTATCAAGAGTTAGGTGAAGTCTGCATTTTCTTTATTTGGTGTAATGGTGTACTCAATACGATCTAGGGCGCCATCACAGTTGGAGCTAATAGCACGGCATATAAATCAATCGGCAGGCTAACTCGCTTTGGCGGGAACGCTACGCGCATATCCTCGCGCACGCCGCCATTTGCGTTTCCATCAGCAGAAAGTAACCAGTGTCGTAGTTTTTTCAGCGACAACACACAGGTACGGTAGATTCGAGTCAGTAGCGTGCGGCTTAATTTATTTTGATATTTTCTTGAGTGATATATTTTGTTTTTGTTGTTTTATTTTTGTTTATTATGTGATATATTTGGTTTTTCTAGTTTTATTTTCGTTTCTTATGTAATATGATTTGTTTTAGTAGTTTTATTCTTGTTGTTCAATAAAAGTTTCTTTCTGTTTCCTAGAGATCCTATTAGGTATGTATATATGTGATTAATTATTTTAACATATCTTAGTTGTGAAAAAAACAGTAGTATACATATTAGGACATTCAGCTAAATACGAAGACCTAATTAAAAATCTTAACAAACTTTAATATTAGTAAGATTTATTGTTAAATATTTAGTAAAATTTAATGTTGTATCTAGACATTAAAAATTAAATTTAAAAATCATTATATTATTAATTTAAATATAATTATAAAAGTAAACAAAATGAGTATATCGAAAATAAGTTAACAATACATTTTGAAGATATAAATAAGGCCCACAAAAGTTGTCTTCTGTTCATTTTGAATTTAAAATGTTTACCAATTCACTTTGTAACCGTATAAAATACAATGCGGTACCTACTTTGTTTCCTGCCATGAAAAAAAATAGATTTTTCTCAAAAAAAATTGTGGATTTGTTAATTTGTGAAATTTGAATATTAATAAAATTTGCTACGCCCATTGATGGGCATAATTTGTACGTAGCCTCTTTACATTGTTCAATAAATATTTTATTGGTATTTCTTTAATTCTTGTTTGTAACTCCTGGCATGTTTTTGTTAGTTTCATGTTTTTTAATTTTAATTATCTATTCTCTACAGTGAAATATTTAATTAATTTTTTCATTTTTACTTTTCGAGAAGTATGCGCGGTTAACGAATCATTTGTTTGGACAAAAGTATTGTGTAAATAAAATTCAGTTTCAGTCAATTACAGTATTTTTTTAATACGACCCTGTCTAACAATAGTTTATTTTCTGAGAAATTTTTTGATACGTTTTAATCCGGCCCTGAGTAGGAAACGATAATGGAGCTGTCAAGGTCAAATTTTATAGAAATTTAAAACAATGGAATCTGAGCAGAGTTAGCCTGCCGTGTGATTTATATGCAGTGCTAATAACTTGAGTGAGTGTATGATCTAAGACATAATTTTTATATTAACAATCAACTTACAGGGAATGAAAAGAGCAACTTTTAAGGTGATACTCTAAGCTAGATTTTTTGTTTTCTCTCGTTAGACAGACTATATACTGAGTTACTTAGAACATATGTTACTTAATATGACAATATCAAAGTAGATAAATAAGAAACTTACTGCTGTAACTTATCATCAGATGCTTCGCTATTTTGAACACGTTTTCCATCTTCATCGTCTTTTGCGCCGATAACTTCAACAGTAGTGGCTTCGCTGTAATGTAATAAAAATTAAATTAATATTTTTCTTGGTCCGCGGGGTTTTTCATGCTACATCGCAAATTTTGCTCCAGTTTTGAGCGCTGTTTGACATCTTAACTTAACCGACACAGCATAAAAATTATTATTAGATACTCCCTACTTACTTGCGTTCACAATGATTAATTTCAAGGTGATTAAGCAAATAATGCTCGTAAATAAACCGGGCGTTGCACATAGAGCATTTATAATACTTTCCCTCTTTTTTCGCTTTGGGTCTGTCAGTGGGGGGTTTCAAAATGTTTTTACGTTGTCTAGTCTTGAAATTACGTTGCGACACCTTTTCTTCTGCCCCCTTATTCAAACTACAAAAAAATTATATTCTTAAAACAAACTAGAGGTGGGAATTCTAGTTCCTTGGGAGGAACTAGTTCCTTAGTTCTAGTTCCTCCAGGGGAATAGTTCCTCAAACTAGGTCTTTAGTTCACAATAGTTCCCGACTAACATTGGCATCCCTGTTGCATACTAATGGGTTTCGTTGTCAGTCAGAACTATTCACAGTATGATCTGTATAATTTTAGTAATGTACGAAATATAACGAGACGTGTAATTGTGTATGTTAAAAACATATAGGTAAGTTTTATTGCAGATAAAAAAAAATAAAAAATAAACAAAAATATACAAAAATTTTACGAAAAATTGCATTTTTCCTCACTTCAAGATTTTTGTTTTTGTCTACAAATTTAGAATGTATCTACTTCGTTTTATAAGATATTTCTTAATTTTAGGGATCTAAAGTGAACTGGAATGTCCGTAGCGCCGCGCGATCTCGATCGGGGCGCGTTCGCTCCAGCCGTCGCGCTCCTAGAGTTGTAGTTCCCTGTCGCGAACAGAAGTAATTGCTGTAACTGGGCATCGACGCTCGACATCGGCGGCAACCTACTTCGCTCCAGCCGTCGCGCTCCTAGAGTTTTAGTTCCCTGTCGCGAACAGAAGTAACTGCTGTAACTGATTATCGACGCTCGACCTCGGCGGTCACGTACTTCGTTCCAGCAGTCGCTGGAGTGCTTCTAGGGTTTCGGTTTTACCTGTCGCGATTCGTCGCGTCGCCGTCACGTATTATATATCGGTCACAGCCTCGATCCCGGAATAAGTTCTGAGGAACTAGTTCTTTGAGAAACTAGGAACTAGTTCCTTTCATTCCGGGGTCGGAATAGTTCATTGGAACTAGTTCGTTCACGAACTACACACCAGGGTTCAGAAGTAGTTAATTAAGACGTAATTTACCTGATTAACTACATGTAGTTTTTCTTCAAAAACTACGTCTTTTCCCGTTCATTAGCTACATGGAAACTACGTTAATAGACTATGTATTGATATTATGAATAGTTTTCCTTTGTATGAGGTGTAATAGAGATAATATGATGTAAATATTATATTTAAAGCCATATTTCTTCTGTTTTCTTAAATTCATTATGTGTTTTTAAAGCTTCAACTTATTATAACCTCACCTCAAACTTTTGATATTTAACATAGGTTCCATAAACTACACCCTCTACATAAACTACATTAACTACATGTAATGTAGTTTATGTAGTTTTTAAAAGTAACATGTAGTTTTCCGAACCCTGCTACACACCTCTAAAACAAACTGATGTCTAATACAGACTCTTATGTGACTCTTATTTAGTTATTAAAAGCCCTACACTAGTTGTCTATTGATCGTAGGCAGGAAACGGAAAAAGACGTAGTTTTTGAAGAAAAACTACACGTAGTTAATCACGTCTTAATTAACTACTTCCGAACCCTGCGTGGAAGTGGCGATCGATAACATTTGCCTATATAATTTTACCTATAAATGATGTAAAGCAAATAAGAAAGGGCGTGTATGTATTTTTATTTCTACAATTTATGCCCATGTTATAAGGCCATAAGCTGACATCTTAGACTTTCAATCAGTCAGACTTTTAGTCGCAATCTTGACAAGTAAAAATAATGCTAGCTACAAATAACAAGCAATATAGCGCTGGGAGGTTAAAATCAATAATATCCACGAAATAACTCTTAAACAAAAATAAATTTACCTCAGATCAGTATGATAATACTTAAGGTGCCATTGTAAGGCTTGTTTTTGTATATATGTTTTGTTGCAATGTAGACAAGCAAACTTCTGTCGTTCTTCCGGTGGCAAGTGAATATTATTGTGTCTGTTAAGACAAGACTTAGAAGGCGTTTGGTAGCTACATGTGGAACATCTATAGACCTTTATCTGCAATTCCTTCAATGCCTTCGCCCTAAGAGTATTACGGTCTTGTAAGAAATTTTACAATAATTCTGTTTCTAGTATCTATGTATAATAATTCTTAAACAAAAAAAAAATACCTTGAATCAATATGATTATTCTGAAGGTGGCATTGTAAGAGTTAATAATAATGCTAGCTACAAATAACAAGCAATATACCGCTGGGAGGTTAAAATCAACAATATCCACGAAATAATTCTTAAACAAAAATAAATTTACCTCAGATCAGTATGATGATACTTAAGGTGCCATTGTAAGGCTTGTTTTTGTATATATGTTTTGTCGCAATGCAGACAAGCAAACCTCTGTCGTTCTTCAGGTGGCAAGTGAGTGTTCTTGTGTGTGTTAAGATGGGACTTATATGGCGTTTGGTAGCTACACATGGAACATCTATAGACCTTTTTGTGCGATTTCTTCAATGCCTTCGCCCTAAGAGTATTACAGTCTTGTAACAAATTTTACAATTCTATCTCTAGTATCTATGTATAATAATTCTTAAACAAAAAAAAATACCTTGAATCAATATGATTATTCTGAAGGTGGTGTTGTAAGCTTTGTTTTTGTATATATGTTTTGTCGCAATGCAGACAAGCAAACATCTGTCGTTCTCCAGGTGCCAAGTGAATTTTCTTGTGTTTGCTAAAATTGAACTTATATGTTGTTTGGTAGCTACATGTGCAACATCTATAGATCTTTTTCTGCGATTCCTTCAATGCCTTCGCCCTAAGAGTATTACAGTCAGGGTTCGGAAGTAGTTAATTAAGACGTAATTTACCTGATTAACTACGTGTAGTTTTTCTTCAAAAACTACGTCTTTTCCCGTTTATTAACTACATGAAAACTACGTTAATAAACTATGTATTGATATTATGAATAATTTTGCTTTGTATGAGTGGTCTAAATAATATGATGTGTGAATATTATATTTAAAGTCATATTTCTTCTGTTTTCTTAAATACATTGTATTTTCTAAAGCTTCAACTTATTATAACCTCACCTCAAACCTTTGATATTTGAAAGTTACATACATAGGTTACATAAACTACACCCTCTACATAAACTACATTAACTACATGTAATGTAGTTTATGTAGTTTTTAAAAGTAACATGTAGTTTTCCGAACCCTGCCTACGATCAATAGACAACTACTGTAGGGCTCTTAATAACTAAATAAGAGTCACATAAGGGTCTGTATTAGACATTAGTTTGTTTTAGAGGTGTGTAGAAGAATTATTATACATAGATACTAGAAATAGAATTGTAAAATTTGTTACAAGACTGTAATCAGGGTTCGGAAAACTACATGTTACTTTTAAAAACTACATAAACTACATTACATGTAGTTAATGTAGTTTATGTAGAGGATGTAGTCTATGTAACCTATGTATGTAACTTTCAAATGTCAAAGGTTTGAGGTGAGGTTATAATGAGTTGGAGCTTTAGAAAACACATAATGCATTTAAGAAAACAGAAGAAATATGGCTTTAAATATAATATTCACATCATATTATTTAGACCCCTCATACAAAATGAAAATTATTCATAATATCAATACGTAGTTTATTAACGTAGTTTTCATGTAGTTAATGAACGGGAAAAGACGTAGTTTTTGAAGAAAATAACGTAGTTAATCAGGTAAATTACGTCTTAATTAACTACTTCCGAACCCTGATCGTAGATGTGTTTCAAGTAGAGTACTCGATTATTGAAATAACCGACATCGCTCGATTATGAACGAGCGATAAAAGTGACGAGTACAAAGCGACGAAGTACTTACAACAAGCGACGGGTGAAAACCCGTATTTTTAAATACGAGTGATATTTCGCTCGAGCGATCACTCGGTTATTGCAATCGCTTGAAACTCGAGTACTCGATTATTGAAATTAATCGGTTTTTTCCATCACTAGTTTCAGGTAGCATTTTAAAACACAAACTTTGCATTATGTAATTTTACTTTTATTATGAGGCGTAATAACTTATGGCATAGCATTACCCACACAGTTTATAGGTTAAGATCCTTAGAAAAAGTCTATATCTCTATATACATATATGAAATGAACAAAATACTTACAGCTTTAGTCTATATTAACAAATATTTTATCGCCTTTAGCTGTGTATTTTTTCTAATTTCGAAAAATCGAAAGTAGAGAAAAGGCAAGAAAATATTATTTATTAATATATACATATCTATATATCTCTAATATACTTACAGCTCTAACTTATCACCAGATGCTACGCTGCTTTGAACATGTTCATCTTGTTTATTGTCTTCTTTAGTGATAAGTTCAACATCATGGCTATCGCTGTAATTCAAGAAGAATTAAATTTAGTAATTTTTCATTGTCTCCAGTTTGTTCAGTTTTTGCTTCATGTCATTTTTTACACCACTGAAAAACCAACTGAAATTATACCGATCTGGCCATCGAAATTGCGTGGTCTGTATTTCAGTGCACGCGACAGAGTTAAATATAAATGACAGGTTGACAGACAGTTAGACAAAATAAAACGGCATACCGTGTTGCCAGTTTTTACATGTGTAGGAAAATGTATGTAAAATAAAATAAACCATTTTATTTTACACGATAATTAAATGATTAGAAAAGATCCTTAGAAAAAGTCTGTCAAACGAGTGAGGGAAGATTTCGACAGCCCCATTTACACACCTAACGTGTTTTTAACTGCTTTTTTTTAAATTTTAACACGGCTCCATGTCCGAGTTGGTAAGTTCGACGTTATCAATATCACTGTAATTTAATAAGAATTACATTTAAAAATATTTCTTTCTCTATGGGCTATCTTGCAAGAGAATATATGAAAGAATGTTTTCTGTCGTTTGACTTTACAAGTAGAGTGATTTTTTTCAGATGTTTTTTGGATGGCATCTGCCGAATTTAAACATTCTCTTGCTGGACAGACTATATATACATATATTGAGTTAAAAAAACGTGTTAAATAATATGATAATGATGAGATAATTGAACGATACGTTAAAAACATTGAGTAAAACTATACTTACAGCTTTAACTTCAGTTCTGTATTGTTTTGAACTTGCTTTTCTTGTTTATTACCTTCTGTGGTAATAATAATAATTTTAATAAAATAATATAATAATAAATAATAATAATTTTTCATTGTCTACAGTTTGTTGTTTTTACTTCATGTCATATTTTAGACCACTGAAAAACCAACTGAAATTATACCGATCTTGCCATCGAAATTGCGTGGTGTGTATTTCAGTGCACGCGACAAAGTTAAATATAAATGACCGGTTGACAGTTAGACAAAATAAAAAGCGGCATACCGTGTTGCCAGTTTTTTTCGTGTGTAGGAAAATGTATGTAAAATAAAATAAACCATTTTATTCTACACGATAATTAAATGATTAGAAAAGATCCTTAGAAAAAGTCTGTCAAACGAGTGAGGGAAGGTTTCGACAGCCCCATTTACACACCTAACGTGTTTTTAACTGTTTTTTTTTAAATTTTAACACGGCTCCATGTCCGAGTTGGTAAGTTCGACGTTATCAATATCACTGTAATTTAATAAGAATTACATTTAAAAATATTTCTTTCTCTATGGGCTATCTTGCAAGAGAATATATGAAAGAATGTTTTCTGTCGTTTGACTTTACAAGTAGAGTGATTTTTCTCAGATGTTTTCTGGATGGCATCTGCCGAATTTAAACATTCTCTTGCTGGACAGACTATATATACATATATTGAGTTAAAAAAAACGTGTTAATTAATATGATAATGATGAGATAATTGAACGATACGTTAAAAACATTGAGTAAAACTATACTTACAGCTTTAACTTCAGTTCTGTATTGTTTTGAACTTGCTTTTCTTGTTTATTACCTTCTGTGGTAATAATAATAATTTTAATAAAATAATATAATAATAAATAATAATAATTTTTCATTGTCTACAGTTTGTTGTTTTTACTTCATGTCATATTTTAGACCACTGAAAAACCAACTGAAATTATACCGATCTGGCCATCGAAATTGCGTGGTCTGTATTTCAGTGCACGCGACAAAGTTAAATATAAATGACCGGTTGACAGTTAGACAAAATAAAAAGCGGCATACCGTGTTGCCAGTTTTTTCGTGTGTAGGAAAATGTATGTAAAATAAAATAAACCATTTTATTCTACACGATAATTAAATGATTAGAAAAGATCCTTAGAAAAAGTCTGTCAAACGAGCGAGGGAAGATTTCGACAGCCCCATTTACACACCTAACGTGTCTTTAGTGAGTGAGTTAGCAGTGACAAGCACATTAAGTAGAATTATATGGAAAGATACTAAAGAATTAAACAGAAAATGAATATAACGAGATAGAAATAGAAGAACAGGCGGGTTTTAGAGCGGGAAGGTCTACTGTGGATCATCTGTTTACCATAACACAGGTCTTAGAGAAAAAAAAGGGCAAAAGATCAAGAGGTACACTTACTATATATAGACCTCCAAAAGGCTTATGACAGCACACCATTAAATAAATTGTGGGAAACGTTGGAAATCACTAATATAAATGTCCACCTACTTAAAGCAGTTAAGAACTTACACCAGAACACCACAGCTAGAATAAAAATACGAGACTCATTGTCAGAAAGCTTAAAAATTACAAAAGGCCTCAACAGGGATGTTGCCTATCTCCTATACTATTCAAAATATACCTGCAACAGGCACTAAAAAAATTGATGCTTAAGTGTAGGGGAATGGGAATCCCCCTAATAAATGATGACACCCTGTACACCCTATTTTTTGCGGACGACCAGATAGTCCTAGCCCAAGATCACGACGGCCTTGAATATACAGCAAGGAAGCTGATAGAAGAGTATAAGAAATGGGGGTTGGAGGTAAATATCTATATAATAATATAATATATAATATATAACGATGGAAAACTCGATGAGGGTATAAAAGATCGAATAATGCAAGGCAGGAGGGCAATATCTATGTTAAATGGTGTACTGTGGGATCAAGGAATCTCTAAAGCTAATAAGAAGAACATATATAATACGGTAGTGAAAAGCATTATAACTTACGGAAGCGAAGTATGGCAGTTGAAAAGCAGAACAGAGAACATGCTATCAGCGACCGAAATGGATTAATGGAGGAGATCTGCTGGAAAATCAAAAAGAGAATAAATAACCAACGACAGAGTAAGAGAGATTATGGGAGCAGAACAGACAATTGGTGGACGACATAAGAATAAAACAACTCATATGGTTTGGTCATGTGCAACGAATGCCCGATCACAGAATACCAAAACAAATTTTACTGTGGACACCTCGAGGCAGAAATAAAAGAGGAAGGCCGCGACGAAGCTGGAGGGAGGGTGTGGATAAAGTAAGCTAGAAAATAGAGAAATACCTGATGATCTCTGGCTAAATAGAGAAGAGTGGAGGTTAGGTGTCGGAAAAGGTCGTAGAACGTTCTGAACCGACTTATATATATACATGTCTTTAACTGTTTTTTTTTTTAATTTTCCGTTAACACGGCAGTATATCTCTGTGGTGTTGGCATGTCTCTCAATAAAGTTATAGCAGCAAGTCTTGTTATTTTAATCAATAGTTATCAATGAGTTAAGTGAAGTCTGTAGTCACGTAAATATATATAATCTAGAGCGGCATCGCAGATGGAAGTAATAAGCTTTAACCACGTGAGTGTATCATCTAAGACACAATTTTTATATCGACAATAAACTTACCTGGAACGAAGATGGCAACGTTGAAGGTGATACTCTAAACTAACTTTATTCGTATATTTATTATCACAGTGCGGACAAGCAAACGATTGTCGTTCTTCCGGTGCCCAGTGAGTTGCAATGTGTCGATGCAGGCTTGCCATTGATGTCGTACGGTAGGTGTTGCATCTGGAACAACTATACGTCCTATTACGCAGCGCTAACAACTGTCGTTCTTCCCGTGCCCGGTGTGAATTCAAGCTTGCCATTGATGTCGTTTGGTAGTTGCATTTGAAACAACTATACATCCTTATAGGCAGCGCTACTGGTCTAATTAGAAAATTAAATGATTTACGTCCTCTCGTGCGACAACCTCAAAATAGTTAAATAAAAAAACTCACTTATCATCAGAATCTACGCTGTTTTGAACACGTTCTGTTTGTTTATTGGCTTCCGAGCTGGTAAGTTCAACGTTATCAATATCACTGTAATTTAATAAGAATTACATTAAAAATATTTCTTTCGCTATAGGCTATCTAGCAAGAGAATATATGAAAGAATGTTTTCTGTCGTTTGACTTTTTTGATGTTTTTTGGATGACATCTGCCGAAATTAAACATTTTCTTGCTGGAGAGACTATATATATTGAGTTAAAAAACGTGTTAATTAATATGATAATGGCGAGATAATTGAACGATACGTTAAAATCATTGAGTAAAACTATACTTACAGCTTTAACTTCAGTTCTGTGCTATCTTGAACTTGCTTTTCTTGTTTATTATCTTCTGTGGTAAGATCAACATTATGTCTTTCACTGTAATTTAATAACAATTACAATCGAATACTTAGCGACACTGAGAAAATATACTTACAGCTCTAACTTATCACCAGATGCCATGCTGCTTTGAACACGTTCATCTTGTTTATTGTCTTCTTTAATGATAAGTTCAACATCATGGCTATCGCTGTAATTCAAGAAGAATTAAATTTAGTAATTTTTCATTGTCTGCAGTTTGTTCAGTTTTTTCTTCATGTCATTTTTTAGACCACTGAAAAACCAATTGAAATTATACCGATCTGGCCATCGAAATTGCGTGGTCTGTATTTCAGTGCACGCGATAGAGTTAAATATAAATGACCGGTTGACAGACAGTGAGACAAAATAAAACGGCATACCGTGTTGCCAGTTTTTACATGTGTAGGAAAATGCATGTAAAATAAAATAAACCATTTTATTCTACACGATAATTAAATGATTAGAAAAGATCCTTAGAAAAAGTCTGTCAAACGAGTGAGGGAAGATTTCGACAGCCCCATTTATACACCTAACGTGGTTTTAACTGTTTTTTTTTTAATTTTAACACGGCTCTATGTCCGAGCTGGTAAGTTTGACGTTATCAATATCACTGTAATTTAATAAGAATTACATTAAAAATATTTCTTTCTCTATAGGCTATCTAGCAAGAGAATATATGAAAGAATGTTTTCTGTCGTTTGACTTTACAAGTAGAGTGATTTTTTTCAGATGTTTTTTGGATGGCATCTGCCGAAATTAAACATTCTCTTGTTGGACAGACTATATATATTGAGTTAAAAAAAAACGTCTTAATTAATATGATAATGATGAGATAATTGAACAATACGTTAAAAACATTGAGCAAAACTATACTTACAGCTTTAACTTCAGTTCTGTACTGTTTTGAACTTGCTTTTCTTGTTTATTATCTGCTGTGGTAAGATCAACATTATGTCTTTCACTGTAATTTAATAACAATTACAATCGAATACTTAGCGACACTGAGAAAATATACTTACAGCTCTAACTTATCACCAGATGCTATGCTGCTTTGAACATGTTCATCTTGTTTATTGTCTTCTTTAGTGATAAGTTCAACATCACGGCTATCGCTGTAATTCAAAAATAATTAAATTTAGTAATTTTTCATTGTCTACAGTTTGTTCAGTTTTTTCTTCATGTCATTTTTTAGACCACTGAAAAACCAACTGAAATTATACCGATCTGGCCATCGAAATTGCGTGGTCTGTATTTCAGTGCACGCGACAGAGTTAAATATAAATGACCGCTTGACAGACAGTTAGACAAAATAAAAACACGGCATACCGTGTTGCCAGTTTTTTCGTGTGTCGGAAAATGTATGTAAAATAAAATAAACCATTTTATTCTACACAATAATTAAATTAGAAAAGATCATTAGAAAAAGTCTGTCAAACGAGTGAGGGAAGATTTCGACAGCCCCATTTACACACCTAACGTGTTTTTAACTGTTTTTTTTTAATTTTAACACGACAGTATATATCTGTAGTGTTGGCATGTCTCTCAATAAAGTTATAGCAGCAAGTCTTGTTATTTTAATCAATAGTTTTCAATGAGTTAAGTGAAGTCTGTAGTCACGTAAATATATATTATATGATCTAGAGCGGCGTCGCAGTTGGAAGTATAGTAAACGCCACGAATGTTTGGGAGTGATTCATCGCTTGATGAAGTTAGAATCGACACGCGCGCTATCATTTTTACATTAAAAACGTAAATTTTTACCGGAGACGTAGGTTTTTAAATGACCGGTCTAATCATCTGCCTGCGCTCCTCCGACTTATTCTAAAATGTTAGCGTGATTGACAAAGACGATACTATATCGCGTTTCTTTGATTGATTCGTTTTTGTGCGTCAGTCCATTGGTGTGCTTGCAGTGCGACCAATGGGGCATTCCAGTTTATATTTATAACCAAATATATGTTTTGACAAGACTTTGACAGTTAATACAACAAATTATATATTGATTATTATATGACTTGAAACACCACCGCACTGGAATTAAGTTTTATGTTACCTTGAACAGATTAGTTCACATGGTAGCGACCGATGAATCACTCCCAAACATTCATGGCGTTTACTATAATAGCTTTAACCACGTGAGTGTATCATCTAAGACACAATTTTTATATCGACAATAAACTTACCTGGAATGAAGAGAGCAACTTTTAAGGTGATGGCCTAAGTTATCTTTTTCTCGTACATTTCCTATCACAGTGCGGACGAGCAGACATCCGTCGTTCTTCCCGTGCCGAGTGAGTTCCCATGTGTTGTTTCAGGCTTGCCATTAATGTCGTTTGGTAGTTGCATTTGGCACATCTATACATCTTATTACGCAGCGGTAACAACAACTTTCGTTCCTCCCGTACCCTGTGCATTTCTGTGTGTCCTGTCAGGTTTGCCATTAATGTCGTTTGGTAGTTGCATTTGGAACAATCGTACATCCCTTTACGCAGCGCTGCTGGTCTAATTAGAAAATTAAATGATTTACGTCCTCTCGTGCGACAACCTCAAAATAGTTAAATAAAAAAACTCACTTATCATCAGAATCTACGCTGTTTTGAACACGTTCTTTTTGTTTATTGGCTTCCGAGCTGGTAAGTTCAACGTTATCAATATCACTGTAATTTAATAAGAATTACATTAAAAATATTTCTTTCTCTATAGGCTATCTAGCAAGAGAATATATATGAAAAAATGTTTTCTGTCGTTTGACTTTACAAGTAGAGTGATTTTTTTTCAGATGTTTTTTGGATGGCATCTGCCGAAATTAAACATTCTCTTGTTGGACAGACTATATATATTGAGTTAAAAAAAACGTCTTAATTAATATGATAATGATGAGATAATTGAACGATACGTTAAAAACATTGAGTAAAACTATACTTACAGCTTTAACTTCAGTTCTGTGCTATTTTGAACTTGCTTTTCTTGTTTATTATCTTCTGTGGTAAGATCAACTTTATGGCTTTCACTGTAATTTAATAACAATTACAATCGAATACTTAGCGACACTGAGAAAATATACTTACAGCTCAAACTTATCACCAGATGCTATGCTGCTTTGAACACGTTCATCTTGTTTATTGTCTTCTTTAGTGATAAGTTCAACATCATGGCTATCGCTGTAATTCAAGAAGAATTAAATTTAGTAATTTTTCATTGTCTACAGTTTGTTCAGTTTTTTCTTCATGTCATTTTTTAGACCACTGAATAACCAACTGAAATTATACCGATCTGGCCATCGAAATTGCGTGGTGTGTATTTCAGTGCACGCGACAGAGTTAAATATAAATGACCGGTTGACAGACAGTTAGACAAAATAAAAACACGGCATACCGTGTTGCCAGTTTTTACGTGTGTAGGAAAATGTACGTAAAATAAAATAAACCATTTTATTCTACACGATAATTAAATGATTAGAAAAGATCCTTAGAAAAAGTCTGTCAAACGAGTGAGGGAAGATTTCGACAGCCCTATTTACACACCTAACGTGTTTTTAACTGTTTTTTTTAAATTTTAACACGGCTCTATGTCCGAGCTGGTACGTTCGACGTTATCAATATCACTGTAATTTAATAAGAATTACATTTAAAAATATTTCTTTCTCTATAGGCTATCTAGCAAGAGAATATATGAAAGAATGTTTTCTGTCGTTTGACTTTACAAGTAGAGTGATTTTTTTCAGATGTTTTTTGTATGGCATCTGCCGAAATTAAACATTCTCTTGCAGGACAGACTATATATATTGAGTTAAAAAAAACGTGTTAATTAATATGATAATGATGAGATAATTGAACGATACGTTAAAAACATTGAGTAAAACTATACTTACAGCTTTAACTTCAGTTCTGTACTGTTTTGAACTTGCTTTTCTTGTTTATTATCTGCTGTGATAAGATCAACATTATGTCTTTCACTGTAATTTAATAACAATTACAATCGAATACTTAGCGACACTGAGAAAATATACTTACAGCTCTAACTTATCACCAGATGCTATGCTGCTTTGAACATGTTCGTCTTGTTTACTGTCTTCTTTAGTGATAAGTTCAACATCATGGCTATCGCTGTAACTCAAAAAGAATTAAATTTAGTAAGTTTTCATTGTCTACAGTTTGTTAATTTCTATCTTCATGTCATTTTTTAGACCACTGAAAAACCAACTGAAATTATACCGATCTGGCCATCGAAATTTCGTGGTCTGTATTTCAGTGCACGCGACAGAGTTAAATATAAATGACCGCTTGACAGACAGTTAGACAAAATAAAAACACGGCATACCGTGTTGCCAGTTTTTTCGTGTGTAGGAAAATGTATGTAAAATAAAATAAACCATTTTATTCTACACGATAATTAAATTAGAAAAGATCATTAGAAAAAGTCTGTCAAACGAGTGAGGGAAGATTTCGGCAGCCCCATTTACACACCTAACGTGTTTTTAACTGTTTTTTTTTTTAATTTTAACACGACAGTATATCTCTGTAGTGTTGCCATGTCTCTCAATAAAGTTATAGCAGCAAGTCTTGTTATTTTAATCAATAGTTTTCAATGAGTTAAGTGAAGTCTGTAGTCACGTAAATATATATTATATGATCTAGAGCGGCATCGCAGTTGGAAGTATAGTAAACGCCACGAATGTTTGGGAGTGATTCATCGCTTGATGAAGTTAGAATCGACACGCGCGCTATCATTTTTACATTAAAAACGTAAATTTTTACCGGAGACGTAGGTTTTTAAATGACCGGTCTAATCATCTGCCTGCGCTCCTCCGACTTATTCTAAAATGTTAGCGTGATTGACAAAGACGATACTATATCGCGTTTCTTTGATTGATTCGTTTTTGTGCGTCAGTCCATTGGTGTGCTTGCAGTGCGACCAATGGGGCATTCCAGTTTATATTTATAACCAAATATATGTTTTGACAAGACTTTGACAGTTAATACAACAAATTATATATTGATTATTATATGACTTGAAACACCACCGCACTGGAATTAAGTTTTATGTGACCTTGAACAGATTAGTTCACATGGTAGCGACCGATGAATCACTCCCAAACATTCATGGCGTTTACTATAATAGCTTTAACCACGTGAGTGTATCATCTAAGACACAATTTTTATATCGACAATAAACTTACCTGGAATGAAGAGAGCAACTTTTAAGGTGATGGCCTAAGTTATCTTTTCTCGTACATTTCCTATCACAGTGCGGACGAGCAGACATCCGTCGTTCTTCCCGTGCCGAGTGAGTTCCCATGTGTTGTTTCAGGCTTGCCATTAATGTCGTTTGGTAGTTGCATTTGGCACATCTATACATCTTATTACGCAGCGGTAACAACAACTTTCGTTCCTCCCGTACCCTGTGCATTTCTGTGTGTCCTGTCAGGTTTGCCATTAATGTCGTTTGGTAGTTGCATTTGGAACAATCGTACATCCCTTTACGCAGCGCTGCTGGTCTAATTAGAAAATTAAATGATTTACGTCCTGTTACTGTACCGGGGCTAATACGTTTTTTAAAATGTTTTTGGTGTTTTGTTGTTTTTTAAAATGTTTTAAAATGCCCCCATACACTTCGGTTAATTTGCTCGGCTGTAAAGGTGCAGTTAAAACCGCGCGGGTAGAAAGAAGCAATTTTGGCAAATCTCTAGAAGTCATAAAGATCTCTAGAAGTCATAAAGATCTCTAGAAGACATAAACCCCATATAAACCCTTAGATCTTATAAACTTATGAACAGACTATATAAATTTCAAGCTATAGTAAACGCCACGAATGTTTGGGAGTGATTCATCGGCCGCTACCATGTGAACTAATCTGTTCAAGGTCACATAAAACTTAATTCCAGTGCCGTGGTGTTTCAAGTCATATAATAATCAATATATAATCTGCTGTAATTTGTTGTTTTAACTGTCAAAGTCTTGTCAAAACATATATTTGCTTATAAATATAAACTGGAATGTCCCATTGGTCACACTGCAAGCACACCAATGGACTGACGCACAAAAACGAATCAATCAAAGAAACGCGATATAGTATCGTCTTTGTCAATCACGCTAACATTTTAGAATAAGTAGGAGGAGCGCAGGCAGATGATTAGACCGGGCCTTTACAAACCTACGTCTGCGGTAAAAATTTACGTTTTTCATGTAAAAATGATAGCGCGCGTGTCGATTCTAACTTCAAAAAGCGATGAATCACTCCCAAACATTCGTGGCGTTTACTATACTTCTTAGACATGCGTTAATTAATGCGAAAATCTTCAAATAGTTAAATAAAAAACTCACTTATCATCAGACTCTACGCTGTTTTGAACACGTTCTTTTCCTTTATTGGCTTCCACGCTGGTAAGTTTGACGTCATCGATATTACTGTAATTTAATATGAATTGCGTTAATAACATGTCTTTCTCTATGGCCTGTCCAGCAGGAGAATAAATTACAATGACGATTATTCTCTGTCGTTTGACTTCTCAAAGATATTGATTTTTTCTCATTTTTTGGATGACATCGGTCGAAATTAAATATTCTCTTCTGGACAGACTATATATTGAGTTATCAAGAATTTCATTAAAAAAATTTCAGTAAAACTATACTTACGGCGCTATCTCATCAGAGGCTTCCCTATTTTGAACATGCTTCTCTTGTTTATTGTCGGACGACAATAAATAAGATCTCAGTATGGACATACTGGTAATTTCAACAGCCCGAATATCACTGTAATTTAATAAAACATACATTTTAACAATAATTTTTTCCTCTAGAGAAAAAAAATATAAACGTGACAGTTGATCTGACGTTTTAATTCAAGATGAGGTTGTTTTTGCGTAATTTTTCGAATGTCACCTGCCAAATCATATATTCTCTCCTTGACCCGACTATATGAATATCAAGTTACTTCTTAGACATACATTAATAATGCGACGATCTCAAAATAATTAAATAAAGAAAACTCACTTATCATCAGAATCTACGCTGTTTTGAACTTGCTCTGCTTGTTTACTGACTTGCGCGCTGGTAAGTTCAACGTCATCGTTATCACTGTAATTTAATAAGAATTGCGTTAATAACATGTCTGTCCCTATGGCCTGTCCAGCAGGAGAATAAATTAGAATGACGATTATTCTCTGTCGTTTGACTTCTCAAATAGAGAAAATCTTTTCTCATTTTTGGATGAATCTGTCGAAATTAGATATTCTCTGCTGGACAGACTATATGCATCGAGATATACAGAAAACAGTTAATTAATATGATAGTGATGAAATAGTTAATAAATAAAAAAAATCGTAGTAAAACTACACTTACAGCTCTAACTTTTGTTCTATGCTGTTTTGAACTTGCTTTTCTTGCTTATTCACTTCCGGGCTGGCAAGTTCAACGTCATGGATATCACTGTAACGTAATAAAAATTATATTAATATAATATTTCATTCACAATAGGCTATCTAGCAAGTAAATATATATGGCAGTGACGATATATTTCTTGACGATTGTTTTCTGTCGTTCGACTTCAGAAGTAGAGTGAACTTTTTCTGACATTTTTGGACGACATACGTCAAGATTAAACACTCTCTTGCTAGACAAACAATATGTTAATGAGTTATAAAAAAATGTGTGTTAAATAATAAATTAAAAAATTCCGACTGCGTATACTTACAGCTCTAAATTCCGTTTGACGTCATTGGTATTCCTGTAACGGAATAAAAATCACTTTAACAAGTCAATTTTACTTGTTTAGTCCGTTCAAAAAAAGAAGAGACGACAGACAGTTATGCTCTGTTATCTAGAATTAGATTGTACCGTATGATCGAAAATAAAAACGGTGTCAAAGAGGGCTGGGAAATGACAAGCAATGGTAATTTTGGCGAGATTATTCTCTAGACGTCATTTACTAAAAAGTGACAAAAAACTTGTCAAAAATTAACACTGTGTTTGACGTCGTTTTTTTTCGATCATACGGTATTAACAATGTAAAAACACTTACAAGCCACTAAAACGACGCTTAATGTGACGGATTAATGGGTAGTTTCCCCCAAATTTCGAGGTACAGTTAGGTTTTTCCGACGAGTGAACTTTCTTGTGTCGGATAAGATGTATAGCACATCGACCTACAAACTCGCATTGGCCACATTTATATAACTTTGCCTGTGTGTTCTTCTCACTAATAAAAACATTTTTGAATGTTAAAACCCGCCTACACAAAATGTGTAACCTGCCTATATCATATATACGGGTTGTCTTTTATATTTTGCACGTTGGAACCAATGAAGAACATGCATATATTTTATTTTTCGCCAGAAACTGTTCAATTTATTAGAATAAATATATATAAATGCAAAAAAAAACTTTTTTTTTGAAAGCAATACCACAATTTTATAAAACGGGCCATTAAAATACTATGGATAACGCAAACGACGCCTCGCGAATTGAAACGATATATATTGGTCTGACGTCACCCGCCGTTCTCGTCGACGCGCGATGGCCAGCAGCAGCCAGACGTGTTCCGTTTATGTACTTATTTAGGTGGCGTACTAAGACATTTGTGTTGCTTGTAGCGTTGATTGAAGGAGCTTTTTATGCTTTTTTGTGCAGTTATTATTTGTATGTGTTGTGTGTTCTGAAAATTTTTTAAGTAATGGCAGATTCCGGGTTTGTAAAAGCACAATCAGATAACTTCCAAAAGTCGATGCTTTTATGTTGGCTGCTTTTATAAATACAAATTCCCAATTTATTGGTGCTGAATTACGAGGAAAAAAGAGAGGTAGAGAGGTAACATTTATTCTTTGTAGTACTAGGCATATTTAAGTATAAGTAGGTACCTACTGTTACGAACTTTTATATAGTTATAAATTAATGTTATAAACTTATTTTTCAGATCAGGTAGGGAGACGTATGGAGATAATGCTGTAGGTTATGTAGAAGTGAAAAGAGACAAAAATATTTGTTTAGTACGTGGAAAAATAACTCCAGAGCATAGCGTGAAAAAGAAAGTTTTTTTTTTATATATATTAATTGACACCCCCTTACCCTTGTTATTTTTAAAGATTGTTTTTTTACGAAATTATAGGAAATAAATTGTTTATCAGAAATGAAAATATTATACAAGGTGTCCCATAAGCAAACGCCAAAATTAAGATACTTTTTTAAGTGAAACACCCTATATATTTTTGGATTCTTCGCAAATTTCTAGATATTCTAGATATATTTCATGTATAATTCCTATACCTATCTTCAAATGTTTACGAAATATTGACAGTTGAAAAGCGAAAAATACCTACAATTTTCTGGACCACCTTTTTTGAGACACCCTGTATAACTAGAATTAATTTTAAAAGAGAGTATATGAAAAACCATACAACTTTTTTATTTAATGGTTTCTTCTAAAACTTGCAGTTAAGGCTGTATGTGGGTGTCAAAATATAATGACACCTGTAATGAACCCTGTACATTCAAATTTCATATACCTATGTAAGACAATATACATAAATATATGATTTTTTGGCCCCTTTTTTCCGCTACTCGCATTTTTGTTTATAAATATATGAACTTACATCAAAATGATCTTCACAACAATAAATCGTAAAAATAGAGGATAATTTAACGTTTTTCTTTTCATCTCTTCTCATGGCCTTGGACCATTTTTTTCTGTTTTCGCTCATCCATTACTATTTTTTATAAATATCACTAATTACTCTAATTATGTATTAATTAACACAAATAACTAAAATTTTGACTCGGATTCAACAGCGTTTAAAAGCAAACTGTGTAAAATAAACACGCGTCTGGCTCCACTCAACCAGAAGAACGGCGGGTGACGTCACAGCGGCAAGGCGCGGTAGAGAGCGTTTGCCCGGCAATTTAAATTAATAATATTTAATTATTTTATATTAGAGGCATTTCTTAACCGATATCAACGATTCTTTTTTTTGTTCAATTTGTAATTATATGAACTATTTTTTAAAACCATTATGTAAAAATATGCATTTTCCTTGTTATGAAAGCAGTTGGTACCTTCAAAATTGCCTTTTTGAAGGCGCTCTCTGCATCTTCTAGGACTGGAACCTTTGACCACTCAGTTCATACTTAATTTTTGGAAAAGTAAAAAAGTCGATAGGACTTAGGTCGGGACTATATGGAGGATCCAAAAAATCTAATAGTTATTAATATTAAACTAAAATAGTTAAATTTATAAACTAAGTAGTTATTTTTCCAAAAGAATCCTTTATGGGTATTTCGCCACTGCACTGCAAGAAAATCTACAAAATAAAATAATTATTTTTTGCAAACACTTCTGCGTTAAACCTAAACAGATGCTGCTTGTCAGAAGTTATGTAGTAATACAAATTTGTCTAACAAAGAAAAAAAATGCTTAACGTTTCGGAAAGTTATCTCTTTCCGTCTTCGGAAGCAAAAAAATACAAAGAATAAAGAAAAAAACTATTTAAAATATATAAATTCAACTATTCGAGAACTATTTACTTTTTTAAAACAGATACGTCTACAAGAAACCGTTGACGTTCTGTTAAAATCACAAAACATCCCCCTTTAGAACTTTTTCTTTAATGGCCATAAGCGGGAGTAAAAGACTAACCGCCCGAACAAACACTAGAGGCGCCACCGGTCATCAAATGGTGTAAAAATTGCAAAAATTTAATCATCTAATTTTGACACAAGGGGTCGCGCTTAACTTTTTCAATTTTAATTCAATATTCATTGTTTTCAGACTATATTATTAGACTTTGTTGTATTTTGTGAATGTATAAATGTTTTCTTAGTATAAAGTTGCATTATAGTAATTTAAAGCCTCTTTTGTTTTTCTTTTAGAGGCTATCGCTTCTTTCATTATAATTTTGGCGTTATTAAAATTTATTCTGTGCCCTGTGTCCCAAGAATGCTGACAAATCTTAGATTCGTGAAAATCTCCCTTTCTTAAATAATCTTTATGTTCTTTAATTCTAACGTTTAAGGGTCTAGATGTTTGACCAATGTAAAATTTATCGCATTCGCAGGGTATTTGGTATATTACATTTTTTGTTTGTTGTTCTGTATTCATTGGTTTAGTATGTGATAAAATGGATCTAAGTGTATTTAGTGTTTTGAAAGATGTTCGTATGTTATATTGTTTTCCTATCCTTCTTATTTTTTCCGAAACGCCTCGTATGTATGGAATTGTAAGTTATATATTGTGTATTGTTATCATTGTGTCTATGATTTGGGGTTTACATTTCGTTTAATGTTTTGTCAATAAACTGCTTTCAGAATTGGTTCCAACAGATGCAGATATAATACTTCGAGAAACAATAGTGTTTAAAAGTTATTTACTGTTTTTTCTACGTCTATAAGCAAAATATAAAAGACAACCCCCGTAAAGAGTTTTTTATCCACAAGTATATACGATATAGGACAAAAACTCACATGCCAATGTGACGAAGTTCAATGTGCCGTTTTACTGTGACTTTTCGTGTATATTTTTTGTAGCAATACAGACAAGAAAACAACCGTCTCTCTTCCGGTGGTAGGTGAGTATCCATATGTTTCTGAAGCTCTCCTTTCCTTAATGTTCGGTAGGAACATGAGGAACACTGATGGACCTTTTCCTGCACTATCGTTCTAATAACAAAATAATTGTAAAATATTACTGTGTTATAATTGTATAGTTTAGGTTCTCAAACTAAAACTGAAACTATACTTACAGCTCTAAGTTCTGTTCTGCGCTCTTTTCATCTTGCTCTTCTTGTTCACTGTCCTCCGTGGTGTTAAGTTCAACTTCATCGGTATCACTTAAACTTAATAAGAAGATAATTAATATTTCTATCTCTATACGCTGTCCAGCATGAGAATATATGAATATACTACAATGACGATTATTTTCTGTCATTTGACTTATCAAGTAGATTAATTTTTTTCTGATATTTTTTTGGATGACATATGTCAAAATTAAGCAGTCTCTTGCTATAGACAAACTATATATATTGAGTTATAAAGGAAACACATATTATTTAATAATATTTAAAACTATACTTACAGCTCTATGTTCTGTTCTGCGCTCTTTTCATCTTGCCTTTCTTGTTCATTGGCCTCCGTGCTGTTAAGTTCAACTCCATCGGTATCACTTAAACTTAATAAGAAAAAAAATATATTGCTGTCTCTATACGCTGTCCAGCATGAGAATATACGTATATACGACAATGACGATTGTTCTCTGTCATTTGACTTATCAAGTAGATTGATTTTTTTCTAATATTTTTTGGATGACATGTCAAAATTAAACAGTCTCTTGCTAGACAAACTATATATATTGAGTTATAAAGGAAACACATATTAGTTAATATGAGAATTTTAAAATATTTAAAACTATACTTACAGCTCTATGTTCTCTTCTGCGCTCTTTTCATCTTGCCTTTCTTGTTCATTGGCCTCCGTGCTGTTAAGTTCAACTCCATCGGTATCACTTAAACTTAATAAGAAGATAATTAATATTTCTATCTCTATACGCTGTCCAGCATGAGAATATACGAATATACGACAATGACGATTGTTCTCTGTCATTTGACTTATCAAGTAGATTGATTTTTTTCTGATATTTTTTGGATGACATATGTCAAACTTAAACAGTCTCTTGCTAGACAAACTATATATATTGAGTTATAAAGGAAACACATATTATTTAATATGAGAATTTTAAAATATTTAAAACTATACTTACAGCTCTATGTTCTCTTCTGCGCTCTTTTCATCTTGCTTGTCTTGTTCATTGGCCTCCGTGCTGTTAAGTTCAACTCCATCGGTATCACTTAAACTTAATAAGAAGATAATTAATATTTCTATCTCTATACGCTGTCCAGCATGAGAATATACGAATATACGACAATGACGATTGTTCTCTGTCATTTGACTTATCAAGTAGATTGATTTTTTTCTGATATTTTTTGGATGACATATGTCAAACTTAAACAGTCTCTTGCTAGACAAACTATATATATTGAGTTATAAAGGAAACACATATTATTTAATATGAGAATTTTAAAATATTTAAAACTATACTTACAGCTCTATGTTCTCTTCTGCGCTCTTTTCATCTTGCTCGTCTTGTTCATTGGCCTCCGTGCTGTTAAGTTCAACTCCATCGGTATCACTTAAACTTAATAAGAAGATAATTAATATTTCTATCTCTATACGCTGTCCAGCATGAGAATATACGAATATACGACAATGACGATTGTTCTCTGTCATTTGACTTATCAAGTAGATTGATTTTTTCTGATATTTTTGGATGACATATGTCAAACTTAAACAGTCTCTTGCTAGACAAACTATATATATTGAGTTATAAAGGAAACACATATTATTTAATATGAGAATTTTAAAATATTTAAAACTATACTTACAGCTCTATGTTCTCTTCTGCGCTCTTTTCATCTTGCTCTTCTTGTTCATTGGCCTCCGTGCTGTTAAGTTCAACTCCATCGATATCACTTGAACTTAATAAGAAGATAATTAATATTTCTATCTCTATACGCTGTCCTGCATGAGAATATACGAATATACGACAATGACGATTGTTCTCTGTCATTTGACTTATCAAGTAGATTGATTTTTTTCTGATATTTTTTGGATGACATATGTCAAAATTAAACAGTCTCTTGCTAGACAAACTATATATATTGAGTTATAAAGGAAACACATATTATTTAATAATATTTAAAACTATACTTACAGCTCTATGTTCTCTTCTGCGCTCTTTTCATCTTGCCTTTCTTGTTCATTGGCCTCCGTGCTGTTAAGTTCAACTCCATCGGTATCACTCAAACTTAATAAAAAGATAATTAATATTTCTATCTCTATACGCTGTCCAGCATGAGAATATACGAATATACGACAATGACGATTGTTCTCTGTCATTTGACTTATAAAGTAGATTGATTTTTTTCTGATATTTTTTGGATGACATATGTCAAAATTAAACAGTCTCTTGCTAGACAAACTATATATATTGAGTTATAAAGGAAACACATATTATTTAATAATGTTTAAAACTATACTTACAGCTCTATGTTCTGTTCTGCGCTCTTTTCATCTTGCCTTTCTTGTTCATTGGCCTCCGTGCTGTTAAGTTCAACTCCATCGGTATCACTTAAACTTAATAAGAAAAAAATTATATTGCTGTCTCTATACGCTGTCCAGCATGAGAATATACGTATATACGACAATGACGATTGTTCTCTGTCATTTGACTTATCAAGTAGACTGATTTTTTTCTAATATTTTTTGGATGACATGTCAAAATTAAGCAGTCTCTTGCTAGACAAACTATATATATTGAGTTATAAAGGAAACACATATTAGTTAATATGAGAATTTTAAAATATTTAAAACTATACTTACAGCTCTATGTTCTCTTCTGCGCTCTTTTCATCTTGCCTTTCTTGTTCATTGGCCTCCGTGCTGTTAAGTTCAACTCCATCGGTATCACTTAAACTTAATAAAAAGATAATTAATATTTCTATCTCTATATAATTGTAAAATATTACTGTGTTATAATTGTATAGGCTAGGTTCTTAAACTATAACTGAAACTATACTTACAGCTCTAAGTTCTGTTCTGCGCTCTTTTCATCTTGCTCTTCTTGTTCACTGTCCTCCGTGGTGTTAAGTTCAACTTCATCGGTATCACTTAAACTTAATAAGAAGATAATTAATATTTCTATCTCTATACGTTGTCCAGCATGAGAATATATGAATATACTACAATGACGATTGTTTTCTGTCATTTGACTTATCAAGTAGATTCATTTTTTTCTGATATTTTTTGGATGACATATGTCAAACTTAAACAGTCTCTTGCTAGACAAACTATATATATTGAGTTATAAAGGAAACACATATTAGTTAATATGAGAATTTTAAAATATTTAAAACTATACTTACAGCTCTATGTTCTGTTCTGCGCTCTTTTCATCTTGCTCTTCTTGTTCACTGTCCTCCGTAGTGTTAAGTTCAACTCCATCGGTATCACTTAAACTTAATAAGAAGATAATTAATATTTCTATCTCTATACGCTGTCCAGCATAAGAACATACAAATATACCACAATGACGATTGTTTTCTTCAAGTAGATTGATTTTTTTCTGATATTTTTTGGATGACATATGTCAAAAATAAAGAGTCTCTTGCTAGACAAACTATAAATATTGAGTTATAAAAAACGCGTGTTAAATGATATAATGAAGAACCAGTTAAATAGAAAATTAAAGAATTCCGAATACATATACTTACAGCTCTAACTTCCCTTCAACGTTAGGTGCAACGTCACTGGTATTCCTGTAACGGAATAAAAATTACTTTAATAAGTAAATCGTACTTGTCTAGTATGCCTAGAGAAAGAAGGGATGACAGACAATTATTCTCTGTTATCTAGAATTAGATTGTACCGTGTGATCGAAAATAAAGAGGGCGTCAAAGACAAGATTTTTTAATATAGACTTCGAACGTTTTCAGGCACACAAATCTATTTCCAGATTTATTTTTTCTAGAATTTTAAACTACACCATTTAAAAATCATTTTACTCAATATAAAAATAAATTACAACCTTCTTAAGGTCGATTGGCAGGCAGTAAGCGCCACTAAAAAACAAGAGAAGACGTCTAGGGCTTGACCTTGCCACAATTGTCATCGATTGTAATTTTCCAGCCGTCTTTGACGCCGTTTTATTTCGATCGTATGGGTGTTGATATGAACCGCCTATTTAAAGATAGACAGATTTCTTTCAATTCTAAACATTCAGTTTTAAGACACTCTGTATACATAAATAAAATTATTGATTTTTAAAATATTATTCACAAACTAGGGAGACCAGGCGACGACCTGAGATAATAGTTACTAAATAATAGCTTTTTTTGGTTCGTAAATTTTGTGACAAAGAATGTTATTAAAGGTAAATCCAAATCACAGGTAGATGAAGTATCCTGACATATAAGATATTTCTGTACATTATTTTCTAATATGTTACTTTTTCGCGTTGTTACTGTTCTTTTTGTTGGTATGAGGGGTTCGGATGTTAATAGTTACCTCTTTAATAGACCATATACATATATTATTTTTTCCTTTTCTTGGGTATGAGGTTTTATAATAAATTGAAAGATGGAAACTTTTTTATGCGACGTTTCGCTCCAACATAGTGGTTTTTTTCAGGCACAAGTGGTGTCTTATTTGACTGGAAGGTTCATCAATATCTAATAAAGAACACATTTTTTGAAATACAAATAATTTTGAGTTCTTGTCCTTATGATCAAGCCAAGTATTAACCAGATCGGCATTGCTTATCAATTTGACTCCATCCCAAAAGTATTATAAAATAAAGTTCGTCGCAAGCAGACGCAGGTGAACTATACAAAAATTAAAAGTGTATGAATATGACAACAAAAATATTCAATAAATACGATATGTTCTGATATGTTTTTTTTAAATGCCTTTTTGAAGTTTGAAAACGTAAAATTTTTGTACCCATTTAGAAATCAACTTAAAAAATAAATAAAAACTAAACAATCACAAACTTGTTTAGAAATAAATTTAAAGTACATACCTTGTTTAACAATATCCATAGTGGCTTTCAATTAAGTACGTACCGTTTAGCTCCTTAATATACAAAACTACTATGAATTTTATTCTTTTCACTGATAAGATAATGATCGCAAAATTTATTTTTTAGTGAAAATATTTGCTAACAAAAATCGCTGTTTATGAAAAATAATATACAGGATGGTTGAACATTGCTATAAGTATAAAATTACATATTCAGATATTACTAAATTTTAACTTTTTTTTTCGATTTTTGTCCATGGGACGAAGCACTGTCACCCGTATTCATAGTCATTCGCCGGCGAGGCGTTGAAAAATCTCCCAGTCGCACCGCCAGCGAACTTTCGGCGAAGCGAACGATATCAATTTTGAATGCATAGACGATATCCTCGCCGTCGCCGCGCTGGCAACTCGCTATGACTCGTGTGGCGATTTGAGCAAGCGCATTTAATTTGTTTATGTGTTTTTCCGTCCACGGCACGCGACGATTTTTAAACCAGAGCGCGGTACTGATCCCAAAACGTTTTTCTTGTTATTATTGTTTGTTGTCTTTTGCAATGGCGGTAAAATATTCGGCAAGTGATAAGGAACAATTTATTAAAATGTTGATAAACTATCCTATTATAGAAGATAAAAGGACTGATTCCTATAATATTGAGAAGAAGAAAAAAGCATGGGATAAAATTACGTTAGAGTATAATGAGGTAGCTACAGAAAAGGTAAATATAAAATTTATGTTGTGTAGCTATAATATTCTTTGATATAGGATTTATTATTATGGTTTGAGATAATTATGCATTAAAGTAGATTATATATCTTTTAAACAGGAAATAGAAAGAAATATTTTAGTAGCTACATTTAAAAAATTCTGTTTATTTTAGAGAACAGTAATCCAGTTAAAAGATTATGGGATAAAATAAAAAGAAGCAGGAAAAGTGCGTTAGCTGAAGAGAGGCGTGAAGTGATGGCCACAGGAGGCGGGCCGTCTAAACCACTACCACCTTATTCACAACCCGAAGTAGATGCCCTGATACCTCATCTCGATTATGAAGTTAATATTGAAGATGATTCTGATGGCATAAATTTAAAAAATACAGAAGGTAAACTTTCTATACTTTGTTAATCATCAAAACAATTGCTATTTTTATTTGTTTCAGTTGTACGGTCATCAGAAGAGGCAACTGCTTCAACGGTATCAGTCACCTCTTACGTCTTAGTGCCAGAAACCCCAACATTATCCACTCCATTAAACCCAAGTGCTGTTAAAGGTAATATTCTACGATTATAGGACCTAGCAAATATTTTTAAATTAATTATTGTCACAGTCTCGCGCCCCCTAAAAAAAGGAAGATCATCTTGATCAGTTGACCAAGGCAAGGTTAGGCCTAGTTGAAAAGGAAGAATCATATATGAAAGAACTTCATGATATCCGTATGGAGGAGGCGAAATATAAGGCGGCGGCTGCCAAGTTCGTAATGTTACAAGAAGAGGCAAAATGGAAGAAAAGTAGAGATGAATAAATAAACGATTAATTTAATAATTAATAAATGATTAACAAGTAATAGTTTTATTTTCAATAGTATGTACCTAATAGTAGATATAGATTTTTTAATCAAAATAATTATGAACTATATGGTTTCTCATCACATTACCTAAACCTAAATTTCCTTCACGAAAAATAATTTCTGGAACATCATCGTCGATCTGTAGAGGTTCGTCTATGATGTCACGGTAAGTAATGGAAATATTATGAAGAATAGCACAAGCTACGATAATATAACAGGAAGTGGAGATCTTGGTAGCAAGTCGACTCAAACAAGGAAATCGGCGCTTTAAAACACCAAATAATCGTTCTACGGTATTTCTTGTCTGAATATGTGCTTGATTTGTATCGCCTTTCTCCTGAGTACGTACTTGTCTAAATGGAGTCAGCAAGTAAGGTAAACATGGATATCCCGCATCACCAAGCAAATATCCAGGAAGTTCTCTTCGTTGAAACTTTCCCTTTAAGGAACTCCTTTGAAAAATGTAACTGTCATGGTAACTTCCTGGATATCGTGAAACAATATCTAATATTTGTAAATTAGGACCTGAAGTTGCTTGTACGTTAATAGAAAAGTATCGTTTTCTATTTCGGAACAGTTCGGCAACATCACCTCCTGGACTTTTGATAGTGATATGTGTGCAATCGACACACCCTGTGACATTTGGAAAGTTAGCAATTGTACTAAATTGCCGTTGCATTTCCGGAATATCCTCATTAAGTGGAAATGTGATATATGTTCTAGAGTGTGCTGCAAGTCTTCTGGTGATTCTTGTCACAACTCGGCTTACAGTACTTTGGCTGAGTCCTTTCAAGTCTCCACAGACAATCTTCAAACATATAATTATATTATTATAAAAGTGTGGCTTTTTATTTTGTTAATTTTCACCTGAAAACTTCCCGCTAGCGTAAAAACGCAACGTTAAAAGTAATCCTATCAATGTGGGTACCGGCAATCCTCTGTTAGTCATGGGTTCACGGACATGTACCATTGGTAATAGAATATCACGCACCACCTCTTTCCTAAATCTAAATCGTTTTTAAATTGGATTTCACTGTAAAATTCAAAAGGGTTTTCCATATCTCGAATATACCTAAAATAATCAACGAAATAAATAATATCAAATTCAAAGGTTTTCTGCAACCAATTTACCTCCGATGTATATGAAAATCTATGTCCAAAATATCCCTGTGGGCATTATATAATAGATCTAAATCACGTTCCATTGTTAAATCGAATTATTATGAAAAATAAAACAAAATTTAAATTATTTACTAATCTGGCGGTCGCTCGGAGATAGTACTGACCATCTCCAACGAATCGCTAACGCCGCGCCAAAATTTCAGTGAATGCGCATGTGTGTCACTGTTGGCGAACGACTCTGCATGACAAATATGCGTGGGAGATTGGCGAACCGCTGGCGGCGCGCCAGCGATCGTTTATGAATACCAGTGTGTGAAACGGTACATTGTGAGACAGGAAATTGTAGAGCGAAACAAGCCCTATAACATAGGATAGAACATTTTAATGAACAGTGCTTTCCATAAAATCAATAAAATGAAAAATATACGAAATAATATACATGCACGGATTTCTGTCGAAAATCGACAACTATGAAACTGTGGTCCCTTCCCCGACACAAACGGTATATTGCGAGACAGGAAATGTAGAGAGAAACAAGCCCTATAACATAGGATACAACATTTTAATGAACAGTGCTTTCCATACAATGAATAAAATGAAAAATAAATTGATGAGATCAATGTGTTGCCGACAGATTGCCCTAGACTTGTTTATTCGGTGCGGCCAATGCAAAAAAGACGCTAACCAAACTTTATCCTATGATGTATGTTTAAGTATTTGTTTATTAACAAGAAAGCGTATTGGTTTTTTATTACAATGTACTGATTGACACTTCGATTTTGCGCCCCCAAAATGTTGCGCCTACGTGCGTGCACGCACTGCAAGCTCACCAGGAACGGCCCTGATATTAACTATAAACTTACCTGGGATTAAAAGGGCAATGTATAATGTGATAGTCTAGACGAGCTTTTGTCGACAATTTCCTAGAACAGTGCGGACAAGCAAACCACCGTTTTTCCCTCCGTTCCAAGTGACTTCTCATGTGTCGTCTGAACTGTTGCCTTGATGACGTTTGGTAGAGGCATTTGGAACAAACGTACCACTTGTTAGGTTGCTGCCCTGGTCTAATTAGAAAATTAAAAGATCTACATCCTGTCTGTGTATCCGGTTCATTTTTCTAAATTTTTTTCGTACCTAATCTTAAGGCCCCCCTACACTGCATTTATTTTGATCGGCTTTAAACACGCAGTTGAAACTAGTGATGGGTTGTTATTTAACTATCTGTTATTTTATAACAATTATTTATAAATAACATAACGAAACCGTTACTACTTTTAAAAAATAACAGATATAAAATAACGACACGTAGAGATCGGCCGCTCGTGAAAGGAAAAACGAAGTCGGCGCTCTGCATCACCACGAAATTCTATGCTGCTCGAAGCAATTCCAAAAAACAACTAGTATGGATGGAAAACATGTTATTTCGTCAACCATCGATACGGCGGCGAGACAACGGACAACGGGTGGGGGAAAGCGCTACGGCGAACGTAGCTGCTTCGGTCGATACCGTCAATGGTCGTATTTACAACAGCTTAAAAATAATAGGATATAAAAGAAGCAGGTTTTTTGAAACAGTTGCGGGCATAACGCCTGGCGGTGGAGATAACAGGAGTGGGAAAGGAACGCTGCTGCATCGGTCGATTGTCGATGGAGGCTCGCAACGGGTTGGAGAAGCAGTCATTTTAGATATGTTGTTTTTCAACCTGTTACAAGCATAACAGGGCGGCGGACGAGATAATAGGTGTGGGAAAGGAACGCTGCTGCATCGGTCGATTGTCGATGGAGGTTCGAAACAGGTTGGGGAATAACGCCCATCAGTTGTTTTAGATACATTCTGTTTCAACCTGTTACGAGCATAACGGACGGAGGTCGAGATATTATGGCGCTGTATGTTTCAGTACTTACTTATTAAGTTTCAATATTTAGGTATATATTTATTGTGAAAAATTTTCAGAATAATATTTTAAGATTTTTTAAAAATGTATACAGGGTGTTTTGAAAAATCTGGTCATTGATTAATCACGATCCTGCTTAAAACCCTTGACGTAAAAAGCTGATTTTTGGAAAACGGATTGACTTGTGTAGAGGTTCGATAAGAAGGGATTTTTCGAAACTCGAATTTTAAGGGGGTGAAACTACTCTGAAATATTAGAATATTTTTTATTTAAAAACCGGTGAGTTTTTCGGAAAAACTCTTAAAAACACGTATATTTTAATATGTTGTTTTACATATTTTTAAGATTTTTAAAAACATATACAGGGTGTTTCATAAAATATGACCATTGAGTAATCACTATTCTGCTTAAACTGCTGGACGTTTAAAGCTGATTTTTTGCAAACGGATTGACTGTGGGGTTGAGGTTCGATAAGGAGGGGTTTCTCGAATCTCAAATTTCAACAGGGTGAAAACGCCCCTCAAGTATTACAATATTTGTTATTTAAAAAACGGTTAGTCTTTCTTTAAAACGCCTAGACACGCATAATTTATTTTGTTTTTTTTACATATTTTGAAATTTTTAAAAAAATCATACAGGGTGTTCCAAAAAGTTGAGTAATTGATTAACCACGATTCTGCTTAAACTGCTCGACGTTAGAAAGCTTATTTTTGGCAAATGTGAGAAAATTTTATCCAGTTTGTATGTTAATGGAAATTCTTGTTTTGCTTTATCATCACCATTAGAAATTATTAATTCGACGCGAACGAAGTCGCGGGTACACGCTAGTTTAAGTGTAAAATTAATTCGAACTCTAGTGTGTAGTTGGTTTACTTATGAAGAATATACTACACATTTTCTTATATTGCTATTTTTGACCGCAAACGGTAAAATCATAACTAAGAGCTTCTCGCCCGTCGAGTGAGATGCACCCTGTACACTGCTACGCAATTCAGGATCTACGCGGATCGAGGGGCAGGGCGTAGGTATATACTATAGACAGTGGCCGAATTTTGGCTTTTATATCGCAATTTGTAAACAGCGCTTATTTGTAAATAACCACCGTTTTTTAGAGGTATTTTAGATAATAATCGATATTTAGAAATGTTTTGACACCCTGGTAATACTACCACCGAGCACGTCATTGCTGCAACTTGCAACTGCGTTAATACGCCTGGCGATGACCGTCTCATACTCTTTCAGATATTTAGCAGTAAAATAAAGAAACCTGTTATTTTTAAGCTGTTATTTTAAGCTGTTTTTTTATAAATAACTATAACAGTTTCAACTGTTATCTAAAAATAACAGTTTTGCCCATCACTAGTTGAAACCGCGCGTGTAGAAAAACGCAATTTTAGCGAAGCCAATCTCTAGACGCTATTTACTAAAAATTGATATAAACCTTGTCAAAAATTAGCACTAATTATGGAAAGATTAAAAATGGATTGAACGTTTCCAGACACATATTTTCAAAAAATTATGTTTCCCTAATTTTTAACTACACCATTTAAAAAATCATATTACTTAATATTAAAATAAATTACAACCTTCTAAAGGCCGATTGGCTGTAAGCGCCATTAAAAAGTAAAGAAAAGCACGGGCCTAGAAAATGACGTCTAGGGCATGACCCCGCCAAAATTGTCATCGATCGTCATTTCCCAGCCGTCTTTGACGTCGTTTTTTTTTCGATCGTATGGTTGTAGTACAATATGTAAGTGTGTACATATATATTGTACAATATAATCGAAAAAAAAACGACGTTAGCGATGGCTAAGAAACGAAGGTTGCCTTCATTTTATATAGGGAATGTAATCGATCGTCATTCGCAAGCCAACTGGGCGCCGTTTTTTTCGATCATATGATATATGATCTAAGGCGGTATCGCAGGATAAGGAGGTATTAGCTTTAACCACGAGAGTGTATGATCTAAGACATAATTTTGATACCCAGATGCAAAAAAACGGAGTAATTTTTGGTTAAATTTATTTTGTGTTATATTTTTGTTATTTTTCGCCCTATTTTCATGATTTTTTTAGGAAACTGTATATCATTATATCAACTTTAATTCGTAAACTAAGTTTTTTTATAAACTTCAGTATTTAGCATATTATACAGGGTTAATCAAGAGGTTGTTTTTTACCCTAATTTTAAAACACCCTGCGCAATAATTTTGTCTGGAAATTTTAACATACATAAAAGGTTTATTTTTTAATTCTCCATAAAAAGAATAATATACAGGGTGTCCCATTTAAAATAACGAAGAAAATTTATTTTATATTTTAGAAAGTTTGGCGTAGAATTTTGAACATCCTGTATGATTTAACATTACAATATGTATAGCAAAGTAAGTACAGACCATCTTAATTAAACACCTAATATAGTTTTGAATCAGGACAGTTCTTGTATTTTTAATAATTTTTTTAAGAAAAGCTGAAAAATATATTTTTGATTGACTTTTTAATATCTCTGAAACTAACGAAATATATTTACTCATATCTTAAGGATTATGTAAAGTGATCACAAAGGAAGCCCAAAATGTAATAATATACAAGGTGTTCCATTTAAAAAAAATCATCCTGATCCACTCACACTTTTTTGAGTCATCCTGTAGAGGTTAAATTATTTTCCTGAAATACATCCTAATACATACTTTAGATTTGCACTTATTGCCGGACCCTGTATACAGCTTGCTAAAAAATTCATGAAAATACTTTGAATAAGAAGACTAAGGAAGGAGCATAATGCTATCCATGTATTCATGCATGGTGGGCGGAAAAAGGACTCTAGGGTGGTGATACTTGACAGTTCTGTTTGACGATTCATTTGACACATTTGAATTTGATTTGAAATTTTGTGGATTTGTCAGTCTTTACGGAACTTATTTTATGTTATTTATTATTTATTCTACTACTGATAGTTGTATAAAGGTAGTAAATCTAGATGGAAATTGTGGCAGAACTTAAATTAACAGTGACACTATCGCGATTTATCGAAAAAGACTATAAAATAGTTGGTTGTGTAACGTGCGGTAGATCTCGGCAAAAATCGAGTGAAATAATGGAACAACTTTTCGCTAGTAAGTGACTATATAATATACATACGTGTCGTAAACCGATCATTTATGAAATTCACTTAAATTAACTAATTATATATTTCTTCTTGCATTTTTGCTTTTATTCGCGACCCAAAGTAAATTCGCGACCTAAAATTTTTACTGGCTTTCCAATCTAAACTTGTTGCATTTATCTATGATGTCAAAGAATTTAGAGACGTCAATTTGACTTACCTCCTTCAGTAGCGTATCGGATGTTTGTGGTAATAAATAATTATTAAAACTTATCTATTTTTATTATAATAATATGTTTTTATAACAATTTTAATAACTACCAACATTTATTCACAACGTAAAATTAAAAAGAAATTATTGAGTCTACCTCACGTCTACCCTACATCATAGTTTTACATTTTTTAAATAAAATTAGAACGGCACTGATAAACCGGAATTTAAGTCGGCCATATTTGAGTCCCATCGCGGTGGACCTAAGATTTTTGATATGCTCCTTCCTTAGTCTTCTTATTCAAAGTAAAAATAGGTCGAAAAATAACAAAAATATAACACTTAAAAATTTCTCCGTTGCGTTTCTTTTGCATCTGAGTGAATATTAACAATAAACTTACCTAAAAAAAGGGCAACGTTCAAGGTGATAGTGTAAGCTAGATTTTGTCGTATATTTGCTATGACAGCTAGGACAAGCAAACAACTCTCGTTCCTCCCGTGCCAAGTGAACTCCCATGTGTCGTCTCAGGTTTGCTACTGATGTCGTTTGGTAGTTGCATTTGGAACAAACATACAATCCTCCAGGCAGCGGCGGCGGCGCTGTCCTTTTCTTTTTCTCTTTTCTAATTAGAAAATTAAAAGATTTACATCCGGTTGGTGTACCTAGTTAATTTTTTTTTATTTTTGAAGTGGAACTTCTTTACGCGCGTTGAAAGTAAAAATTCAAGGCCGCGAGTCGACCTTGATTGACGGCTGCGGGACGGTATGTCCTTGTCATGACGCGAAGGTCATGCGAGGCATCAGATCAAAGAAGTAATCGTTGACAGGAGATATGCCTTATTTTGATTATTTTATAGGGTTATAGCACAGGTTATGATTGAGAATTGTATTTTAGTTCGATTAATTTAATAATTACTAAAACCAGCAGTTTCAAAAATATATTTAAAAATAAAAGATCAGTCAGTGGCGTTGTTGTACTTAAGCGCTTATTTAGATAATATTTTAGTAAAATGTAAAATCTGAATTTTTTCTATTACATAATCATTTATATAAAAGTTTTTGTAACAAAATCATAATTATAACCCTGTTATTATACAAGATAAATTATATTAGGCATCGGTTAAAAAATTAATAATGTTTTTATTAAAAATATATTCCGGTTTATTCTAAAACTATCTTCAGAATCTAAAATAACATACAAGAATTTTAAAATGATATTAAGTGGCTCACCCCTATGATTTTTTATTTTTTCAGATAAAAAAAACAGATTTGTATGTTAGTATATGACATAAATTAATTAATATTATATATATAATAATAATAATAATAAATATAATAATTTCGATTATTAAATTTTTTTCTATAACATGTATTTTATTATTTTTATCGTTTTTGGACGTTTTTTTCTAAACTTTTATTTAAAAAACCTCTCCTAAATCGTAATAATAAAAAAGTTAAATACGATATATTTTTAATTGAATTATACCTTCATTAAAATAAAAAAATTACCCGGCTATAGTACGGAGAGTTCAGGTGTACTGACGAACGAAAGACAGTGTTGCATTCTTCGTCAGAGTCGTCAGGGAACGACCGTTACGACGAAGACAACTTATCTATCGCTCGTGTCGCACTCGTTAGAGCCTAAAACAATAACAAGACATTGTCTGACCGCATGTTCCAGCTATTTATGAACGAGATGCTCAGTCTATATTTTATTTTAAGTCTATGATATTAACATAAACTTACCTAGAAAGAGGGCAACGTTTAAGGTGACAGTTTAAGTTAGATTTTCTCGCAAATTCGCTATGACAGTGCGGACAAGCAAACAACTCTCGTTCCTCCCGTGCCAAGTGAACTCCCATGTGTCGTTTCAGGTCAGCTATTAATGTCGTTTGGTAGTTGCATTTGGAACAACGGTGCAATACTCCACGCTGCGGCACTATTCTAATTAGAAAATTAAAAGATTTACATCCGGTTGGTGTACCTAGTTAATTTTTTATTTTTGAAGTGGAACTTCTTTATGCGCGTTAGGAGTAAAAATTCCAGGCCGCGAGTCGACCTTGATTGACGGCTGCGGGACGGTATGTCCTTGTCATGACGCGAAGGTCATGCGAGGCATCAGATCAAAGAAGTAATCGTTGACAGGAGATATGCCTTATTTTGATTATTTTATAGGGTTATAGCATAGGTTATGATTGAGAATTGAGTTTTTTAGTTCGTTTAATTTAACAATTACTAAAACCAGCAGTTCCAAAAATATATTTAAAAGTAAAAGATAAAAATTCAAAATATTTATTATCTATTAACATTGATTTGAACGATAATAGGTAAGAACACTAAATTGATTCGAATAACGCTAACATTTGCCTATAAAGTTGTGTCGCTATCATAATTTCTATGAAATGTTTAATAAACATTAAAAAAAACAAAATTATAAAGCTGGAATAGTATACGGTTTTATATTAACTCTATTTTTTGAAGTTTATAAAAAAGCATTCATAAAAAACAAAGATATTTAAACTCAAGAGATACAATTGTTTACCTTTTTCCTTCATCGGCCATTATTCTATCCCTATTTTCGCATCTCTCTTACACCGAAAACATTTGCCAGATTTACCTGTATATTGGTATTAGTATTCGATTAAATACCACAACCAATTATTAAGTAATGAATAATTTCGTTATATTTCTATAATATATTAAGTACGTTAATTTGCTAACGTCAAGTTTTTCATTTAATGCTAAACTGCTTAACTATTTTAAATTTTATAATGGAATAAAAATATCATGATCGTGTTTCTTTTAATAATAAAAAGCAGTTTGGCAACGTCAGTTTTAGAAATATGCCGGCGTAGTACAACGGATTTCGAGGATGAATGAAAATTCCTTAATTCTCCTGTTGCGATGTTGCTATGCCGCCGCCGATCAAGCTCCGTATTCTTTATTTGCAGTATTATAGTATTTTTGCGTTATTTTGTAGACTTCTGTGGACATTAATTTGAAAATCTGGTGCATTCATGTATTGTGTACAAGAGAGTGTATCATTTAAATCCAAATTTAACTTTTCACCGGTAAATAAAAATAAGTAGGGTTAGGTATATTATTATATCCTCTTCTCTGTAGATCAGAGGCGGACCTAGACATAAAAAATAGCAGATTTCTAAATTATATTTATTTTTTAAATTGTATATTTATTAATTTATTATGTTTTTTAAATTATATATTTATTAATTAAACTTGGGTTTGACAAATCATTACCACCTTTTGTGAAAATTTTATTGGGGTGTACCAAAAATGGAATTTTGCGGCCTTACTTTTTTGTTGCCGTTACAATTTAATACGGCTTTTGTTTTAAATTTTGGTTGCTATAATGTAAATGGACATTTTTTGACATACATATAATTAATGTACTTATTTATTACATATTTATAATGAATTTTATGACTACTACATTTTGTTGTATTTTTACATTTTATTGTATTGAAATTCTTTGCACATGCACTTTTTATTATTTATAAACAATATGAATTTTCTTTTGCAAACCAGAGAAAAAAAACTAAATATTTTTTAAGACTAAGGGAAGAACCGTTTACTAAACAATCGCCATTTTATTTTATTTAAGATTTCCTAAAATTATCGCTAGACTTTTCTGACTGTATTATAATATCAAATAATTTTGTTTAGATTTGTAATAATTTCATTTAATGACATTCATTTATCGAATTTTAACTTCAGAGCAGACTCTCTATTTGTTCTCATTGTTTCACTACGTTGACCATGATCATTCGACTAGGCAAGTGTATTATTTTAAAATTTCTCAACACTGAACAGCTAACTTCCAAAAATCTTTCAGTTTCATAGCGCCACATTTGTGGAATAATATTTCTAATAACTTTAAATTTCAATCATTTACAGATTATAAAAAACAAATTAAAAATAATTTACTAAATTCCTAACAATAAATCATTTAAAAAATTATAATTTCTTCGACTGATTTGTGAGGTTCTTGTTCTTCTGATATGCCCGTCATTGGTTGCTGTTCCGATTACACTGTTTCGTTATGCCTCTCTCCTTATCTCCGCTCATCCCTGATAAAATTATATTTTCACTTTTTTCATCCAATTTTATTTTCTTTAACTCTGTTTATTTTTATAATTTAATTTATTTCTATTTTGTTTTTGGGGTCGCACCACTTTTGTATCGGTTTTTTAATCGCGGTGCGATCCCTTTAGACACACATTTAGTAGTTGTAAAATTCATATAGGTATATAATAAATATACATATATTAATAAAGTTTTTATCAAAAATATGTGAAGTCTACAAATATTAGTTTTTGGTAAAATATTGTGTTACTAGGTTAATAATAATTAGTATCCTCCCTCAACTTTTTACAATGCGACAAATATGTAAGTGTTATTATTTTTTTAAATTTATTAAACAATTATTTTAATTTCCTTAAAATACTGTCGGTCGATCGGCACGCCACTCGAAATTGATCTCAACCGTCTAATCTTTGTAAACAACTACATTGTTGCCGTTGCGCCGATACCCTATTCCCTTCTTTGTCCATTCTCTCTCGCACTCGTTGATTTTCGCAAACCAATGTGTGATGAAGGTTTAGAGCGTTTTATGAAAGAATCGTTGTGTCTCCCGAGTTTAAATATCTTTGATAAAAAATATATATTCTTCAATTTAATAGCTGTTAGTAAGAAGGTTCACTTCAAGTATGCGCACATAGTGCACACAGTTTTTTTTGGTACTTAATCTTAAGGCTCCCGTACACTTTACGGTTATCTTGCTCGACTTCAAACGTGCAAAAAGAACGGTAGAAAGGACGGGCAAGCAACCTCTTTCTATATTAACATAAACTTACTTGGAATAAAGAGAGCAATGTATAAGGTGAGAGTCTATGCTAGATTTTGACGACAATTTCCTACAACAGTACGGACAAGGAAACCACTGTCCCCTCTCTTCCAAGTGACTTCTCATGTGTCGTTGGAAGTGTCCCCTTGATACCGTTTCGTAGTGGCATTTGGAACAAGAGAACCGCTGCAGTAATCCTCCAAGCTGCGGCGCTGTTCTAATTAGAAAATTAAATGATTTACATTCTGTCGGTGTATCCGGTTAATTTTTTTTAAATTTTTTGGTACTGAATCTTAAAGACCGCATACAATCGTAACCACCGTAATAACAAGGCCGCACAGCTTATTCGTGACGTCATCAAATGGAGGCCTAAACTTTGATTGCATTTGATACACTTTATACGTATATAATGGATATAAACTTTAATTGCACCGAATTTTTAATAAATAATAATTAAACATAAAATTTAAAAAACATCAGATTGATATCCCATCTCACATTATCCATTGTCATTGTATTTATTTATGCTATTAAGTGTGTCTAAGTTTCTTTTATTTCCTTTTCCAAGTCTATCATTTTTTTACAACAGTAGTTTTTCAGACGTGTATTTCTAATACAATTTATGACAATTTTTACAATAACTTAGCATTATAAATAGTACATTGCGGAACTTTTAATAATGGTGTTATTACTTTTAATGTAATCCAAAGATATTTTTGATAAAAATATTTTTTATTGTGAATTTTGAGAAACTCCTCATGGCTTTGCAAAACTTTGTTAAAAATTATATATTCAAATAAAACTATATTATTTGGAAACCCAATATTGCCTTTAGTAAGGTTTTTTAATAGGTGAATTTTGTTCAATATCTGTGTTGTTTGAAAATGTTAAATTATTCTTACATGTATCGCATTTAATTTCCTTTAAAACAATATAACAGCAATATCCTTCTAAATAAGCAATAATAGGCGTTTCTTCCTTCACATTTTCGATATCTTGTTCAGAAATAGTAATGTCGATGTTAGACCAATCTGATTCAATATGGTACTTGTATCGCGTGGTATTTCTTTAGAAAAGGTATTGTCATCATAAAATCATAAAAAGTATCGATTTTTATAGAACCAAAACAAGTAGATTTTAGGGACATTAGTGACTGAATCCTAAGTTTCTTTTTGCTGTCATATAAATGTCGAACACAAATACTGTACTGACTCCCAGCTACTTTTTCTGAATAGATCTTTAAATAGAACTTTTTCACCCTTTTATTATCGATTGTAATTACCACGTCCACACACCTATCAATAAATCGATGATTGTCAGCTGCGGCAATACCACTCCGCTACGACAGGCGCCTCCGCGCGGCACCGTCGCCCCTGAGTAGGGGGCGTAAAATATCGATGAAATACATAATATATACCATAAAAAATATCTATATTTTTATTGTTTTTTTTCTCATAATATACACTATTGTGAACGTAAAATATTCCTTTATTAAATTTGATTGACAAAAAGTTAGAAATAAACATTTATTGACTGGTATGATTTTTTCCGTATTCTATTAAAACTATTTTTATATACTATAATATTTTTAAAAACTCGGAAAAAGACATTTTAAAACTTCGAAATATATCTGGTGAGTGAAAAAAGATCCACAATTTGAACTTTTATCGGGTAATTATCAACGCTGCTAAATAGAGTTAGGCCTCCAGTTGGTGACGTCACGAGATTTTTACGTCACAGCTGTTCGGCCTTGTTATTACGGTGGTTACGATACAATTCATTTATTATCGATATTGGCTCGGCTTTAAACGTGCAGTTAAAACGGCGCGCGTAGAAAAAAGCAATTTTAGCGAAGCCAATCTCTAGACGCCATTTACTAAAAATTGACATAAACCTTGTCAAAAATTAGCACTAATTATGGAAAGATTAAAAATGGATTGAACGATTCCAGAGACAAATCAATTTTCAAAAAGTTATTTTAAACTACACCAATAAAAATAATATTACTTAACATAAATATAAATTACAACCTTCTTATTCCGATTGGCAGTAAGCGCCATTAAAAAGTAAAGAAGAGGCCGGACCCGGAAAATAACGTCTAGAGCCTGACCTCGCCAAAATTATCAACGATTGTCATTTCCCAGCCGTCTTTGACGCCGTTTTTTTCGATCGTATGGTATATGTACAATATTGTCAAGGTTAAGGTGTATGTAACGCTAAAATGTATTACTGGTTGCCTACACAACCGCAACGTGTCAAAAATGGCGCATCCGCCAGAAGTAAAAGACTTTCAGGCGCGCCATCTCTTAATCAAGTCGACAAGTAAGCGAATCAGACAATGGAATTGTCCAGTATGAAGTAGAACGCTCTCCGAGAATTGTAGAAGGTTCGAGAAACAGTCAATAGAGTATATAAGCCGGCGTAATCGACAACTGGAACAGTTTGAAGTTTGATAATACTGCGTTTTAAATGGTGAATTAATTGGCGAAGGTGCCAGTACCGTTAGAGTAATAGTAGTTGCATAAATTGCGTTGTAAATAGTATAACTTGTGTGTACAGAGTGAGACAAATAAAATCGTTAAGTATTTCATCGTGAGTTTAAATTAGTGGACCCACGGAATCCGTAAAAATATGATCGAAAAAAAAACGGCGTTAGCGATGGCTATGACATAAATATCGCCGTCATTTTATATAGGGAATCGATCGTCATTCACAAGCCAACCGGACGCCGTTTTTTTCGAACATATGGTGTATGATCTAGGACGGCATCACAACTGGAGGTAATAGCTTTAACCACGAGAGTGAATAATCTAAGACATAATTTTTATATTAACAATAAACTTACCTGGAACGAAGAGCGCAACTTTTAAGATGACGGTGTAAGCCACCTTTTCTCGTATATTCCTTATCACACAGCGGACAAGCAAACAACTCTCGTTCTTCCCGTGCCAAGTGAACTCCCATGTGTCGTCTCAGGTTTGCTATTAATGTCGTTTGGTACTTGCATTTGAAACAATCATACACTCTTTTACGAAGCTGCGCTGGTCTAATTAGAAAATTAAAAGATTTACATCCGATTATCTGGTTAATTTCTTTTTTTTTTGTACTCAATCTTAAGGTTCCCATACACTTCGGTTATTTTGCTCGGCGTTAAACGTGCAGTTAAAACCGCACGGGCAAGCAACCTCTACACACTGCCGCATTTTGGACTGGAATGCGCCGAAAAAATATAAAAAAACTGGTCCCGCCATTGCACTGGCTTGAATAAACCTGCGCGGTTTATGTCCATACACCAACAGGTTAGAACGAACGGGTCGAACCGTACGGTTAAAATATCTGGCGAAGACACATATTGAACGAACGGACAAAACTGGATCGAACACTCACATACCCTGTCGTTTTTAATTCAACAGTCCTACCAGTTAGATTAAAACCCTGCAAAATGTCCCAAGTGTATGAGGGCCTTACTGGTAAGTTCAGCAGCCTCATTATTACTGTTAATTAATTAAAAATAATACATTTTAACATTTAACTTTTCCTCTAGTCTGTCCAACGAAAAAAACATAACAGTGACAGTTGATCTGACGTTTTAGTTCAAGAGGAGACTGTATTGTCTGCCATTTTTTTTGGACGTCATCCTCCAAAATCATATATTCTCTCCTTGAACAGACTATATAATTATCAAGTTACTTCTTAGACATGAGTTAATTAATGCGACAATCTCAAAATAATTAAATAAAAAAAACTCACTCATCATCCGAATCTACGCTGCTTCCGCTGGTAAGTTCGACGTCATCGATACCACTGTAATTTAATAAGAATCACATTAATATTTCTTTCTCTATAGGCTATCTAGCAAGAGAATATATGAACGAATGTTCTCTGTCGTTTGGTTTCATAAGTAGAGTGATTTTTTGAATGACATATGCCGAAATTAAACATTCCCTTGCTGGACAGACTATATATTATTAAGTTATAAAAAAACGTGTTAATTGATACGATAATAATGAAATAATTATTTTCCAATAGTCAGGTATTTTCTGACATTTTTTTAGCGGTTACCTATCAAAATCAAACATTTCCTATCTGGACATACTATATTTATTAAATTATTTAGACATGTGATGCAAAAAAAAACGATATTTCAACCTTTAACTCCAAAAAAAATCTCAGAAATTTGTTGGAAATAAAACAACAAAACTAATGAATATGATGGATAGGTTGTTATAAGGAACCAAAACAATCCCTAATTATATAATTAATGTTCGGCAGATAATTCTTACAAGGAACGACCAACAATGACTGAAAATAACTTTAAATCAACACAGAATCGCAATTGTACAGTTCAACTGAACAAAAACTAGTTTATGATACCTTAATATGCGTTTTATTATCAAAATTTAGACGAGCACGAAACCTAACCTGTATGTTTTAATATTCCCTCATTTCTCATCTGGTTTTGATCAGTTAGTAGTCTCACGTTATTACGGAAATCGTCAAAAAATTAATCACATTACATATTTCATTTTTGATTTGTTTTTTTGGCTAGAAAACGCATATACATATAACTATATATATATAGTCTGTGAAATGAATAACTTTGAATTTGACAGTTCCCGCGGGATTTTTTAGTGTTTATTTTATTAGGTTAGCAACTTGCGGCCATGCTGACGCAATGCCGTCTCTAATAGAACAGCCTCTGAGAGAGATTTATTATATCACGCTAGTTACTACGGATTAATATATATGTTGTAGAATACATGGAAAACATAATTATTCACCGTATTTTTGGTTTGTATTTGAAAAACAAACTTTGATTTTAAAATACAAACCAAAAATACGAGGAATAGTTATGTTTTCCATGTATTCTACAACATATTTATTAATCCGTAGTATCTAACTACCGTGACGTCATAAATCTCGCTCCGAGGCTGTTCTATTAGAGACGGCATTGGTCTGATATTTAGAAATGTCAAAAGCTGATGACATTTTACTTTTGACAATTATGACATTTGGTGTTGATTTTTGGAAGAAGAGGAAGAACGGTCACTGGTTTTATTATTTTCCTTTTCTATTTCACAAAAGTAAAAAGAGTTACCTATCTGATTCGTTCAGGCACTCAATTTAAAGAATAGCAGTAACTTTTTTCATAGAGGGATTTTATATTTGCCGTGTTGGTAAGAAATAACGGTCAAAATCCAAAGTTAATCATTTTATAGACTATACTCAGTGTTCCCTATTTAACCCCGTGTGCTGTTTCCGTGCCGTAAGAAAAAGACAACATAACTCAGCTCCATATTAATGCTGCACAAGTCTATTTCACCCGGATATCGAATGAACTGCGATTGCGCCAAACTCCGATTAATTATTGTTTAGTTCTGTTTAGATTACTTTCAATTTGTGCGTGTAAAAGAGTGATTTTGTTTAGTTTACTGTTTCCAAATTATTTTTTGATATTTTTCCAACTCCATGATAATGTGTTATAAATAATAAAAATATAAATAAAATTGAAGGTTAGGTGAAATGTTAGTTAACCACTTCCCTTTAAAAACACCGACCAATGGAAACTTCTTCAAGTAAGGCATGCGCAGTTAAATGAATATCCGGGTGAAATAGACTTATGCAGAATTCCATATTTCTCTTTCACTGTTTGGACTTCACCTTTTAGAGATTAGGCTGAGTATACAGACTGGGCCACCGTAGTAGTAATATAGGCAGAACCGGACGAATTAGCGTATACCCGTCCGCCGGATAAAAAGCAGGCGAAAAAATGCGATAAAATAAAAATAGGTAGATATGTGATAAGAATGTTTCAGAATTTGTATTTATTCGTTTTAATAGCCAAAACGAATACATAGATTCTCGCGACAGTTCTCGTGTAAAATTTATTTTTTAAATAAAATAATGGATGTTTACAAAGTCCGTGAGAAAATTCAAATTGTAAAATGGTATTTCCAAAATAGGTCTTATCGGAATATACAAACAATTTTTCCACAAACTTTTGTAAACAGGCCAATTCCATCTTTACCTACTGTATCAAGAGTTATTGATAATTTTGAAACACATGGGTGCGTGTTCCCACAAAAACACAAAAAGCCTGATGTGTTGATTAATGAAGAACAGGAGTTAAAGCAAGTGTTCATTTGTGCTACCGCGGATCAAAATCCCACGTTTTTAAGTAATCAAATTGCTGAGGTGGTTGCCCTGCCCACAATTCCCGTATTGTTCAAGAATATTTGAACAATACTTTTCCCAACCGTTTAATTAGTGGACATGGAACTATTTTGTGGCCGGCTAGGTTACCAGATCTTTCTCCCAATGATTTCTTTTTGTGGGGTTATGTAAAATCCAAAGTGTATGGTCATAATAGGGCTAATAATCTGGATGAGCTTCAAGTAAATATACGATATATTTCCAAACTATTAGCCCTAATATGTTAGCCAATGTCAGATGGGGATTTTACGACCTTCTGTCTAGCACAAGAAAGTGGTCTTAAACAGTGGTCATAACTTTTTTTTATTTAGAGTAGGTAATATTTGTTTTTTTGGGGTTTAGAGAATTTATTTATTTTTAGTTTTGGCGTGTAAACACTCAAATATTAAATATTTAATTATTTTAATTTTAAATGTTACCTTAATTGAAGGTAAACACTTAAAATGAAAATAATAAATACTCGGCACTCCTCGCGTCGTATTCCTGGTCTGTCACGACCGACCCGTCCAAGCACAACTGTAACTGCGTACTGCCTGACCAACCGACTAGCCGGCAGTGAATCTCGAGTACGGACGCAAATCGGGTAAACGTAAATTCGTCTTCTCTGTATGTAGTTATATGTATATGAGAAAACGAGCCAAATTCCAAATCAGAATAGCCAAATATTTCAACCACTGTTGATGGTATAAAATAAATAAAAACTCACGTAGACCCAGCAAGATTAAGCACAATGTGATCAATGAAGTGACCCCTTCTCGTGTATTTCTTGTCGCAGTGCGGACAAATATAAAACTGTCGCTCTGCCCGCTGCAAGTGACTTTCCATGTGTTCCTTAAACCTTTCTTTGTGTGACGTTTGATAGGAAGGCGTCGGACACTGAGAGGTCGCTTCCTTCGCTGCTGCCATTCTAATCAAATAATTTGAAAATTTTAGTGCATTATAATTGTACACAAAATGGTTTCTTACACTCTTAACCTTATAACCAATGACTAAAGGATAAAAGTGGCAATTAGCGGTAGTAATGTTCAATTAGTCAAAAAATTAACAAACTTTTAACTTTTTCCACTAATTATATTTCAAAATTAACAAATAATGTCATTTTGGCCTTTGGTTATCTTCCATGAAGAAAAATTGTGGTTAGAAATAAAAAGTTTATTGTTTTATAAGCTAATTATTGGGCTTTCTCTATGGATACAACTGACTACCGCAAGCTGTTGCTAGGATATTCTATTAACTCTAATTGAATTTTTTTGACATAGTGAATGATCATAAGTATAAAGTATAATTATAACCACTAATTTATTCCACTAAATTCAATGTTCGAATCTTAACTCGAAATTAGACAAACGGAACAGCGAAATTGTGACGGTATTTGACTTATTGCTATATCTTTCTATTATCAATAGACTTACGTGCAGCAAGGACGATAATATTTAAGGTGGTGGTCGAATATGGTTTTTCCTAAAAAATTCTTGTCGCAATACGGACAGGTAAAAGATCTCTTCTCTTTATCGGTTCTCCCGTGAGCTGTCCTGTGTAGCTGAAATTCTACTTGGTGCGGCGTTTGGAAATCACACGACGAACACATGTACAACGTTTTATTTCTTGCCTTTGGTCTAATTAAATAAGTTTTAATATTACAGTCTCATATATACGTCAATCGTAAATAAAAGTTACCCAAGTACCCATATTAGGTATACGAGGTAATCACTTCAATAGCATCTAACATATAAGTAAACTCCTATCAGTAGTATATAATAATACATAACACAATTCATATGCCACGACAAATAAGTTTTGAAAAAACGTTATGACACAAATATTGGCGCCCAACGTGGGGCCAAAATCTAAAAAGAATTAAATCTCTGTAAGAAAAAATCATAATAGATTTATCATATTGTGACATAACTTGTGATTTTTGCAGAAAAAGAAGAAAACTAAAAAATAAGTTTTGAAAAAACGTTACACAAATATTTGGCGCCCAACATGGGACCAAAATCTAAAAAGAATTAAATCTCTGTAAGAGAAAATCATAATAGATTTATCATATTGTGACATAACTTGTGATTTTTGCAGAAAAAGAAGAAAACTAAAAAATAAGTTTTGAAAAAACGTTACACAAATATTTGGCGCCCAACGTGGGGCCAAAATCTAAAAAGAATTAAATCTCTGTAGGAGAAAATCATAATAGATTTATCATATTGTGACATAAATTGTGATTGTTATGCTTGTTTGCAGAAAAAGAAGAAAACTAAAAAATTAGTTTTGAAGAAACAAATTTGAAAAGAATTAAATCTCTGTAGAAAAACATCATATAGAGAAATTGGAACAACTTTCGTTGCACGTCATCAATGACACCATGCGTCGTCTTATGGACTTTGCTGGTGGTCGTATTATGATGTGCAACGGAAGTTATTTTAATTTCCCTTTAATATATTTGTCATATTATCACATAACTTGCGATTGTTAAGTTTGTTTGATCAGGACCGCATTATTTTAAATTTTCGCCTATTTTAGTATTTTTGGATCTCTCATAACTCAAGAACGAATTGGCATAAACCATTCAGAATAAACAATTTGTTCTTTAAAAAGTTACAAATACATTTTTCAGTAAAATAAAATGTGGAAAACTTATTCAACATTTTTAAAATTTATATGGGATTTCCTATGTTCAGGGTAATATCAAAAGTATCAAATAATTCGAAGTAGATTAAAGAACTCCTCTAGAGAAGATGAACAAATTAGGCAAAGAAAAAAATCTTACATCTCCAACATTATCGGACGCATGAAAACCCACCCTAATTCTTACACTATCAATAAACTTACATGCAGCCCCTATGAAGTCTGTAAAGGTGAGTTGTTATACGTTTTCGGGACCAATACGTAAGGTGACAGTGAGCACAACAGTATATCTCTCTCTGTCTATCTGGCAAGTGAATTTTACGGTGTCTTTTCAAGCTTGACATCTTTACTGATTTGAAGTTACATTTGGAACATCTATAAATCTGTTTCTGCCTTTCAGGCCTAGATAAAGAATTTTACAAGTTTATTTTTTTAGGGGTATTCGTATCTTCAGATCATATTATATATTTACGTGGATAAGTAAATCACTATGGAAACTGTCGCAAACATATCAACGACTTTATCTTTTTGACAAACCTATTGAAGCTATATTAAAACAAAAGACAAACCTATGGAACGTTTCATAAGTGCAAAAAAGAAGGTTTGAAAATGGCATGTCGTGATGTTGGAGACATATTTTTTAACGCTAAACTTATGGCGTTGATTTATCCACGTAAGTATATATTTATGATCTAGGATTCGTATACATTTTTAAATAAAAAGATTAAGGCAGGAGCATCTCAACAAACTATAACTGGAGAAACAGAACATCTTAGAGCTCTTTCACACGAGCCACTTGTGTTAACTTCCTTTAGGAAGGTTGGTAAGATGTTATATAATCGAGGTGCAAAAAACTTTGAAGATCTTTGTCCAACAGTTTTAGAGCATAAAACTAGGATAAAACGCCTTATGTCTAGTTTCATATTCATGGTCAACATGTTCAATAGATATTTTCCCCTGATAAATGAATTTTAAAACATCTAGGCAGTATAGCTGACGTATATCCAGTAGATGGCGCCTACTTAAAGAGAACGTTTGAAGAGAAAGTTTTCTTTTTATTGTAAATAATTTTTATGAACCATTTTTGAACAGAATACAAGCTCTTTAAATGAGATTCAGCCGCACCACCCCACCCTAGAATTCCATATGTCAAATGAGATTGTACAAGCGATGAGTACAGGATTCTAAGCTGTTTGACGTCCAAAAAACTTTTCAAATAATTAAATTTCGGCAACAATCCTCGCATTTTTTTAGCTACATTATTAATATTAATATTCCATTTAAGATGTTTGACGATTGTAACCTCTAAATATTTTATAAAATCACATTCCGGTATTACATTATTATTGGTTAATCTGTCCCAATCTGGTTCATTATTTTTATAAATAGAGAAGGATATAAATTTGGTTTTGTCATAGTTTAATGTTAATTTGTTTTTGACAAACCGGGTATTAATTGTCTGAAAGTCTTCCTCTGCTAATCTTTTCAAATTCGACCAAGAGTTAGATTTGTAAAATATCGCTGTATCATCTGCGTAGCTAAAAATTTCTGCTTTTGTGTTAATTGTAAGTAGATCATTAATATAAATAACAAACAATAACGGACCCAACACAGTGCCTTGTGGTACACCATGCTCAATCCTTCCTGGCTTGCTATTAATATCTCCCAAATTAACATATTGTGATCTGTTCTTAAGGTAACTTTTTAAAATACTAAGGCTGTTTCCTCGTATTCCATATCTCTCTAATTTGTCTAAAAGTATTTTGTGATTTACCGTATCAAATGCTTTAGCGAGATCTACGAATATACAGAGGCTTCGATGTCCCGAGTCTAGAGCATCATAGATTGATGATGTCAATGCATGAACGGCATCCTGTGTTGATTTGCCTTCTAAAAAACCAAATTGATTTTTTGATATTATGTTAAATTTTAGAAAGAATTTTAACAAACGTTTTTTTATAACTGTTTCAAAAATTTTAGAAAAAACTGATAATATAGATATCGGTCTATAATTGCCTATATGCTCCTTATCACCCCCTTTATATAATGGTTTAATTACACCTACTTTAAGACAGTCCGGAAAACAACCACTTTCGATACAAAAATTTATTAAAAACGTTAAAATGCTACTTCACATCCGTTTTTACAATATATCTACACGATTTTCTCGATTTAATTTGGTGTTAGCCCGCCATCAGTGGCGGACACGAGTGGCTGTGAAATTGGATTCGTGTGAAAGGGCTCATAAAGGTATACTACACACTACATTATTAGGGTTTAGATTAGTAGTGGGAACTATCGAATGAATACTATCGAAACATTCGATAGTTGCAATTCATTCGAATAATTCGATAGTTAGTAAGAAAACATTCGTTGAAAATTATTCGAATAAAAATTATCGAATAGATCCGTCATCTGCCTTGAAATATTGTATTCTAGTAATTCGGCAGCAAAAACCATTCATTTATAAAATTCATTCATTTATGAAATTCATTTATTCGTCAAGATCGATTATAATAAAATATTAACTGAATTTTAGTTGTCGCCCGGCGATGTAGGTTTCGGCAATGCTATGAAAGAAGGCGGCATCTTTGATTTTTTGCGGAGTCAGATATAGATAAGGACACATTATTTTTTTTATTGAGGTGCTAGTATTTACACAGAAAATACATTATGAAGGGCGCTGTTGCCATATTTTGGTATTAGTTGATATTAGCAAAGAATATTATCGTTTGGCTTTAGTTAGTTAGGGATAGTATGTCTATATATTCTGCATTTTTTTTTTATTATTCTGTTGTTACACTGCAATAATACTTGTTATTTTGGATGTAGGAAAATCATTTTTAATGTTTTTAAGCAAAGACTGGTTTAATAAATAATAATAACAGGAATAATTTGTTATACCTATTAACAACAAAATTTAAAATCATTTAATATAAATATTTTTTTAAGCAGTAGCAAAATATAAACAACAAATTAGATGTCAAAATTATTTATATTAGATCCTATTTAAAAATAATATAGTCTCTAAATTTTTTGTGTGTGGCAACGTTGGTTTATTAAATAATAATAATTACAGAACTAATTTGTTATATTAACAACAAATTTTAAAATCATGAAATATAAACATTTATTAATTTTCTAAGCATGCAGTGTAATGGAAGGAAAATATAAATAAAAATTCGAAATCAAAATTATTTATATTAGGTGCTTTATATTACTATTTAAAAATTATATTTACTTTTACTGGCATTTACTTTAAAAAAATAAATGAAATATTTCTTCGCAAAAACTACATGTAAAAAGAATTAGCATAAAGAATTAGCCAAATTAAATTGGCACGTGTAAAACTTTCATTTTAATTTTCTCACCCCATAGTTTGAGTTCGATAACCGCATTTACTTAACCACATTACTTAAATATGATTATTAAGTTCAACTAATTCATATTATTAAAACATCTAAAATAAAAATATGTATTTTTAAAATTAATTGTAAGTTCATCTCATCTCTCTTAAAAATGGCTACTTCTCAAAATTTCCCATTAAAAAATAGACCATATACCATATAAAATTAAATAATTGAAAGATCGGACTACGGAAAACCACACAAATTTTTTTTCATTTATTTTAACTATTTTAATAAACGCAAAAATAGCACAGTATTTATACAGCGAAGTTATAAAAATTTGGAAGAACTAATAATGCACTGACGCATACAAAAATCAAACGAATACTAAATTTCATTTATCAAAAGCATTCGATAGTCGTGGCTCAACGATAACCATTTAGTCGCACGGCGAGGTTGTCACATATGCTTTAGTATACAAATGAATGAATGATTCTATTCGAATAAAACCATTCGATAGTTGAAATCATTCATTCATTAACCATTTGATAGTCTAATTCATTCGATAGTTCCCATCGCTAGTTTAGATATTGATCATGCGCAATTCAATAAACTTACATGGTCTCAGGATGAACAATGATCAGGTGATGGATTAAGTTGATTTTTTGCGTATATCTTTTGCTACAGTGCAAACAACTGTACATTTCTCTTTTTTCCAGTGGCAAATGAACTACTTCATGACGCTTCAGCAAAAAATATTTCGATGCTCGATAGCCACATGTGGAACATTTATACCCCTTTTTTTGCAACCTTCCTCTTTTCCTGTTTCTATTTTTTCTGATTAATAAGTAATAAATTACAAAAAAATACTACTGAAAAACATACTTATATTTTAAACCATCATCAAATTCTTCCTCCATCAGAACATTTTTTTCTTGTTGATTGTCTTCTGTACTGGTAAGGTCAACAGCACGAGTATCCCTGTAATTTAATAAGAATTACATTAATAATATTTCTTTGTCTACAGACTGTCTAGCAAAAGCACATATAACAGCGACGGTTATTCTCTGATTTTCTAGGATTTTTTTTGGAGAGATGTATTAATTATTATGACAATGATAAAATAATTAAAGAACAAATTAAGAAATGCCAAGTAAACTACTCACAGTTCTACGCTGTTTTGAACTTGTTCTTCTTGCTTATTGACTTCCGCGCTGGTAAGTTCGACGTCATCGATAAAACTGTAATTTAATAAGAATTGCGTTAAAAACATGTCTTTCTCTATAGCCTGTCCAGCAGGAGAATAAATTACAACGACGATTATTCTCTGTCGTTTGACTTTGTAGCGTTTTTTACAAACATTACCACTGCGAACGGCAGCTTTTCATCGGAGAGCAGTCGTGGGTAAGGTATTTCACTAGAGACAAAACTAATCAATAACAATAAACAAAAAAATATAGATATTGGGCACCAGGCATATACAGAGAAAGAAAACACAGTTGTATATTACTTAAAACTAATGACTATATTTCATGATGTTCTTTGCTGGTACATGACATTGTAGAATTCTAATAAATATATAGTGGTTATATGTCAAAAAAAATGGTGTTAAGAGGTGTACTAAATATCTATGAAAGTAATACCATTACAAGACGTAATGTAATGAAACCTAAGATCTAAATCATATTTTAAATATTAAATCGACATGAATGTTCTTAACAATCTAACCACTAAACATAGTCTGTACGATATTACTTAAAATGTACGTCATTGTTTAAAACTGAAAATATTTTAAATGTTAAATGTAAAACTAGAACTTAAATCTACACTTAGCTGTTCTTTATGTAATCTTGCTTCAAACAGTAACAGCGTGAGGTGGGCTTGCATCTCTGTACTCGGCCACCCAATATAACAAAAGGGGGCCAGAATGAGGACACCATGAATTGATCCAGCCGTAACTACTGACTAGACTGAGAAATGGGAACGAAGCAGCATGGGGCTTACGCTACATCCATACTGTGGCAATATGGGGACACTACCCATACCTTGGAACACTACTAGGACCTTGAATAATGCCCGAACCTTGGAATCAATACATAGATATGGGACACCTGCCCATACCTTGAACACAGTCCGTCCATAAGATAACGGTACAGGGGAACACTACCCGTACCTTGGACACAGTCCGTCCATAAGACCCTAAAAATACGAAACTCTTGTTTAAAACCAAACAAGGTCTAATAAACAAAATAAACCTACCTCGAAACACTTCCGAGGGCTCAATAATAAACAAAGAAACTGTCCTTTCTTCCATGTAACATTCTGGAGGACAAAAGCAAAAGAACACCAATGTGCCAGCAAAATACAAATACGAGTTAAGGTGGGTCAATCCAAAACTCTACCCTAAAAATATTCAATAATAATAACAAATCTAATAAAGATAATATCTCATCTTTACCTGTTGCTTCGAAATGGCAGCTGATTCAGATTTTGCAGCAAGATTTAAATTATTACCATTTCTAAAAGCCAGGATACAACAGAGCGGCAAAACAAAGTGAGGTTAAGCACGGAGAGAGTTTAACAGAAGCGATGTTGACAGCGCCTCCACAGAGCGATAACAGGGTTGTGTCAAACGATAACAGGGTTGTGGACTAGAGAACGTAAAAATTACGCCAAGCGTATCAAATAAATTATCCGGCCTGAACGATAGGGAATCCGGTGATGATACGCCAGACATCATATATCATAATCAAAGACATGTAACGAACTAAAAACGTTACAACTTCTCAAGCAGACTGATTTTTTTGGCATTTTTTGGATGACATCTGTCGAAATTAAATATTCTCTTCTGGATAGACTATATACATCGAGATATACAGAAAACATGCATTAATTAATATCATAGCGATGAAATAGTTAATAAATAAAAACTAGTAAAACTATACTTACAGCTCTAACTTCTGTTCTATGCTGTTTTGAACTTGCTCTTCTTCTTGATTACTGACTTCCAGGCTGGTAAGTTTAACATCATCGATATCACTGTAATTTAATAAGAATTATATTAGTGATATTTCTTTCGCTATAGGCTCTCTAGCAAGTGAATATATATGACAGTGACGATTGTTCTCTGTCATTTGACTTCACAAGTAGATTGGTTCTTTTCTGACATTTTTTGGATAACATCTATCGAAATTTAATATTTTCTATCTGGATACTATATGCATCGAGTTATAAAGAAAACGAGCATTAATTAATACGATAATGACGAAATAGTTAATAGCCTATCGTTAAATAATAAATAAAAATAAATCCTAATAAAGCTATACTTACAGCTCTAACTTCTGTTCTATGCCGTTTTGAACTTGCGCTTCTTGTTTATTGTCTTCTATGGTAAGATCCACAGTGTCCACAGTCAAACTAACAAAATATTTTAATTAAAAAATACAACAGGATCGCCCATATCTTGACATTATATTTGGGAGGTTATTATAGCTTTATATCTATGAAAATGTATATAATCTATATATGAATCTTAAACAAAAAAATTACATTAATAATATTTATTTCACTATACGCTGTCTAGCAATAGAATATATGACAGTAACGAATGTTCCCTAACATTTAATTTCAAGTAGAGTAGTTTTTTTCTGACATTTCTTATACGCAATCTGCCGAAATTAAACATTCTCTTGCTGGACAGACTATAGTCTACCCAACGAGAGACTTCCTGACAGTGACAGTTGTCTGTCATTTTAACTCGCAGGCAAATTGTATTTTCTATCACAGGGTATTGATAATCAATTCTCTTGTAGCATGCATATTTAAATATCTTTAAATATTTCAAAAACCAATGATTTTAAACAAATTTAACCCTTATAAAAAATGTCTTTTTTTGGGCCCAAGAATCCAAAAATTAAATAAAATACCGGGTGTTCCATAAGAAAAAATATAACTTTGGTATGGATCTTAGTTTTGACACGCCCTGTATATTTCAAAATAATTTTAAATTGTGTACATTGACTCTCCACATATACCCATAAAATATTTTGTTTCTACATCTTTCCGTTTTCGTATAATCAACCGAGGCGGATGAGGTGCGCCACCCTGTATAATAGGATTTAGGTATAATTATTATACTAACAATAAACTTACCTGGAATTGGTATGATTAATACCAAGGTGGTTATTTAAGCCCTTTTTTGTCAATAATATTCTGTCGCACAGCGTACAAGCAAACGTCTGTCGTGTTTGTCTAATAAAATAATTTTAAAATATTACCATATTATAATTGTATTGTTATTATCATTAGGTACGCGCGATTACTATTGTGTGTAAAAAACATACTTAAATCGTAAACCACCATCAAATTCCTCCTCTATCAGAACATATTTCTCTTGTTGATTGTTTTCTGTACTGGGAAGATCAATAGCACTAGTATCCCTGTAATTTAATAAGAATAACATTAATAATATTTCTTTGTCTACCGTCTGTCTAGCAAAAGCATATACAGAGAAGACCAGGCTACTAGTAACATAGCAAGTTGCGGGACGAATTTACGTTTACCCGTTTTGCGTTCGTACTCGAGATTCACTGCCGGCTAGTCGGCTAGTCAGGCAGTACGCAGTTGCAGTTGTGCTTGGACGGGTCGGTCGTGACAGACAAGGAATACGAACGGAGGAGTGCCGAGTATTTATTATTTTCATTTTAAGTGTTTACCTTCACTTAAGGTAACATTTAAAATAAAAATACTTAAATCTTTATTATTTGAGTGTGTTTACAAGCCAAAACTAAAAATAAATAAATTCTCTAAACCCAAAAAAAACTAAAATATTACTCTAAATAAAAAAAGTTATAACAAGTGTTCAAAAAGACCATCTTCTTGTGCTAGATAGAAGCCCAGGCGGTCGTAAAATCCCCGTCTGACATTGGCTAAACATATTAGGGCTAATAGTCTGGAAAGCCTCTCGTATTTTTACTTGAAGCTGATCCAGATTATTAGCCCTATTATGACCATACACTTTGGATTTTACATAACCCCACAAAAATAAATCATTGGGAGAAAGATCTGGTGATCTAGCGGGCCACAAAATAGTTCCATATCCACTAATTAAACGGTTGGGAAAAGTATTGTTCAAATATTCTTGAACAATACGGGCATTGTGGGCAGGGCAACCACCTCAGCAATTTGATTACTTGAAAACGTGGCGGTAGCACAAATGAACACATGCTTTAACTCCTGTTCTTCATTAATCAACACATCAGGCTTTTTGTGTTTTTGTGGGAACACGCATCCGCATGTGTTTCAAAATTATTAATAACTCTTGATACAGTAGGTAAAGATGGAATTGGCCTGTTTACAAAAGTTTGTGGAAAAATTGTTTGTATATCCCGATAAGACCTATTTTGGAAATACCATTTTACAATTTGAATTTTCTCACGAACTTCGTAAACATCCATTATTTTACTTAAAAAATAAATTTTACACGAGAACTGTCGCGAGAATCTATTTATTCGTTTTAGCTATTAAAACACGAATAAATACAAATTCTGAAACATTCTTATCACATATCTACCTATTTTTATTTTATCGCATTTTTTCGCCTGCTTTTTATCCGGCGGACGGGTATACGCTAATTCGTCCGGTTCTGCCTATGCTACTACTACGGTGGTCCCGTCTGTATAACAGTGACTGTTCTCCTCTGACATCTGTCGATATTAAGAATTCTCTTGCTACACATACTATACCGTGCTGGCAACTGTTACTCTTGGGTCGTTATTCACATGTGTGGAAGTATATCGCATAAGGATCTTATTAAGTCGGAGTGAGAGAAATGCGACGGAGTGCTGTTGCGGCGTTGCCGCTACGCCTTTCCCTATCAAGTAAAGTAAAATCACGATCGCAAACCGCTTATTTTTAAAAGACTTTTTTTCGAAAAGATAACTAGATAAAAAAATGGCGGATTTCATATTTTTCCACAACCCCCTCAATATGGGTATCAAATGAAAGGGCTACTAGTAGAATACTGTGATTATGACAAAATTTAAAATGCAAGATGGACGTCGTTACAAAATGGCGTATTAGGTGAGGGCATGAGTAGTCGTGTCCAGAACAGTTGTGTCCAAGATTGTGTGACGTTAGAAGGACAGATAAAAAAAAGTAGGTGTGTGTGTGATTAGATGTACCTACGTAGTTAGCGGTAGCTTTACCACCCAAGTTAAGGTAATAGGTTAAAACGTGCTGAGGACTGTATGGCATTAGGGTGGCTAAAAATGTAATGTCGCAAGCGTTTTCCCCTCAAGATTGGGCGCCTCTTGTTGTATATTATAGCCTTGCCCCTCTACTGAACCTCTGGGGGTCGACCGTTAAAATGTCCATTACTCGTGGGAACTTCAAAACCCAAGTGATGAGTTTGCAACAGACAAAGCGTTAAGGGTATACCCCACTAATCAGCAAGTAAACAATCACAACGCTGCTGTTTTAAATCTGTTCCGGAATAAGGGATCTCGAATTTATACCATTAAGGACCAACTAATTGACGCCACACGAAATACAGATAATTTAAATTTAGCAAATATAATACCAACAGATATAAATAAGACTGGAGGCTTACCATCAGTACTTGAAATATTTGTAGGAGCAAAAGTAATGTTGCGGTCCAACATTGACGTTACAAAAGGATTGGTAAATGGTGCTATAGGCCACATTACAGAAATTGTTTGGCCTCAGTTCCGTCGAACCCAAATGTACGAAACAGATGTACCATCAGTTTGGATTGACTTTGGCAGAGACGGCATACACGTTATACACCCGAAAGCCATACAGTTTCCAGCAAAATTCAATTATGGTACGGCTGAAAGAAGGATGTTACCCTTAATTTTGTCATGGGCATCCACCGTCCATAAAATGCAGGGCAGCACAGTCGACCATGCAGTAGTGTATTTGGGCTCAAAATTGTTTGAGGAAGGGCAAGCATACGTGGCTAAGTCTCTGGAAGGGCTATGTATTGAGGAATTAGATTGTAATAAATTATCAGGTAAAAAACCATGTAATAATGATGCACTAAATGAATTAAATAGAATGAGGAATATTCGGTAGGCATTTCCGTTAAATACTAAAAACTAGAAAATAAAATCGGTAAAAAAACTTTAAGTTAAACGGCGGTTATCTTATGTGCACTGAAACTAGAAAATAATAGTAACAATTAGGTATTTTGAACTTCTAGTTCAGAAATATTTTAGTACTAGGCAGAATAGCTTTTAGGCATATTAGACTAAAATAAAAACGTGGGGCCTATTAACTATTGCTGTAATACTTTCTTCTATACTAAGTGTGGATTGCATCGACTTACTATAATCATAACTGGAGATTTTGACAATCAATAACCAGCCGTGGCGGCTTCACCAGCAAACGCCGAGCTCATGATCTACCAAAGTATAAAGATATGCTTTGCCATAGCTAGGATTTCAGAGGGGCCCCACGTTTTTATTTTAGTCTAATATGCCTAAAATCTATTCTGCCTAGTACTAAAATATTTCTGAACTAGAAGTTCAAAATACCTAATTGTTATTATTATTTTCTAGTTTTCAGTGCACATAAGATAAAACCGTTTAACTTAAAAGTTTTTTTTACCGATTTTTTATTTATTTTGAAGATAGGAACTGTTACAATATGTTTACATAAGAAAAAGTTGATAAGGTTGTTTTTTTCCATTCAAAAATTGTAAACAACGCATCTATTTACTTTTAGAGCATAGCAATTTTCAGCAATCGTGTAATTACAACAATAAATTACAACGACTCGTTAATAAATAAACCAAAAAATAAAGTATCACGAGACGTAATTAAATCGTGAAGCTGAACGCATGATGTACATCTTTCCCTAGAACTTTAAGTACTGACAGAGGTACTGATTGGGTCGACCGGTCAATTGCGACAAATCTGCTATATCCCCTTCCACGTCTCTTAGCGATGTGCACAGTTTCTCGGTTTATTTCATACGTTTGGCAACGTGTTTACTGTCCTCTCTTTGTTCAGTACATTATAAACGCCATTGTACTCTTCTTACATACGAAAATCTTGACCCAAGACTAACCTTTGTCAGCCCTTAGTAATTAATTAATAATGATAGCAATGAAATAGTTCTTAAATAAAAAAAGACACTAGTAAAACTGTACTTACAGATCTAACTTCTGCTCTATGACGTTTTGAACTTGCTCTTCTTGATTATTGACTTCCGGGCTGGTAAGTTCAACGTCATGAATATCACTGAAATTTAATAATAATAATAATAACGTTTATTAAACATTTTCTCTTGAAATTAAAACAGATATAAACTAATAAGAATTATATTAATAATTTGATAATTTCTTTAGCTATAGGCGGTCTAGCAAGTAAATATATAGGGTGGCGCACCTCATTCGCCTCGCTTGATTATACGAAAATGGAAAGATGTAGAAACAAAAATTTTTATGGTTATATGTGGAGGCGCAAGAATCCAAAAATGAAATAAAATAGCGGGTGTTCCATAAGAAAAAATATAACTTTGGTATGGATCTTAGTTCTGACACACCCTGTACATTGGAAAACAATTTTAAATTACGCACATTGCCTTCTCATATATACCCATAAAATATTTTGTTTTTACATCTTTCTGTTTTCGTATAATCAACCGAGGGGAATGAGGTGCGCCACCCTGTATATGACAGTGATAATCGTTATCAGTCATTTGACTTCACAAGTAATAATAGTAATAATAAAAATATTTATTTCAAAAACGATCCAAATATGTACAATAAAATTACAAATATATAGACATATTGAAATATTGTCAGCAGTGAAGAGACTTTTATATTAAGAATTCATTGATTGAGTAGGGTTCCAATTCAATTAAGAGTTTTTTCAATGATTTCTTATAGGTTTCTTGACTTTCGATTGCTCTTATGTCTTCAGGGAGGCTATTGTAAAACTTTACACACATATATAATGGATTTTTTTCAGTCAGGGTGAGACGATGTGAGGGGAACTTGGCATCACTGGATCTTGTTTGGTATTCATGAGATTTTTCCATTTCAAATAGGGACTTATGTTTGAAGATGAATATTAAACACTCATATATATAAAGAGCTGGAAGCGTCATAATTCCGAAGGATTTAAAGTGGCCTCGACAGCTTTCTCTGTACTGAAGTTTCTTTATAAGTCTTATAATTCTTTTCTGAATCACAAAAATTTTTGCAGTTTCTGAATTTGATCCCCAGAGAATAATTCCATATTTCAGCAGTGCCTCAAAATTCCCACAGTATAGTGTCTTCATTGAGTCTGGGTTCACATAACTTGACACAATTCTCAGACCGTAAGAAATTGTGCCAAGTCTCAAGCATAGCTTATAAATATGTTGGGTCCACTTTAAATGCTCGTCTATGTAAATACCAAGAAATCTGCGTTCACCACCAAGGCTGACATCCATTTCTCCAATTTTCAAATTGCTCGCTAATTCAATTTTCTTCTGTTGTGTTCGAAAAATTAGTGTATTAGTTTTTTCTTTATTTAGCATTAGTCTATTTGCCTCAAACCATTCCTCTACTCTCATGAAAGCCTTACTGCCATTCTCCTTCAGAATATCTTGTGTTGTTCCATGAGTAAGTATATTAGTGTCATCTGCATATAGCATGTAAGACTAAAATTTGCATTTCTTGTTGTTTGACTAATATCGTTTAAATAGATGATAAAAAGTAGTGGCCCAATGATACTGCCTTGAGGTATACCAATATTCGATTTTTGTATACTGGACTTACTAATCTTTTAACAAGTAGATTCTTTTCTGGCAATTTTTGGATGACATCTGTCGAAATTTAGTATTTTCTAGCTTGACAAACTATACGCATCGAGTTATAAAGACAAAAAGCATTAATTAATATGATAATGATGAAATACACACACCGAAAAAGTCTAGGGATATTACAATTTTATCCAGCCATCGTCAGTAATTTTATTATTTGCATTTCTGATATAATAAAATAAAAATAAACAAATAGTTTACCGGACGTATTGGAAATAAAAATGCGAAATTTACCGAATTTTTCAAATTTACCTTGATTTTTATTGCGCTCAAAAAAATTCATACATTTTTTTTAATTCTAAACTGTGAATTAAAAAAAAAAGATAAAACCATTTTTACTTAATAAAGGGTATGGCCTCCACTACTGTTCATTATAGCCCTACATCGTCTCTCCATGCTCCTGATCAGGTTGTCGATCTCTTCTTGAGGTACAGCCTGCCACGCTGCATTCACGGCCCGAACCAGATCCCTACGAGTTTCACTCAAAATTCTTCTTTGGACCGCGTCCCATACGTGCTCGATGGGGTTGAGATCAGGAGATAGTGCCGGCCAGGGTAAGATGTGTAATTGATGAGCATTGATAAACTTACTTACCACTCTGGCTGTATGAGACCGTGCATTGTCATGCATGAGAATGAAGTTTCTCCCAAAATCATTGGCATATGGTAACACGACAAGCTCAAGAATTAAATCACGATATGTGATTCCTGTTAGAAACCTTTCAAGAAAAACGAGATCGGTTTTTCGGCCTAACTGGACTCCTCCCTAGACCATAACTGTGCCACCTTGATAAGGGTGCACTTCCTGAACATGATCCAACCGAATAAGATTTCCCGGTTCTCTCCATACCCTAATCCTTCTCAAATCCGGATGAATTCCAAAGCGTGACTCATCCGTGAAGAGAACATTGGCCCATTGTTCATTCGACCACTGAACATGATCTTGAGCCCACAAATATCGTACCTCTCTATTTCCTCTCGTTAAGGGTTGAGCTCTCCAGGGGCGTCTGCTTCTTAAGTTGACCTCTCTTAATCTATTGCGAACAGTGTCAGGACTAACGGTTACATTATGTGTTTCCTGGAGAATTAAACTAAGCTCTGGTGCTGTAAGAGTCGGTCGGCGTCGAGCATTTAATTGTAAAAAATGATCTTGCTGAGGGGTAGTAATGCAATGTCGCCCTGTGTGCCTTTCAGCAACATCACCACTTTCACGGTAGTGTGCACTTAATCGCGATATTACACTTTGCGTTGTATTTAATGCTCTAGCTACGTCGATTTGGCGCATTCCAGCTTCGAGCATACCCATGGCCCTTAGCATTTCGTCTCTGTTAAGATGTCTACGCCCCATAATGTCGTTTAATACTAAACAGAGTTATTTGAATGAATTCTGGCCAGTTATCATAAAAACATAGCCAGTACAGGTTAAATTCGAACAATCGATGCTAGGTGCTTTTTATACATTTGACAAAAAATGCACAAACACTTCTGCAAATATCCCAAATTTAGAAATAACTAGTGTGACTGCTTCGTTTCAATCGAAGTAGAAAGAATCGGCCTACAAATATGTGGTTGTTTATTCAAAACATTTATTTTTAACTTTAATAAAATGATATCCCTAGATTTTTCCGGTATGTGTAGTTAATAGCTTATAGTTAAATAATGAATAAAAAAAAATCCTAATAAAACTATACTTACAGCTCTAACTTCTGTTCTATGCCGTTTTGAACTTGCGCTTCTTGTTTATTGTCTTCTATGGTAAGATCCACAGTGTCCACAGTCAAACTAACAAAATATTTTAATTAAAAAATACAACAGACTCACCTATATGTTGATATTATTATATTTGGGAGATTATTATAGATTTATATCTATGAAAATGTATATAATCTACGTATGAATCTTAAACAAAAATTAAATTAACATTTATTTCACTATACGCTGTCTAGCAAGAGAATATATGACAGTAACGACTTCCTAACATTTGACTTCAAGTAGAGTGATTTTTTTCTGGCATTTCTTATACGCAATCTGCCGAAATTAAACATTCTCTTGCTGGACAGACTATAGTCTACCCAACGAGAGACTTCCTGACAGTCACAGTTGTCGAAGAAAAATTATATTTTCTATCACTACATATACCGGGTGTTGCATCGTCGGACGGGACATAGGAAATCCCATGTAAATTTTAATGAGGTCAATTATTGGCTTTCCTAATTATTTTAGAGAATAATTCTATTTAGGTTTATTGAAGAGCACTAAAACCCACATTCAAAAGAATAACTTTAGATATTTTTGATTAGCTCGTTTACGAGTTATCGCCGATTTCTTTTTAAATATTTCTCCTTTCTTATGGCCCTGTATTTACTTATTAGCACCAGTCAAGGTAAAAGATAACTGTCAAATGAAGTTGTCATTTCAGAAATTTACCCATTTAGTGCTTTATTATTATTGAAAACTCATTCATTCATCAAAAGATGTATTTATAAATACAAATTAATATGAATTAAAGTAAAATAAAGTAATCAATTACAAGGTTAATTATAGTACTATTACAATATTCAATAACTTATTAATTTAGGTATTATTAAATTGTTAGAACTTTAGGATTTAAGAAGATGTTCAAATATTCCTCTATCGACTGCTAGACAATAACCCATGCGATCATAAAATTCTCTTCTTACATTCGCTAGTTGGTAAACTGAAAGTTTCCTTGTGCTGATCTTTCCATGGTTCTCTTCCACGCACAATAAAACTTCCAAGTCGGTATCATTTCTTGCATCTTCTCTTTGTTCCTGCCTTGCTTCACATCTGCAGTTATTTATTAGGGTACCTTTGATGTCAAGTCTCTGGATATTCCTTGCGATTGTAGATTTTCCAGGTATCGGTCTATTCGGATACAGAGCAGCAAACATGTCCGACATCTTTTGGTAACTAATCCTTAATAATACCATTTAATCATCAATACTTTTTCTTCGGTAGTGTAATTCATGGCTAATATTTTCGACGTAGGTATGAGTTTTTAATAATAATAATAAAGCACTAAATAGATAAATTTCTGAAATGACAACTTGAGAGTTATCTTTTACCTTGACTGGTGCTCATAAGTAAATACAGGGCCATAAGAAAGGAGAAATATTTAAAAAGAAATCGGAGATAATTCGTAAACGGGCTAATCAAAAATATTTAAAGTTATTCTTTTGAATGTGGGTTTTAGTGCTCTTCAATAAACCTAAATAGAATTATTCTCTAAAATAATTAGGGAAGCCAATAATTGACCCCATTAAAATTTACATGGGTTTTCCTATGTCCCGCTCGACGATGCAACACCCGGTATAATATGATCTAGATATAATTCTTATGCCAACAGTAAATTTACCTGGAATTTGTATGATTGTTATCAATGTGATGATTTAAGCCCCCTCTTGTAAAATATGCGTTGTCGCACTGCGCACAAGCAAACATCTGACGTTGTTGTGGTGTCAAGTGAGCTGCCCTGTGACGATTAAAGTAACGCTTCTCTGTCGTTTTGTAGTCACACCGAGGACATTTATACAATATTTGCTGCACTTTTACTGCTCTAATAAAATAATTTAAAATATTACCATATTATAATTATCTCAGTTTTGCGGGTTAATACATAATGGGACTGTACAAGCCAATATTATATTATTAGTAGTTACTATTAGATATGCGATTGCTACTGTGTGTAAAAAAACATACTTAAATTGGAGATCACCATCAAAATGTGCCTTGATTAGAACACTTTCCTCTTGTTCATATTTTTCTGGACTGGGAAGATCAATAGCACGAGTATCCCTGCAATTTAACTAAATTAGAACAGGGTGTCCTAGAAATAAGTGCAAGTATTTTAGCAGGTAGTATAGTTTGACCCCAGAAAAACGCCCATGAGGTTTTTTATGCAAATCAGCTGATCTGTTTAGCTGATGAATTTTAGGTTATCCAATTCATTTGAGATTTTACTCAAAACAGTAAACCCCTGACAAATCTAAAAAATGGCAAATGTAAAATAAGTCTGTAAAAATACTTTTATTATTCAAGTAGAAATATCAATTATTTTGGTGTTTATTCAAAAAAAAACAAGAGTGTGAGATAGAAAAACAGAGATAGAAAAAATAATCCTAAATAATTCAGACGGTATATGAATGACTTCTTCTTTTACTTATTTCACATTTATTTTCGTTTTATCGAAAAAGACTCTAAAATAGTTGGTTGTGTAGCGTGCGGTAGATCTCGGCAAAAATCGAGTGAAATAATGGAACAACTTTTCGCTAGTAAGTGACTATATAATATACATACGTGTAGTAAACCGATCATTTATGAAATTCACTTAAATTAACTAATTATATATTTTTTCTTGCATTTTTGCTTTTATTTACTACTTGTCAAAGATTAGATGTCAAAGAATTTAGATACGCCAATTTGATTTACCAGATTTACCTGCTTCAGTAGCGTATCCGACGTTTGTGTTAATAAATAATTATTATAACTTATTTATTTTTATTAGAATTACACGTCAAATAAAACAACATATTATTGAGTCTACCCCACGTCTACCCTACATCATAGTATAACATTTTTTAAATAAAATTAGAACGGCACTGATAAACCGGAATTTAAGTCGGCCATATTTGAGGCCCATCGCGGTGGACCTAAGATTTTTGATATGCTCCTTCCTTAGTCTTCTTATTCAAAGGGTCAGATCTACCACCCCTTGAAATACTTGCACGTGGCGTTGAACGATTGCTAAATAAAATATATTTGCACTTTACTTAAAATAACACACTTACTTGTTTTTGTTATAAGCTTTAATCACCTGTCCCTTCGAAGTAAGTTGAATAACAAATTTGGAGGTTTGCCCAGTTGTTTTCTCGACTGGAGAGCCACTACTTTCTTCATCGCTGCACGTATGACCTTCAAAAATACCCTTATTTCCCGAATAGAAATTACATTTTGGGCATCTATATCCGTGTTTGTTGATGGATCGTTCCTCACTAAAAAAATAATTTTAATTATAAGCCAATAAAATTAAATGGACAAAAAAGAGTAAACCTAAAGGAGCCATAACATACAAAACCATTGATTTACAGTAGTTTTTTCAATAAAACAATATTTCTTTACCAACTTTAATATGGAAAACTAATATTGCGCCATCTATGATCAATTGATCAAAACATTTGAATAAGAAGACTAAGGAAGGAGCATATCAAAAATCTTAGGTCCACCGCGATGGGACTCAAATATGGCCGACTTAAATTCCGGTTTATCAGTGCCGTTCTAATTTTATTTAAAAAATGTAAAACTATGATGTAGGGTAGACGTGGGGTAGACTCAAAATTTTTTTTTTATTTTACGTTGTGAATAAATGTTGGTAGTTATTAAAATTGTTATAAAAATATAAAATTCTAATAAAAATAGATGTTATAATAATTATTTATAACCATAAACATCCGATACGCTACTGAAGCAGGTAAATCAAATTGACGTACCTAAATTCTTTGACATCTAATCTTTGACAAGTAGTAAATAAAAGCAAAAATGTAAGAAAAAATATATAATTAGTTAATTTAAGTGAATTTCATAAATGATTGGTTTACTACACGTACGTATATTATATAGTCACTTACTAGCGAAAAGTTGTTCCATTATTTCACTCGATTTTTGCCGAGATCTACCGCACGCTACACAACCAACCATTTTAGAGACTTTTTCGATAAATTGCGATAGTGTCACTGTTAATTTAAGTTCTGCCACAATTTCCATCTAGATTTACTACCTTTATACAACTATCAGTAGTAGAATAATTAATAAATAACATAAAATAAGCTCCGTAAAGACTGACAAATCCACAAAATTTCAAATCAAATTCAAATGTGTCAAATGAATCGTCAAACAGAACTGTCAAGGATCCCCACCCTAGAGTCCTTTTTCCGCCCACCATGCATGAATACATGGATAGCATTATGCTCCTTCCTTAGTCTTCTTATTCAAAGCTGTTATTTAAAAAAAACTACATTAGTTACATAAACTACACATTTACTACTCGACATTTAAAAAACTACTTGTGACATGTTGTAAATGTAATTTATTAATTACTACGTGTAGTTTAACAACTCTGATTTTTACTCCCAACACGCGTAAAGAAGTTTTTCTTAAAAAAAAATGTATTTAAAGTTTTAACATTCTGTATCTTTTTCAACCTTTTTGATGAGGAATCACCCCTTGAATCTCGGTCGTGCATATTTCCAACACCCTGTATACTTGTCAATAAAAAAACTTACCGTGTTCCGCGTTCTTTATGGCGAACACTTATATGGTACTGTAAGGTAGAAGCTTTATTAAAGATGGCGTTGCAAGCTGAGCAATGGTGGCGTTCAATTATTTTGGTCGTCTTGTGTTTCAAATTCTCCCTTTCACTAAATAAATAAATTGGTTATTATTAAGGAGACACCCTGTATATTTATGGACAGTTCATGCTTCCCATTTAACTCTAACACTAACAGTACTCCTAATCTCAAGAATAGTCCAGCAGCTACAACTTAACCTAACCTAACAATCGTCAATAAAAATAATTAAAATACAATAATTAATTTTTCTGGTTTAGAAATGATTAAGGTTTGTTCACAAACGAGCGAATGTTATTGTTGTGAAAATTATTCTCTAGTTTTCGAAATTCTAAAAATATTTGTAAAGTAAGGTTAAATCAAAACATATGTTTAGTATGTGCGCAAGCGCGTTCTGGAATATTCTTAAAACACGTTGGAGAAGTATGAATGGTATTTCCTTAACTTTTAAAAGTTCTCTTCCTAGGGTTAGAATGTAGAATGTAGAATGTTTAGAAGGGGAGTTAATCACCGCGACCTTAGAGATCTATTGTGTGTTCCCCTTTCTTGAGTTATAACGAGTTATAACTCATCATACAGTCTCAGGGCTTTAAGAAAAGGTATATTCCTAGGGTTAATAATAAGGGTCAGGTTAGGACTAAAGTATGAACCAACCATAACACAAATAAATGATAATTAAATATACTTACAGGTTTACTATTTTCTCCGTACTATTTAGATTTTCATCGCTATTATCATTTTCTTCTTTTAAGTCTACTATGTCTATTAATTTTTCGTTAGATGCTTCCTTAGATCTGTTACAATGTAATGAACATAAGTTTATAATTATAAAAATATGTCATTAAATATAATAAATAAATAAAATATAAGTATTTAAAAAGAACACACTTACTGTTTTAGATTAATATGTGATGACGATACATTTATATTCTCTTCTGGAACATTATTTTCTTGTTTAACAATATCCAAACTTACTAAGTCAGTAATATTATTTTCTTTTTTAATATGCTCTACACTAATTGGTTTACTGTTCAAAGCAGTGTCTGTTGTGCTGTAACATATTAAATTTCACAATACCTACATATTTCCTTTTAGCAATTTCAGTTTAATAGATATGTTATTATTTATTTATACTTCTACAAACACAGGTAGGCTGGTATTTTAGCAAATCTTTATCATAAATAATTAATTTTACATACAATGTTATGTTACATGTTACTTGTCCTACTACTTTTTACGAAGAACAAAGTAATGAAGTAAAAATAACTATCTAAATAAAAATTTCAATGCATGTAATATTTAATACCAAAGACTATCTGTAATGTGTATTTGAAAAAATATACATATATAAGAATACAATACCCGGAATGTGCTGAAAGTTTATCTATAGTTGAATCTGCAAGATCAAAATTTTCTTCGGCTTTTAATGACGTGATATCTATCAAATCCGGTTTGTCTGTAGAATACAAATCAACAATATCTTCACTAAAAAGAATATCTTAATCAAAAGCACAAATCAAAATTCCTCTATTAATGCTCACGGTTTTATTTCTATCACTTCATTTATGTTGTCCATAGTTTCCAATAAAAAGTAACAGTATCTATAGAGAAAAATTAACCAGTTGTTTTTCAGTTATAATTCTCAGTTGTAAAGTATATTCGGTATGTGCAAGCATCATAATCAAGGGTGTAATGGCATCAATTTAATATAGGAAGGAATTGTGTTATCTAGGATAATACAAAAATCCAGAGTTGCAGACAAGAATAATGCAATCCAGTACAATCTAACTAGTTTTATTACCACACAATCAGTAAGAACTCCAGTTGGTAGTCCAAGTTAACATTTATATCTAGTAAAATAAGAATAAATTATCATTTTAAAGCACATTAAATCACACATTATCAAAACCACTGATCAAAAGTCACAGAGTTGACAGTAATAATGACAAATGACAAGATTGACACGTGTCATATTAGACAGGGATTCCGTTGCTCAGAGTAGCAAAAAAAAAGAAATAAGTCCTACGGATTTCTAGTTATTGTATTATTAGTTGCCTACCAAATTAATACTACAGCATAATGCTGAGCAATGCATATCGATATTTTAAAATCATCGATTACATGTGTATTATGCATACAAGAAAACTTTAAAAATATATTCACATTGTAATACTTGGATAGTATGAGGGTATGAAGTAAAGTTAAAATACTAACAAACTAAATTCTTATATTCTTCTTGTTAGAATGAAGGAATATATAACTTTTAGTTGCCTAAATAATCCTTCTGACATTTGTTCAATCTAGGGAGGGAAACAAATTAAAATTCGCCAAAATTACAATTTCAAAAAATTACACGACTAGAACTCAAGTTTTTGCCGTTTCGACACCATACATATATGAAAATTTTGAATATTTTTTCGTTCAAAATGGCGCCTTCATTCGGGATCGTCAGGTTCCATTTTTATAGAATCTTCTAACTTAATGGATAAATTCTTAGTTGCAGCTAAATTTTCGGTATTTCTGGAAACAACAAAAATATTTAATACACAATATATACTCATTACATTTAAAAAACGTACTTAAAGTGATCTTGCGAGTCTTTATGCAGAATCGAAGCGACATCGTCAGGTTCTATTTTAAAAAAATCTCCAGATTTCTCTCCTTTAGTCGCTGACAGAAATCCAGCATATCTGGAATCAATAAAATACATTATCATTGTAACAGTAAAAATACATTTAAAAAAACATACTTAAAGTCATCGTGCGAGTCTTTATGCAGAATCGGAGCATCATTATCAGGTTCTATTTTAAACAAATCTCCAGATTTCTCTTCTTTAGTCGCAGACAGAAATTCAGCATATCTGCAATCAATAAATGGCATCACCATTGTATTAGTAAAAATGCAATTAATAGAAAAACATACTTAAACTCATCCTCCATAAGTGGATCGTGATAATCAATTTCAATTTTTAAAGAATCTAAATCTAATTTCGCTTCATCAGTTGGAGATACACAATCAGCATTTCTGGAAACGATAAAAAATTAAAATGGCCAAATATGGTAATCGCAAAACAATTTCCGATGCACGTGATCAACTTTGAGTGACAAGCATAGACAAACAAATAAAAAGAGACTGACAAATCTCATGGTAAAGAGTGGGACAGCGTTCCCGTAGCGCAACTCAGAATAACAATTTTGAAACCAATTAGCAGGATCATGGCAGGACGTATGTCTTTATTGCTATCTTTCTTTATTAGCTGTCGTAGGCGCCGTGGATTGCTACGTCACGCGCTGACCAGCGCTCCACAGTGCGGCGGATGGTTATTTTAGCGGGACAAAATCTCAAGAGCAATGTTTGGGACTTAAAATGGTGGAACGTAGCAAATGGTCTAATATATAGCAACTATATGGTTAAATTTATTTATTTATTAACAACTTAATTTATTAATAAATAAATACAAGATAATAAAACTATGATATTATTCGTACATGACACACAAAAACCGTATTGTAAACTATTGCCAAATACATAAAATTATCATATCAAAAAACTCTTTAGCAGTTTTTTTTTAATTAATTTGTAATCTTGTGACACCCTCTATAATTTATTTTAAAAAGATATATTTTATTTTGAAAATAATAAGTAAGATAGATATTTAATTTTAATTTTAACACTCTGTAATTGTAAATTCATATACAGTAAGTATCTAAGACAATTTTTTAAACTCAGTGCCTTTTGATGGAGTTGTTTTGTTTTTATACTATCCGATTGAAATGAATCTTTTTGGGCATTCACCTGTTAAGCTTGAACTCCCTGTGACTGTGACTACCTGTGTTGGTAACTATTGGTAACTCAAAAGATCTACATCATTCAATATATCGATATTTGAAAAAAAAAGTGAAAGTTTGATATCTGCAGAACAAAGGCACGAAGGATTTTAACAAATAATATACGTACAGTAGAAAAGTACATACCTTTGCCAATCTTCAACATAATTTGGCTTTCTAATAAAATGTATAAGCACTTGTAAATATTTTGTTTTCGTATGATCTCTGCCTTGCTGAGCAGAAAACGACCAAATTTGGTTGATAAAAATGTATCGAAATACAAAGAATATTCATGCAGTTTTGTATCAATTGGAATGTCTACTATTTATTCTTATCAGTACACATTTTTTGGCATATTTCTAACCAAACGCTTTTGTCCCGCTAAATTTATCTTTCAACGCACTGTGCGCTCGTCCGTCAAATGCAAAAATAACTGTCACTGTCTAAAATCTTTAGCGCCAACTTCAACTCGGTCAGTAGATGACGTAAAAAAACTGACAGTGCAGGAAGATAGGAATCGAACTATCCTATCCTTGGTCAGTATTATTTTACTTAATTCTTAAACAAAAATTTATTTACCTAGAACCAATATGATTATTATTAAGGTGCTTTCTTAAGGTCTTCTTTATCTTAAATTTGCGCGGACAGTGCGCACAAGCAAAAAACTGTCGTTCTTCCGGTGCCAAGTGAATGTTCTTGTGCTTGTTAAGACTATAATGTAGGGTAGACTCAATCATTTTGTTTTATGTTGTCAGTAAGTATAGTAGTGATGGGAACTATCGAATGAATTTGACACTTCCCGCGGGCTTTTCTGAATGAATAATTTTATTATCGAATGGTTTTATTCGAGTGGCGGAACTTGCGGCCATGCTGACGCAATGCCATCTCTAATAGAACAGCCTCGGAGCGAGATTTATGACGTCACGCTAGTTAAATACTAGGGATTAATAAATATGTTGTAGAATACATGGAAAACATAATAATTCTTTTTAAACCATAAATTTTTTTAAACCACTTTTTTATAAACCAAAAAAAAATAATGAAAAAACAAATGAAAACTTAATCAGCGTTTTTCCCGAACCTAAATCCCAAGAAAATCAAAAATTTTAGAATAATTTTACATATAAAATGAGAGCGATCTTTATTTCATAGCCATCGCTGACGCCTTTTTTTCTATGATATTGTATTACTTACCCTCAACTGTAATGATATTGTATTATTTAAAATATAATATTTCGAACATTGACCCTTGCAAAATATACATATACATTTTGTGAATGCAAATAATAATACATCACTATTAGTAGATATTGAATGTTTTTTGTTAAATTAGATCGATTTTCAAACCCTAAAATTTCATTATTTGTATATTGTAAAACATTTGCTGCATTTGTATGGTTCATAGTTAATTTGCAAAAGTATTTATTACTATGAATAGGTATATATATTGTATTAATTAACTGCATATTATGTATATTTCATGTAAACTGTATTATTTTTAAAATACAAACCAAAAATAAGAGGAATTATTATGTTTTCCATGTATTCTACAAAATATTTATTAATTCGTAGTATCTAACTAGCGTGACGTCATAAATCTCGCTCCGAGGCTGTTCTATTAGAGACGGCATTGGCCTGATATTTAGAAATGTCAAAAGCTGATGACATTTTACTTTTGACAATTGTGTTGATTTTTGCAAGAAGAGGAAGAACTGTCACTTGTTTTATTATTTTCCTTTTCTATTTCACGAAAGTAAAAAGAGTTACCTATCTGATTCGTTCAGGCACTCAATTTAAAGAATATCAGTAACTTTTTTGATAGAGGGATTTTATATTTGCCCTGTTAGTAAAAAATAACGGCCAAAATTCAAAGTTATTCATTTTAGAGACTCTAGTAAGTATAATTTTACTTAATTGTTAAACAAAAATTTATTTACCTGGAACCAATATGATAATTATAAAGGTGCTTTCTTAAGCTTTCCTTTATCTTAAATTTGCGTGGACAGTGCGCACAAGCAAAAAACTGTCGCTCTTCCGGTGCCAAGTGAGTCTTCTTGTGCTTGTTAAGACGGTAATTACTTGTCGTTTTATAGCTACATGTGGAGCATGTATAGACAGTTTTCTGCACTTCGTTTGCCCTAATAGAACAATTTTTAAATATTAGTCTTGTAACACTATAAATCAAGGCTCCTCAAACATGTTATCGTGACCCATTAGAGCGAGGAAGTCCAATATGGTTGGACAAAGATATTATGAAAAAAAAAATTATACAGGGTCGCTGTTATGCATGGAAACGGTCGATTATTAGGTAAAATATATAAGGTACCGCAAAAAGTTAAATACAAAAACAATAGAATTTTTAAATATCTATTAGCGAGTAATAAATTTAAGTATCCAGGGTCGGTCATAAAGTCGCGGCACATCAAAGTTTCATTTTTTTTAAATAGAACCCCCTGTATATTATTGCATATTTCAATTCTTCCTTCAATTCTAAGCAAAAATCGAAATACACACAATAGAGAACAACGGCATACGGTCGAATCGGCCGCTGCTGGCACGTATACGTAGACGTAAAGAATCTTTTACGTGTATAAAAAATAAAAAATATAAGAAATGCGCATGCGTACGTAAACGTTTACGTGTTTGTAGGCCGATTCGACCGTATGCCGTTGTTCTCTAATGTTCCTCAAACCAACCGTTTCCGAGTTATTGACTTTTGAACATATTACCCTTGTATATATATTTTTAAAGTAGATCAACCTAAGACGTTTATGGACTAAGACTACTAGATGGCAGGACCGGTTTCCCTACAGAAAAATATTTTTTGGTACTCTGATTTTGAAACTACCAATAAAAACAGAGAAAATAAAAATCGATAATTTTCGGACTGAGCCAATTGGTTACTAATCGACCAGATACTTTTTGTCTATTAGATATACTATAAAAGCTGGCAATTATACAATTCGACCATTGTAAATACCCGACAAATTCTTCAAGGCCGACGAGGCCGATGCTTCTCACTGATAAGAAATAAAAATGTTTGTTTAGATAATGTTCGAGGTATTTTTTCTTTCCGAATGCACATTTTAAAGTATTTTATATTCTTGACCTATTAACCTGGTCGCACGTATGGAAGTTCTGTTTCTTCTAGTATTAGAAAATGTTCTTATTTCTTTTTTCTTTGTAGTTGTAGTGTAAAATTAGATTAATTTATTAAGTTTAATTATAGTGTTTAGTGTAGCATGTTAGTGTAGTCTACCAAAAATAGTTTAGTAGTGTTTTTATAGTTTATTTTGTAGTTAAGTAGTAGGTGAAGGGATAATTTTGTTATTTTTTCTTTTTGTTTGATAAATTAGTAAGCTTGATAATTTGTTCAGTGTAGAATACAAGAATAAGTAGTTGTGTAGTGTTTTTAAGAGATTATATTCGTTTATTTTGTAGTTGAGTAGTAGGTGAAGGGGTATTTGGGTATTTCTTCTTTTTGTTTTTCTTGTAATAATTGTAGTAGTTTAATAGAAACCAAATCTTCCTTCAACTTCGTTGAAAAGTGCGTTATCATATAATCTTGGTTTTCTGGTAGCAGAATATACGAAAAGAAATCTGATCAAATTTATTTGAAATTAAATTAATCTAGCCTTATTAATCAAATTAAACTAGTCAAATAATAATAATAGTTTCAAAATACTATACAGGGTGAGTTTCCTACGATGTTCTCTATGGGCATCTCGGAAACTACTGGAGATAGTGAGTCGGTTAATGGGGAAAGAATTGCAGTTTTGTGTGGTCATAAATATGCGCCTTTCGGATTTTTGAAAAAGTTTATCGCTTACTAGATATTTCGAAAAAAAACAAATTTTGGCTATTTTAAAACTTGTCCCTAATTCCATTATAAACTATTTTAGACAAACAGTTTTCAGATCAAAGTAAGTAGATAATTACATACCTAATGAGTTTGTGTTTTCTGATTTTTTCATTGGGGGGGGGGTGTCATAATGAAAGTCATGTTGGAACCACCCTATTAAAGCGCCACTATCTAAATTTAACTTTTCTAACATGTCTTGAAAACCGTTCTCTAAAAAACGTAAATAACGTTCACCGGTCAACGTATCCTGGAAAATGTATGGCCAAGAAAAGTTGAACCAATAATCCTACACGCTTTTCTTCATTTAAAAAATTCATATTTACAATTTTTGTTTAAGCAAGTTGCAATTTTTTGAACATTTAATGAAGAATGTAAAAAGTTTTGTTTTCAAAAAAAAAATATCGTAAAATTCGTAAAACACTCAATTTAGAATAAAATAATCTAAGAATGAAATGATTCTTTTATAAAGCTGCATTAAATCAAATTAAAGTAGGTATGTAACTTTTTCTAAATATTAATTAACAGTAATTAGCATTATCATAAATAATAAAAAATGTAGCAACATATCGAAATAATAATTTCTTTGTCAATACAGTTTATAATTTTTAAAATAACAGGCAAAAATAATCCACAATCTACAATAAAATAAAAGTTTGGTTCTTAAATTTCTTAATCAGCTGATCACTATTAAAGATGCAGAAACCCGGGCTATATTATTACATTACTCTGAGGAAAATAACGAAAATAATCGATATTTTCGACTCCGCCCCGAAAGGTTCACGATTTGTCCTCCAGCTGGCAGCACATTTTGTCTAGTCGGTTGAACAACTTTAAGAATATATAAACAAGGATATTACTTAAACAATAGATCATATTTGCTTACGTGGATAAGTAAATCACTATAGAAACTGTCGCAAACATATTGTGAAGTGGCATTAAAAACTTAAAAAGCTGTGTTGTGAACTGCAAAAATCACCGTGGATCGTGGCATAACGTCGGTTTCCAATGTTTCATAGGTATGTCATACATGACCTTATATAAAATAAAGTTTCTTGTATGCAACACACTGTATTTTATTTATAAAATTAAAAGAAAATAATAATAAATTTGAATAAATAATATTTGGCGAAATACATAATTCCGGAAAAAGCCGAACCGATCCGAAATTATTTTTGTTTTTTGCGTTTTTTTTAATTGTATTAATTATTCTTTTATCGACCGCTTTTATACAGAGAAGACCAGGCTACTAGTAACATAGTTGCCGGACGAATTTACGTTTACCCGTTTTGCGTTCGTACTCGAGATTCAGCCAGCTAGTCGGCTGGTCAGGCAGTACGCAGTTGCAGTTGTGCTTGGACGGGTCGGTCGTGACAGACTAGGAATACGACGCGAGGAGTGCCGAGTATTTATTATTTTCATTTTAAGTGTTTACCTTCACTGAAGGTAACATTTAAAATGAAAATACTTAAATATTTATTATTTGAGTGTGTTTACAAGCCAAAACTAAAAATAAATAAATTCTCTAAACCCAAAAAAACTAAAATATTACTCTAAATAAGAAAAAATTATAACAAGTGTTCAAAAAGACCATCTTCTTGTGCTAGACAGAAGCCTAGGCGGTCGTAAAATCCCCGTCTGACATTGGCTAACATATTAGGGCTAATAGTTTGGAAAGCCTCTCGTGTTTTTACTTGAAGCTCATCCAGATTATTAGCCCTATTATGACCATACACTTTGGATTTTATATAACCCCACAAAAATCAGTCATTGGGAGAAAGATCTGGTGATCTAGCGGGTCACAAAATAGTTCCATGTCCACTAATTAAACGGTTGGGAAAAGTATTGTTCAAATATTCTTGAACAATACGGGCATTGTGGGCAGGGCAACCACCTCAGCAATTTGATTAGTTGAAAACGTGGGATTTTGATCCGCGGTAGCACAAATGAACACTTGCTTTAACTCCTGTTCTTCATTAATCAACACATCAGGCTTTGTGTGTTTTTGTGGGAACACGCACCCATGTGTTTCAAAATTATTAATAACTCTTGATACAGTAGGTAATGATGGAATTGGCCTGTTTACAAAAGTTTGTGGAAAAATTGTTTGTATATTCCGATAAGACCTATTTTGGAAATACTATTTTACAATTTGAATTTTCTCACGAACTTCGTAAACATCCATTATTTTACTTAAAAAATAAATTTTACACGAGAACTGTCGCGAGAATCTATGTATTCGTTTTGGCTATTAAAACACGAATAAATACAAATTCTGAAACATTCTTATCACATATCTACCTATTTTTATTTTATCACATTTTTTCGCCTGCTTTTTATCGGGCGGACGAGTATGCGCTAATTCGTCCGGTTCTGCCTATGTTACTTACTACTCTATTTTTTTACTAGAAAGTGTTTGGTGTGTGGAAGTTCTAATATAAAGGTCCCCGAATTATCTTTTCATAGGCAAGTAAAGTCTTCAGTTGTTCTTTTATTTATATTGAACCACGTACATACTTTCTGGTTAGATTTCCTCAGAATATTGATATTCGTACGGGGTGGCTATATGTATTTTTTATATAATTTAATTTCTATGACGGTAAACATTCAATTTATTGTTGAAATATATGCATTTTACAAATTAAATTTTTAAAATTAATGTTCAAATTTGGCGCGTGAACGATAGGTCCTCGACAACGATAGATAGAATAGCAGCACCGCGTTTGCAACGAAAAAAGAAGACAAATGAAGTCATTGATATGTTTGCGACAGTTTCCATAGTGATTTACTTATCCACGTAGGTATATATCATGGTACAAAGAATACAAGGTATGATCGATAGCGGCGCCAATTTCGTTCAGTTCGCGCATACCACCTGTGACGTCACTAGGAAAATAATGAATAAATAAAAAATAAAGCCCCGTTCTCAGAACTGCGACTGTCGCCAGCGACACGACAAAAGAACCAATCAGATTTGTACAAAATTCAAACAGCTGTCAATTTTAAATTTAGTACAGCTCCCATTGGTCGTTTGAAGTGTCAATCAGTGTCGCTGTCGACACGACGCAGTTCTGAGAACGGGGCTTAAAGAAAGTTGACAGGAGATCTGCATTTTTTGGGGTTATGGTTAAGAATTGTTTATTTTTAAGACTTTTTAGTTCGTTTAATTTAATAATTACTAAAACCAGCAGTTCCAAAAATATATTTAAAAATAATAATTATCTATTAACATGGATTTGGACGATAGGTAAGAATACTGAATTTATTTCTATATTCGGTATAAAATTGTTTATTAGGTTTTTAGTTTGCGATGTTTATGGTAAATAATTTTCATTTTCATTGCCTCTGAATTCACATGAGGACAGAGTTGAGGATATCTATGGAAAAGTAACCACAAGAGGAATTGTTACATCATTTAAAAAATATTGGGAAGTTTATTGTTTCCCATCGAAAAGTAGAAAATGCCAATGCAGATGAACGTATTGTAATTGTGATAGAAGTAATTCTAAGGGTGAAGTTTATTATAATTAGTGGAAGTAATACCAAGGGTGAAGTTTATTATAATTAGTGACCTCTGCTTCTTTTTATATGTAGAAGTTTCTGGTTTTGAGAATAAATCGGTTGAACGACACCCAAAATTTAAAGGAAGTATTTGCATACCCAGAATATGCCCATCAAGGATTATATAGCTCAAATTTCCTTTAATGGTAGGCAATTATTCAATGCAAATTAACTTTTTAAGTGACTAAAATATTAAATAGTTTACAATATGGTATATCACTAAAAATATATTACTTTTAGGTACAATTAGGGCCCGATACATTTCAAAAAGTAGAATATTATTTTATATTAAATGAGGTATTGTACTAACAATCAATTTATATTAATAACGGAGATTAAAAATAACAGAATAAATAGTTCTTTTTTTATACTACAAAAATAAACTATAGAATACAACAGTATTTAAAAAAATAAATAAAAAGTTATGTCCCGGCCGAGATTCGAACTCCGGTCTCTCGCTTCCTAGCCCGACTCCTTACGCACTGCTCCACAGTAACTTGCTTAGCGATAATTCAATGACGGTATATAAACAAAAAAACAGGTTTATAACAATATCTTGAACATTTGAACTGGCGCGCGAAGCGTGCTGACCAATAGCGCCTGTTATCACCTGTGACGTAGTGACCAACCTGCGCAATATCATACCTTGTATTCTTTGTACCATGGGTATATATGATCAATGAGGTATTTTACTTAATTATCACACTCTTTGTTTAATTCTTAAACAAAAATTAATTTACCTGGAATCAATATGATTACTATAAATGTGCTCTTCTAAGCCGCGCTTTGACCGATATGTGCTATGACAGTGCGCACAAGCAAACGACTCTCGTTTTTCCGGTGCCAAGTGAATGATCTTGTGCCTGTTAAGATGGCTCTCAAGTAGCGTTCGGTAGCCACATGTGGAACATGAATAGACATTTTTCTGCACTTTGTTTGCCCTAATAGAACAATTTTTAAATATTAGTCTTGTAACTCTATAAAACAAGGTTCCTCAAACATAATATTATCTCAAATATACCGAGCGGCCCATTAGAGTGAGGAAGTCCAACATCGTTGGACAAAGATATGAAACAAAGTTTTGGGAATTATTGAAAAAAGTGGAAATCGTCCGATTTTCACCAAAATTGGTATACACTTGGTATACACCCTATTTTGAGGTCGTAGTCCTGACGGTCTCTTACCGTTTTTCAGAAAAACGGAAAATAATTTCAATATTGAATTTTTCTTAATTTCAGCCCTATAAAGTAATAATTTTACTATATTTTCATTATATTATAGTTTATCTAAAAGCCACATTTGATAGAGGATAGAAAAATGTGCAAAATTTTACTGAAAACACTTTTTTTAACAAAGTAACAAAGAAAATTGAGACAAAAAGTAAAATTCATTCATATGTATATTTCATATATTTTTTTTATCATATTTACTATATTTTTTTTATATATCCTTCTTTCTCTCTCCTATACAATGGGATAGACAAATATAAATCTAAAAATGTAAAAATTTGCAACGTTGCTATATCTTGTATTTTTTCGGTTGATTAGGGATTTTAAATAAATTACCTATTAGGAGATCTGCCTATGTATTTATAACCACAAACTTGCACGAAAGAGTTTTGATCGCATTGGTTTCAACTTCTTTGGGGCTCAATCTGGTTTTTTATATATTAAATTTTAATACATATATAAAAAAACAGATTAACCCCCCAAAGATGTTGAAACCAATGCAATCAAAACTCTTTCGTGCAACTTTGTGGTTATAAATACTCAGATCTCTTTGGCAAAATACCAGTTATGGGTAGGAGCCGTTCCTCCTCCGCTAAATTTACGTTTAGCATTGGCAACGTTGCTTTAAATGCCAGAAACACATAACCCAACATTTTCAGATTGTTTACAAATTTATTTTAGCAAATTTTCCTCTATTATGCATAGAATTGGTTAAAAAACTAACAGAAAATAGCAAAAACCTGATTGTTTATTGAATACCTAACAAAATATGTGATAGAAAACCTTAAAATATGAGAAATTAAGAAAAATTCAATGTTTAAATTATTTTCTGTTATTCTGAAAAACGGTAAGAGACCACCAGGAAAAAAGATGATTTCCAGTTTTTCCAATAATTGCCAATTCAGCTTATAGTATACAACTTTTTGAAGCAGTATGTGGTGTTGCCATTCTATTTTTTATTTACTAAAACGCCAGTTAAAAACACTATATCCGAAAAGTGATTAAACACTGGAGTGAATATAACTTTATTAATATTTAGCTAAGTTTCCTAAGCAACGTTTTATATACAGGGAGCCACCCTGTGGCGAGGCTATTAACACGAGAATTAGTGCAGAAGTCCAATATCATCGTTGTCAAAGATATGACAATTTTTTATACACAAGTTGTATGGTTATACATTATACATACACACTATACACACTATACATACCTATAAACTTCGCATTAATGGGCCACCCTGTATATAAAACTTTGTCTAAGTGAAAACAAATAAAGACAATGGAGTCCGAAATTCCTGCACTTTCAAAACTAAATTTACCTGGAATCGCTATGAATAATAAGAAGATGGTTCCGTAAATTGCATTTTTCAGTATATTTTTTGTTACAGTACACACAGGCAAACAATTGCCGTTCTTCAAGTGCCAAGTGACTATTCTTGTGCTTGTTAAAACGGTACTTTCTGGTCGTATTATAGCTACATGTGGAACATCTATATATCGGTTTTTGTGTCTTCTTCGCACTAACAGAACATTTTTTTAAATATTAGTCTCGCAACTCTATAAAATAGTTTTTTTTCAAACATATAAGTTCACCCTTCTATAATTCACAGACTGTTGAACTAATAAAAAGTTTTGTTAATAAAATTTACAACATACACACTCATATGTTGATATAACTGGGAGATGTTTACAGCCCTTATATCAAAATATAATCATAACCTTGCTTAGCACTTAGACACAATCTGTGACTTAGCATACAAACTTAGGACATCTTGCATCGAAATGCCTCACTATATTTGTACCCTTAGCTATAACTTCCCCCCACCTATACACTCTATCAATAATATCTACGAAATAATTCTTAAAAGAAATAAATTTACCTGGAATTAGTATCATTATTCTCAAGGTGGTGTGTGAAGAACAACTGTCTTTCTTCCGGTAGCAAGTGAACTTTCTGGTGCTTTTTAAGATCGAATTTACGTACCGTTTGAAAGCTACATATTGAACATTTATGGACCTTTTTCTGCAATTTCTTCAACTGTCTTTCTTCCGGTGCCAAGTGAATTTCCTTGTGCTTTTTAAGATTGGATTTATATGGCGTTTGATAGCTACATATGGAACATCTATAGACCATTCTCTGCAATTCCTTCATTTCCTCTGCCCTAATAAAATAATTTTTAAATTATCAGTATAACTCTATATAAAAGAAGCAGTTGGTAGACCAAGTTGTGGTCCAAGTTAACATTTATATCTAGTAGAATAAGAATAAATTATCATTTTACAACAACATATAAACAACATCAAATCCAGCAAAATCAAAACCACGGATCAAAACAAAATATCAAAATAATAATCAATGATAATAATGACAAAACTGACACATGTCATTTTTGACAAGGAATTTCGTTGTTCAGAGTAGTGAAAAAAAGTGAAATATGCAAATACGTTTAAATTTACTATAGGTTCATTCCAACCAGCAGTAATTTCCAGTAATATTACCGTCAGGCATGCGCATTCGTACAATGTCGTTCCAACCGGCCAAAATTACAAATTCAGAACTTGTGATTATCGTCAGTTCGTCGTTCCAACCGGAATTATCGATGGTAAAATTACGGTTCAAACGATTCTGCCTTGAGAGCAAGAACTGTTGGTTCTAAATTAGAGGCATGCGCAGTAAGGTCGAAATAGCGGTCAGCTGGGTAGTATAGTATAAACTAGGTTAGGGAGTTGTTTTTGTTTATCTTTTTTGTTTGGAAAAATTTAAGAACGACTTTCTCTATTTATTTAAAGTATTTAAAAATTACAAATATGAATATGGAAGGTAATTTACTAATTATATATATTTTTGTTAAATAAATACCATTTTTATCTTATATGAGCAGGCATGGAAGAATTCGTTATTGTGGTAGAAAATGAAAATAATCCGCCTTCTACTACTACTTCTGCTGCTGCATCTGCTGTAGAGCTTTTTTTTTGGACCAACAACAATACAAGGCTCTTAATCGACTTGTACAAAAAATATAAAAGCAAAGTGGGAACAATGGGGATGAAGAATTTTAAAACTATGTGGGAGAAAATAGCAAATGAGATTTCAGAAATATTGCAGAAAACAGTAACATCCAAAAATGTTGAAAACAGGTGGAAAGTACTTGACCGCAATTTCAAAAAATATGTTGACAATAAAAATTCAACAGGACGTGGTAGAAAGTTCTTTGAGTTTGCGTCGGAAATGGAAGAAGCTTGTGGTAACAAAAAGAATATAAGGCCAGAAATTTTACTAGCAAATGAAATTCACATGCCAAAGCAAGAAAATGTTGAGCAAGGCCAAGGCCAAGAAACTGCTGAAACACCAAAAAAAGTGATAAGAAGGAAGACCAGGAAAACAGTACTACAGCAGATCCGAGAGGACCGGCTTTCTTACCAAGAAAACAGAAATCGGTTTCTTCAACAGGTTCATCAAGACCAATTAAGTTTGCTTCGTGAACGAAATGAAATTGAGAGAGAGAGAAATGAAATTGAAAAAGAGAGAAACAATATTCTTTTAACAAAAAAGTGCAATTGTCATATATATGAAACCCTATAGGGAGTATTGATTTATTTATTTGTTTTTCTTTAATTACATAAGTTAAGAGTTCCTATTTGTTAATTTATGGTAGTTATTTATTTTGTTGTTTTTTAATTTGATATTAATGAATCTCTATTTGTTTATTTTTTTTTAAATAAAAATTTGCATGTTTCATTTGATATTGAAGTTTGTGATAGACTTTGACAAAATAATTAAAAAAAATTTATTTTGAAAAATATTATAAACAGTACTTTTAATGTAAATTATTTACAACAAAATTTCTAGCTCTTTGTGCATCTCGATCACCATCCAAATCCATTTCATCATCAGGATCATCTATAACATGGGGCATATCTACAGGTAGCACTTCAATTTCTTCCAGAAACTCATCTGCCAAAGCAATATTGTGCAAAACACAAGCTGCCCTTATGAGATGTACTATGTACTCCATTTTCCGCAATTTTATATGGTACATTTGTCTAAATTTCTGTTTTAGTACTCCAAAACAGTGCTCAATTACATAGCGATTTCTTGCTAATCTCACATTATAACGAGTTTGTTCCTCTGTCAATTGTCCTCGGTCCTTGAAAGGTGTCAAAAGATTAGCACAAAGTGGGTAACCACTATCTCCAAGGAGAAAATATTGTCCACATTTTTCTGCAAGTGTTTGGCTCAGAGAAGAGTTTCGATATACCCTACTATCGTGGACTGAACCAGGATATCCAATAAATACATCCCTAATTTTAAGTGTATGATCACAAACAACTTGCATCTGTAAGATGATTCAAATGAGTACCTACTAATACTTATAATAATAATAGTTATCTAAGCTAAACTTACTTGAACAGAATAATAACCCTTTCTGTTAATGTATGAATCCGGGTCATTCTCCGGCTTATCAATTTTCAGGTGAGATCCATCAATGGCACCAATAATATTGGGAAACCCATTGGCTTGGAAATGTTCAGCAATTTCTAGTTTTTCAGCTGCATTAGGCCAAACTATGACTTGAGGGGCCAAATTGCTAAGGAACACGGACACTCTTTGTATAATCCTTTCTAGGGATGACTTTGTTATGTTAAATCTATCGGACACATCTGCAAAACTCGCAGCTTCATGCCCAATAAACCACAAAAATATTAATATCTGAAAATTTAGTATATTTATCAATAAAATTGTACAATAAAACCTTAAATAATTCATTTACTTACATGATTGTGAGCAGAAATTTTTCCAAATTGACCACTATCATTCTTATAATACTCACTCCCTTCAAATGAGTCTCTAAGTTCAGTTGCCACATGTCTGGATACTCGGAAGTTAGAAAAAAATTCTTCTTCCGAATAATTTAAAACTGTTTCTTCTAAATTAAACATTAATTTTATTAAAATATATTTTTATATAAACTCAACAAACCTAGGAAATTCTCATTTCTTGTGGCAATATCCCCAAGAAAATCCAAATCTTCATCTTCTGAAGAAGAAACATTAAACAAATAATTTACTGCCATTATGGACGCCGGCACAAAAACTAAAGGACAAAAAAGAAAAGAACAAGACGCTCGGGTTGCTCGGGAACCTCGGGAACTTGGGATGAATATTTTTTAGGTTATTGTTATTGTGTTGCCAGCCCAGCTGTTTACTTTCCATCCCAGTATTCCCAGTTCTAAAAACGTTCCAACCAGTTTATAAGTTCATCCTAGTAACTTAACCGGTTTCGCTCGCGCAGGCGCATTAACGCAATTACTAACGATAATATTACCGTAATATTATTGCAGGTTGGAACGAACCTTATATAAGTCTATCCTTGTTTGGGAGGAGGTTTTCAGCGCTTGCTCGATCTGTAAGCACTGTGATTGGACAGTTCCAAATCATATGATATGTTATCAATCCACACCATTACCTAATATAAAATAGTCTTATGAATTTCCAGCTCCTGATTTCCAGTATTCCGTTTCCAGTACGTGTATTATTAGTTGCCTACCCTATTAATATTAGAGCATAGTGCCGAGCAGCGCATATCGATATTTCAATATCATCGATTATTTAATCACTGTATAATCACTATTACTTCCTGACCTTCCTCTATAATTTGCTGTCCTGTTTCCTCTTAGCAAGGCGCTAGCACTTCTTCTTGTATATGTGTTTTGTGATGGGTATCATGAGTGGATGGGAGGCGGTGGCATTTGCAAAATTTGTTGTCTTATTGTAATATTATTATCCATCTCTCTTTAAGCTTAGACTTTTTATAGGCGTTTGGATGTCATGTCTAAATTAACTATAAATTTTATTAAAAACACAATTAAATCGTATACTAACAATGAAAATGTAGTATCCCAGTCGATCGCAGTGCCTCTGCTGTCAAACCGAGGAAGCTGCTTAAAAGTGGGGACAGAAATTTCAAATTTGCCCATTGCCGATAAATCTCCTTTTTTAAGCCCTCCATACACCTTACCAATCCTGTATATAAGGTTTTATACATTGTTTTATACAAATACGTTGGTTTTATAATATGCGTCTATATGCAACCCGTAATACATGTTCCAGTACCGATTTCCCGATTTGTTTAATGTCAAAGTCGGTGGAGGCTGGAGAGGTGCGACCAGAGATTTGCCATTTCATTTAGTGTCCACCAGTGTTTACTAATAATTAGAACAATGGATATCTCCGTTCCTTCAAGATTCGCTTGCTTAAAAATCGAAGACGACGATTTCCGTCCGGCAAGCAGCCACCACGCCAAAAAGAAGCAAGAAAAAGTGGAAACCAAGAAACCCAACAGTGCCGCAAAGGAGGCATCGAAAAGTTCTTGGACGGCTACAAGAAAAAAGGGAAACACTACCGAAGTATAGTGCGAAATAGATTTTTTTCTTTAAAAATTTAATGATTTTTGGTTTAGAAGCCCAAGACGGCAACAACTGTAAAGAAACCGAAGCATAAACAAAAGGGGGAATTTGAAAAAAATTGGGAGGAATGGCAAAAAAAGGACGACGAGTTTGTGAACGACGTTTTCGAGGAACAGATGCAAAATGCAATTATGCAGTCCAAGCTCGAATTTGAGCAGCAGAAAAAAACTGTTAAATCTGAATCGGAACAGAATCAGGGCAAGAAGAAAAAGGGTAAAACTATGAGTTGGGATCAGTTTGTTGATAATAAAGAGGCCAATATCAAAGGTACTATTATTTTATTGTGTTGCCACACTAATCAAGCGTATATTATTATTATAGAACAAGATAAATCTAAAGACAATGAGAAGAATTTCTTCGACGACGTTGTTCAGACGGTTAAAAAGGAGATTACAAGAGAGAAAATCGAAGAAAATAGGAAGAAAAGGCAAGAGAAGTTCGATGAAGTTGTTGGACTTGCGCAACTTCAAGTCAGTATTATCCATGCAGCTGGAACTAGATTTCTATTTTGAATTGCTCATATTTTTAGGAGAAATTAGAGGAGGAAAGGCAAAGGAATATAAATTTAGAGAAGCAATTGAAGGAGGCAAGAAAAGAAATTTCAGTTGTAAAAAAGAGAAATACCACACTTTGCAGTATGCTTAGTCAAGGGGAAAGTAAGTGTGATGATTTTCTTTAATTGTTTTTGGATTAAATTATAAAATATATGTTTGTTCAATCTACCTATTATAAAAAATTGATTTTTTTAGTGAAAGATAAGGCGGAAGTCCTATTGGAGCTAGAGAGACTGACAGTGGTGAAAGAAGAACTCACTGAGGAAGTCGCTAAACTTTACAAGTTATTGGAACAGGAGAGATCGAGCAAGACAGCAGCAACTACAAACGAGCCCCATCTAAAGCACAACAAAGACAAGGTGATATTTTTGTAGGATCAATCAATAATGGTTGGCGTGCGCGTCATCAAAGAATTCCTTCAAAAAAATCCTGAGTTAGACATTCAATTTGCTAATAGTTTTGGTGTCTTTGATTACATGCACCCCACCTGTTATTGATTTTTCTATATACATGTTTTTTATTTGTTTTTTTTTGTGTTTGACGTGTGATTTTAATAGACATTTCTTTTTTTTTTGTTTTCTTCCAGAAAAAGAAGAACAAATAGATTTTTGTTGCAAATGCTTTTCTATTTCCTGAGACTGGTTTTTGTTTTGGTTTTCTAACTAATTTAGTTTTAGTTTTTTTTTTATTTTTATACATATATTAATTAATACATTTCTGTTCATAACTTTTAAATTTACTTTGTGATACTTCATTGATTATTTTTTTTCTAGAATAAGAAGTAAAAAAGACTTCCGACCGTATCCTACCATGATCGGTATTTGTACTTTCATACCCTTTCTCTAAATACGTTTATATATTCGGTATATTTAATTAAGATTCCTTTAAAGAGATGTTATAGAAAGTTTAAAATGATTTTGAAATAAATTGTTTTCGAATTATCTATGGTATGTTTTACTTTACCCCATACAAATAAAGTTGGACTAGAGGAAATAGTTTATACAGCTATTTTCAACTAAGAAGAGATAAATTTAAAACAAACCCTATTATAAAGTAGTAAAAAGCTTTTTTTAATCATCCTAAAATCGTTTTTTCGGACGATGAAGTGATTATAAGCTAAGCAACTAACAATACACATACTATAAATTCATTTAAGCTCTATCCTTTTCTACATATCTTATTTGTTACACTGAGGAACTTTATAAGAGTTGACGCGTGACATTGACATGATTGTATTTTCACGCAGTTGAGCAGCTATGAAGTGTTCAAGAACGCGATACTCTCACTCCATTCCAATGACTAAAGAATCCAAGGACAAATAACACCCGATTGCAAATTGTGACAATGTCACCAAACAGTGTCGTAGCGCATATTTTTCTTAACCTAGTTGTTTGAAGCAATATTTAAATTTTTTGATAATTGTTTTGACTACGCCTATGGTGTATCATCCTAATTAATTACGAAAAAAACGTTTTAAAATGTTAACAAAAGATACAACACTAGTATCGACGTATAGCCTGCGTAACTTGTGGTGGGCTACTTGTTACTACATACATATATTTTTTTAAATATTCTTTCAAAAAATTTGCTAATTTAGGTGTATAATAATAGTTTCAGTGGGTAATTAATAAAAATTTTAAAATAAATAAAATAACACAAAGCTTCTAGAATTGTTTATTTTTTTGTGGAAAATTAGGATATTCTTATGATTGAAGGTAACAAATATTAAAAATTACATTATTCGTTGAATCCGCATGCAAGTGTGAAGGGGAATGGCTAGATTCATTATTATACCGTATGGTCGAAAAAAAAACGACGTCCAGTTGGCTTGTAAATTGTAAATGACGATCGACATTCCCCATATAATTTTACATATAAAATGACAGCGATCTTCATTTCATAGCTATCGCTGACGCCGTCTTTTTTCGGTGTCGTTTTGTATAGTTTTTATGTCATTTTATATGTAGAATTATATAGGGAATATCATCGATCGTAATTTACAAGCCAACTGGACGTCGTTTTTTTTTCGATTATACGGTATAATAATGAATCTAGTCAATTCCCTTCACACTTGCTTACGGATTCAATGAATAATGTAATTTTTAATATTCATTTGTGAAATTGTCATTTCCAAACAAATAAGACGCCGTTTTTTTCGATCATACAGTATATATGTTTATACACGTTTAAAACATATGTTATTACATTATTTTTTATTTAATTATACATTATACACACGTTAATAAATAAATAATTGTCTTGATAATCAGTCCACTGTGACTGTTAAATAAATTTTGCATTATCGACTTAGATATTCTAATATTATAAAGGTGAGACTATAAAATACAAAATTGTATATGCATTACTCAAAAATGAACGATATATTAGTTTACGTTTTAATAAATATTTTGTACCGTCTAGGTCAAAGACATTCTTACTAAATCTATGGTCTAGGTACAAGCTAATTTCTGATGATACGCCATTGGAGAATTTCGCGTGGTGACAACTTTCAACTCACTTTCAGCTGCCGTGTTACACCTGTCCCCTCTCTTTCCTTGTCTAAGTTCTTTAGTCATTGCTCCATTATGGCTCCATTCAATTGAGTCATTGAACTGTTCCGCGCCATATGGAGGCACCAGCACAAAATAGAAATCATTGATTGATCGGACTGTCCAAAATAGAAATCAATCGTTGATTTCTATTTTGTTATTTCTATACACGTTGATTTGTGGCACGCTATCGCGCACCGCTCCTTTTAGAACCGTTCTCGAGCTCGAGTAGCCCCAGGCCCCAGGGCGTAAAGCCCGGAACTCGAAGTTTGCGAATGGAGGACAGCAATATGTGTTTTGTGTGATTGATTATCACTAGGATTATTATTTATGATTATCATTACTGTGATTATCATTGATTTTACGTGTTGAAATCGAAGCAAGAATGTAAGTAATGAATTATGTTATTTTATTAAATTTAAATGAGGGTCAAATTCAATTGTGTCTCGAGATCATTATACTTACATAAAGAAAAACAATAATTTTATTTATTTTTGTTATAATCATTATTCTCAATTGTACTAATTGACTCGGAAATAAAGACATTGTTCTATTAGGGCGAAGGGACTGAAGGAATCGCAGAAAAAGGTCTATAGATGTTCCACATGTAGCTACCAAACGCCATCTAAGTCCAGTCTTAACAGACACAATAATATTCACTTGCCACCGGAAGAACGACAGTTGAAGAAATCGCAGAAAAAGGTCTATAGATGTTCCACATGTAGCTACCAAACGTGGTATAAGTACTATCTTAACACACACAATAATATTCACTTGCCACTGGAAGAACGACGGTTGTTTGTTTGTGCGCACTGCGATAAGAAATATATGAGTAAAAAAAACTTACGAGATCACCTTCATATTGATCATACTGATTCCAGGTAAATTTATTTTTTAAAGAATTATTAAGAATTAGACGTAGATCATTATACTTACATAAAGAAAAACAATAATTTTATTTATTTTTGTTATAATCATTATTCTCAATTGTACTAATTGACTCAGAAATAAAGACATTGTTCTATTAGGGCAAAGGGACTGAAGGAATCGCAGATAAAGGTCTATAGATGTTCCACATGTAGCTACCAAACGCCATCTAAGTACATTCTTAACAGACACAATAATATTCACTTGCCACCGGAAGAACGACAGTTGAAGAAATCGCAGAAAGAGGTCTATAGATGTTCCACATGTAGCTACCAAACGCCATCTAAGTCCCATCTTAACACACACAATAATATTCACTTGCCACCGGAAGAACGACGGTTGTTTGTTTGTACGCACTGCGATAAGAAATATATGAGTAAAAAAACCTTACGAGATCACCTTCATATTGATCATACTGATTCCAGGTAAATTTATTTTTTAAAGAATTATTAAGAATTAGACATAGATCATTATACTTACATAAAGAAAAACAATAATTTTATTTATTTTTGTTATAATCATTATTCTCAATTGGACTAATTGACTTGGAAATAAAGACATTGTTCTATTAGGGCGAAGGGACTGAAGGAATCGCAGAAAAAGGTCTATAGATGTTCCACATGTAGCTACCAAACGCCTTATAGGTTCTATCTTAACACACACAATAATATTCACTTGCCACCGGAAGAACGACAGTTGAAGGAATTGCAGAAAAAGGTCTATAGATGTTCCACATGTAGCTACCAAACGCGATATAAGTCCAGTCTTAACACACACAATAATATTCACTTGCCACCGGAAGAACGACAGTTGAAGGAATTGCAGAAAAAGGTCTATAGTTGTTCCATATGTAGCTACCAAACGCCATCTAAGTTCCGTTTTAACACACACAATGATATTCACTTGCCACGGGAAGAACGACAGTTGTTTCTTTGTGCGCACTGCGATAAGAAATATATGAGTAAAAAAGCCTTACATGATCACCTTCATAATGATCATTCCAGGTAAATTTATTTTTTATTCATTTTTGTTATAATCATTATTCTCAATTGGGTAAACCGCCGTTTAGGCCGACGAAAATAAAGCGAGTCGTCAGGCAACCGTTAACGATCATATGCGGCGTTGCCATTTAACACATTAACTTTTTAACGGAATTTTGTGATTGCTTCTTTTAAATTGTTAGAAATTTAATTTATTATTGGACATTTAATTTATATAACAAACGACTACCCATTCGCGGGGCGGGTAAGATTTATAGGGAATAATACAGAATATAATTATAATTAAGCTGAAACAACTATTATAACTTAAGAATTATAGCTTCTACGATTATTGTAAACCCCGATGAAATTATTGCTGCTGATAATTTACTCTTGGAAAACTTCAATTTGAGATTAGTTTTTGATACAAAACTTGAATTGTTGAAGTGGGTGGCAAGGAGGCAGTTTTAACTGGTTGGTTGGTTGGTTTGTTACATAAATATGCGTTGATTGGCATACAGTCAGGGACGGATACAAAAATTTATTTTAGGGGGGGCCCAAATCAAAAATAATGTAATATATGCCTTTTAGCACAGAATATCTAGCTACGCAACAGAAAAATACTCGAAATGAAAGAGCTAAAATTGCACAAATAAAATACTAGATGGCGCGACAATATCATAATCAGAATATAATTGGAAATTTTCAACTTTCGGTTTTGGATCGACGTAGATCGACGGCACGTCGACGGCCTTGAAGCTCGGCTAAAAATGCACAGTTGCCAGATTCAAACAGACTTTAATTGGCATCCCATTCTTTTTTTGGTGTATAATAATTTCTTTCTATTCTTCGTTTCTTGTCAGATACACTTATATTAATTATTCGTTTGGCTTTTAAAATAGTTTTAATTTTATGTATATTATTAGAAAACATATGCTCTCAAAATACATTTTTAATATATCTACACTACTTTATTATGTTAACTAAGAAAATAACTTTAACTACCTTTAAAATTAATAATATACAGGGCGATTGATAGTGATATTTATTAATGCTGAAACGTTAGTAATGAAATATACGTTTAATAATAATGGAAACGATTTATTAAAATGCAGTACAAAAAATGTTAATTGACTAAAAAATACTATAATAACAATTTTTTTCTGTTTGCCACGTTATTTATATAGACCTAGGTAGATTTTAAAAAGTGACACAGGTACAATTAATAATATATTACTTAAGCATAAAAGTTGCTGTCACCGACATCGTACAATAAATTAAAATTCATAAAATAAATTAAAATTATTAATTAAACAAATCTTTATAAAGAAACGCAAGTATATCAAATTTGGGCCCAATCGAACGCCAGGAAATGGTATCGTAATATGGTACTACATTATGGTACCCCTTGATATGCTTCATGCTTCCATAATATTGCAATGTCATCAAAAATACGCAAGTATAATCAAATATAAGCCCAATCGAACGTCAGGAAGTGGTCGTAATATGGTACTATATTAAGGTACCACTTTATATATGCATCATAGTAGATGCATTATAGTACCATCATATTACAATGTCACCGAAGATACTTACTATACCAAGTTAAGCCCAATCGAACGCCAGCAAATGGTATCGTATATGGTACTATTATGGTACCTCTTGATAAGCTTCATGGTACCATAATATTGCAATGTCATCAAAAATATGCAAGTATATATCAAATATGAGCCCAAATGAACGTCAGAAAGTGGTATCATAATATGGTACTATAGAAGGTACCAATTTATTTGCTCCATGGTGCCATCATATTACGATGTTACCGAAATTACGTAGTATACAAAGTTTAAGCTCAATCAAACGCCAGGAAATGGTATCGTAATATGGTACTACATTATGGTACCCCTTGATATGCTTCATGGTACCATAATATTGTAATGTCATCAAAAATACGCAAGTATAATCAAATATGAGCCCAATCGAACGTCAGGGAGTGGTATCGTAATATGGTACTATATTAAGGTACCACTTTATATGCATCATAGTACCATCATATTACAATGTCATCGAAGATACTTACTATACCAAGTATAAGTCCAATCGCACGCCAGGAAATGGTATCGTATATGGTACCTCTATCGTATATGGTACCTCTATGTACTATTATGGTACCTCTTGATACGCTTCATGGTACCATAATATTACAATATCTCTGAAGATACGTAATATACCAAGTTTAAGCCCAATCGAACGCCATGTATCGTAATAAGGTACAATATTACGGTATCACTTGATATGCTTCATGGTACCATAATATTGCAATGTCATGAAAAATATGCAAGTATGTATCAAATACGTATGATACCGAAAAAACGGCGTCTAGTTGGCTGGGAAAAGACGATCGATGACATTTCTCATAAAAATTTACACATAAAATGACAGCGATTTTCATTTCATAGCCATCGCTAACGCCGTTTTTCCCGATCATACGGTATGAACACAATCGAACGTCAGGAAGTGGTGTCATAATAGTAGAACAATACTTATTATATTGTCGCCGAATTACAATCAAAATTCAGGATTCAGTTAGAATCAAACGTCAGGAAGTGATTTTAATTCAGCTCGTAAGATTTAACTCCAACTAACATGGCAAGTTAAATACTTAAACGTTTGAAAAAAGAGCTCTTAATATGTTTTAAATGATGTAGAAAAATGTGAAGCTAGGCTTTATCAGGAAATATTACAATATAAATTACACAATGGCAACACTGCATAAAATTCTTTTAAATTTCGTTTGTAGAAAACTGTTTTCTTTTAAATTTATCGCCCTCTGTTATGTAGTAGTGAAACTACCACATCAAAATATCTGATTTGGAGACAGGCTTTTAAAGCCTGTCTCCTTTTGCTACCTACGATTTTATACATGTAACGAGGCTTCTGTTGCGTAGCTAGATATTCTGTGCTTTTAGGGTGTAATTTTTAACCCAAAAAGCTAATATTTAACCCAGCTTATAGGTTTTTGGTTTGGATCCACCACTGCATACAGTTGTTATTTTTGTCTCTTCCTGTTAAACCGAAAATGGCTTTAACTTGTTCATTTCAAAGGGAGGGAACCATCTAGGAGAAATACCGGGTATAAATTGCATGCCTAGTATAATTTAAACTGGTAAATACATAGCTAACAACATAGCTAACATTTTGTTTGTCCTTAAAAATAGGTATTAACAATTTTAGATATATACTTCCTGGTACTACTATTGTTTCTGATAGGTGGAGAGCCTATCGAAACATAAATGTCCTCGGTGGAGGTGTTTATAAACATCTTGTTATTCACCAAGAAAATTTTGTTGATCCCAATGATCCTCGAATTCACACACAAAATGTTGAAAATTTATGGATGAGAGCTAAAAGAAAATTAAAAAGGCAATTTGGCACCTCTCCCAATCTGTTTTTGGGTCTTATTTACATGAATTTATGTGGAGAAACAAAATCTCAGGAGAGCCAGAATTTCCAAACTTTTTAAAGTGCATTGTTGAACAATATCCTATGCAATAAAATATTTTCAGAGTAAATCTTGATACAATCTTTATCAACATCAGAGTGTATATTTTTCAGATTTCTCTATTTCCAAACCTATATTCTTAAGTTTGGCAACACAGCGGTTAATATCTCGATCGCAATTTCTTGTCGGCCTAAACTGCAGGATTACCCTCAATTGCATTAATTGACTTGGAAATAAAGACATTGTTCTATTAGGGCGAAGGGATTGAAGGAATCGCAGAAAAAAGTCTATAGATGTTCCACATGTAGCTTCCAAACGCCTTATAAGTCCCATCTTAAAGCACACAATAATATTCACTTGCCACCGGAAGAACAAAAGTTGAAGAAATCGCATAGATGTTCCACATGTAGCTACCAAACGCCATATAAGTCCCATCTTAACAGACACAATAATATTCACTTGCCACCGGAACAACAAAAGTTGAAGAAATCACATAGATGTTCCCTATGTAGCTACCGAACGCCATATAAGTACCATCTTAAAAAACACAAGAACATTCACTTGCCACCGGAAGAACGACAGTTGTTTGCTGGTGCGCATTGCGAAAAGACATATATGAGTAAAATACCCTTACGAGATGACCTTCATAATGATCATACCTGTTCCAGGTAAATTTATATTTGTGTAATAATAGACCATATACACTTTCGTGGATATAAAAAAGGCTATATAATAACCTCTCAACTATAATACCAACACATCGTCCCCTATCTCATGTACTAGCGTAACTCTCATTTAGTAAATTTGCAAGAGAAGAAGATAAAAAATGACTGGTATTAAACTTGTAATTTTTTGTAAGATACGTCGTATCCAAATATTATCGCTACCACCTTGATACCTCTGAAGTTTTTCCGTATTATTTGACCATATTGTATATTATGGCTTATAATGAAATTCACTACAATAAATTCTTTGAAAAATCCGAATAGTAAATGAGCCCGATGGATTTATTGTATCTGCTATTAAATCAATAATTACTAATCCTAATACAAAAAATGTCATACCTTGAAAAAATATAAGGATGGTTCAAAATACTGTTACGGATTCCGTGGGTCCACTATTTAAACTCACGATAAAATACTTAACGAATTTATTTTTCTCACTTTATACACAATTACTAACTTATAACACACAACAAACTAACTATTTATAAGATTCCTTCACCAAATTGTCCGATTTTCAATTTCCACGCGGTATATTCAAATTTCAAAAACTCGCTGTCAATTTATATGTAAAATATAGGGGAATGTTATCAATCGTCACTTCCAGGTCAACTTGACTGCGTTTTTTCTAGATCACACGGTATTTCGTTGGTTTATTTTTTATTGTTTTTTAGAAATGCTGATGAACTGATACTAGATTCTTTAAAAATTGAAATTGATGATCACACTCCACTTAAAGATGAGTTTAAGTATGTTTTTCTTTAAAGGTATTTTTACTAATACAGCGATAATGCAATTTATTAATTCCAGATATGCTGAATCTGCCACTAGTGAAGAGAAATTCGAATGTTTTTTAAAAATTGAACCTGATGATGTCACTCCAATTCTAAATAATGACATGCACGATGACTTTAAGTATGTTTTCTTTAAATGTATTTTTACTAATTATAAAAAATATTAGGATAGATAAGAAAAATAAAAAATCACCTGTACTAAACTTCGCCGCTCCGCCGGGGAATTGTAAAATACACTTTTTGTTTTAATTATTTTTATTCGTTATTTGCAATTTTATTTTTAAAACATATTATGTGAAACAATCACGTAATATGTTTTAAAAATAAAATTACAAACGGAAACAAAAAGGAATTAAAAAATCTGAAAATTTACTAAGTTTATTGATAAAAAAAGTTATGCTATGCAAATTGATATATTAAGTATAACCTCTTTGGTATAACATTGTTAAACAAATTTAACAAACATTAACAAGTCATAACATATCAGATTATAGAACTAAAAAATGCTATTACATAAAAACAGGTGATACAATACTTCAATATTAATTTTAACATAATATCAAAACCGAAAAATCAAACTGCAAACACAACCACACTTATCACAACTGAAATTAACATACACTTCCAAGGCAAATGTCCAAGAAAGACTGATCCTGTGGACTGATCGTTCTGATTGGCCCTGGTCGTAGCCGTAGCTCACGTCGTATTGTCGGTAAGGAAAATCCCTGTACATTTTTTTTTTTTCCATTATTTTGACGATCAGCGCCAACAGTCGTCGTGAATCGAAAATTTTTGCTGGAGTCATTTTGAATATTTAACTTACTGATTATACCTTCATGTATGTAAGGCTATAATAACCTCTCAGCTATAATGTCGGCATATGGGTGATTCTGTTGAAAATTCTTTAATTAGTTCAACAGTCGTTCGTGAATTATATCAGGTTTATATATGTGAGGGTTATATGTTTGAAAACCCTTGTTTTATAGTGTTACAAGACTAATATTTAAAAATTATTCTATTATGGTGAAGGAATCGCAGAAGAAGGTCTATAGATGTTCCACATGTGGCTGCAAAACGCCATATAAGTGCACTCTTAACAGACACAAGAAAATTCACTTGGAACTGGAAGAACGACAGTTGTTTGCTTGTGCGCACTGCGACAAGACATATATGAGTAAAATACCCTTTACGCGATCACCTTCATAATGATCATACCTATTCTAGCTAAATTTATATTTGTGTAATAATAGATCATATACACTTTCGGGGATATAAGGCTATATAATAACCGCCCAACTATAATACCAACACATCGTCCCCTATGTCATGTACTAGCGTAACTCTCTATTTAGTAAATTTGCAAAGAGAAGAAGATAAAAATTACTGGTATTAAACTTGTAATTTTTGTAAGATACGTCGAATCCAAATATTATCGCCGCCTTTATACCTCTGAAGATTTTCCGTATTATTTGACCATATTGTATATTATGGCTCATAATGAAATTCACTACAATAATTTCTTTTAAAAATACAATTAGAAAATGAGCCCCATTGATTTAACGTATCTGCTATTAAATCAATAATAATTACTAAATCTATACTACTAATATATAAAATCCTTAAGTGACTGATATACTGATTAATCACGATCCTGCTCAAACCAATCAACGTAAGAAGCTCCTTTTCGACATTCCAGTTCCAAGAGGGTGAAACCACCCCTCGAATATTACAATATTTTTTATTTAAAAAACGGTCAAGTTTCCGAAAAAACGCTTAAACACGTATATTTTATTTTGTTTTTTTACATATTTTAAAATTTAAAAATGTATACAGGGTGTTTCGAAAAATCTGGTCATTGATTAATCACCATTCTGCTTAAAGCGCTTGACGTAAAAAGCTGATTTTTGGGAAACAGATTGACTTTAGGGTGTAGAGGTTCCATAAGAAGGGAAGGGATTTTTCGAAACTCGAATTCTAAGGGGGTGAAACTATCCCTCAAATATTAAAATATTTTTTATTTAAAAACCGGTGAGTTTTTCGGAAAAACTCTTAAACACGTATATTTTATTTTGTTGTTTTACATATTTTAAGATTTTTTATAAATTTATACAGGGTGTTTCATAAAATATGACCATTGAGTAGTCACGATTCTGCTTAAACTGCTTGACGTTTAAAGCTGATTTTTGGCAAACGGATTGACTGTGGGGTGTAGAGGTTCGATAAGGAGGGGTTTCTCGAATCTCAAATTTCAAGAGGGTGAAAACGCCCCTCAAATATTACAATATTTGTTATTTAAAAAACGGTTAGTCTTTCGGGAAAACGCTCGGACAAGCATAATTTATTTGTTTTTTTTTCATATTGTGAAATTTTTTAAAAAATCATACAGGGTGTTCCAAAAAGTTGGGTAATTTCTTAACCACGATTCTGCTTAAACTGCTTGACGTAAAAAGCTTATTTTTGGCAAACGGATTTTTCGAAAGTGAAATTCCAACGAGATGAAACTACACCTGAAATATTACCAAGTTGTATAATAATATCGCCATATTGTTTTTTCTCATGCTGACATAAATGTGAGGGTGCAGCCACACTATCCTAAAAATGGCGTATCGGCGTAACGGCGTAACGACCTTGAATCGATTTCCAGTAATTCTATTGGCTGAAATTTTTGACAGATGAATTTGACAGATAAAATTTCTGACAGATGAATGTTTCAGCCAATAGAATTACTGGAAATCTATTTAAGGTCATTACGCCGTTACGCCGATACGCCGTTTTTAGGATAGTGTGGCTGCACCCTGAGAAAATTTTGTTCAGTTTGTACGTTAATGGAAATTCTTGCTTTGCTTTATCATCACCATTACAAATGATTAATTCGACGCGAACGAAGTCGCTGGTACACGCTAGTCTAATAGAAAAAATGTCATTCCTTGAAAAAAGACGGTTCAAAATACAAATATTTCTTAAATTCTCTCCGCAGGTCTAAAGAAATTTATATTTATTTTTATTATTATTTAAATTAAAAGTAAGATAAAGGTGATACTTATCGGTGACAGAAATAAACTATTATTATGTTTCGATACATACGATAAAAAAAACGGCGTCAGAGTGGGTTTAGAAATGAAGATCGTTATCATTTTATATGTAAAATTATATAGGGGACTGTAATCGATCTTCACTTCCAGGCCAGATTGAATTCGTTTTTTCTAGATCACACGGTATTTCGTTGATTTATTTTTTATTGTTTTTTAGAAATGCTGGTTGCACATCTGTAACTGATGAAGTGATAATAGATTCTTTAAAAATTGAAATTGATGATCACACTCCGCTTAAAGATGAGTTTAAGTATGTTTTTCTTTAAAGGTATGTTTACTAATACAGCGATAATGCAATTTATTAATTCCAGACATGCTGAATCTGCCACTAATGAAGAGAAATCAGAATGTTTTTTAAAAATTGAACCTGATGATGTCACTCCGATTCTAAATAATGACATGCTCGATGTCTTTAAGTATGTTTTCTTTAAATGTATTTTTACTAAGGGCTACATATTAAAAATAACGTGGTTTAAATATTTTTTATTGTTTCCAGAAATGGCGAAAATTTATCTGTCCGTGTGAAGGTGAAGTTGGAGGATTTTTTATAAAAATGGAACCTGACGATGACTCCCCGTTTCTGGATGAAGACGCGCTTTTCAAACAAGAAAATATTCCTAATTTTTAATATTTTAAATATTTCTAAATCTGTCTGATTTGTTTCTTTTTCACGTTTAAACTTTTACCTTTTTTAAACATGTTTAAAAGATTTGTAAGTAGCTGTGATATCCTAATGTATCCTGTGTAATAATAATATAATAATCTTGTGTATTCATTCTTCTTACCTCTACAGGGTATCCCAGAAATAAGTGCAAGTATTTTAACCAGTAGTATAGTTCAACCCCAGAAACACGCTTCTGAGTTTTTTTCGCGAAAATTTTTTTTGAAAATTCGAAATTTTTTGGAATTTCTTTTAGTTTTTATTTAAAAAACATAATTTCTTGATAATATGGCAACATAGGTATTAGATTAAATTTACAATAAAGAAAATCCAGAAAAGATCCAGTGGTTCTCAAAATTTTAGCAAAAAATATTTTTTTTTGGAAATTTTCAAAGTAAAATAACTCCGTTATTTTGGACTTATTTGAAAAACGATAAAGAGAAAATGTGTTTTTTTATCGAGATCTACCACCCCTTAAAATACTTGCACTTATTTCTGGGACACCCTGTATATCCTTGCATTGAAATTAAATCTAACTAGTGCTGGGAGATCGTTAGTAAACATCGATATTAAGTGTGTTCGGAATTCGTCGTCTTCGATTTTTAAGCAAGCGATTCTTGAAGGAATATATCCATTGTTCTAATTATTAGTAAACACTGGTGAACACTAAATGGCAAATCTCTGGTCGCACCTCCACCGACTTTGATGTTAAACAAATCGGTCAATCGGTGCTGGAGCTGGAGCATGTATTTATTACGGGTCGTATAGACGTTGCGCGATATCAGATTAGATAGAGCCTAGAATTTTAATCATGATGGTTGCCATGTTCGCGCTTATGTATTAGGAGGAGTTCAGGAAGTAATAGTGATTATACGATAATTTTAAAACGTCGATATGCATTGCTCATTATTACGATGAAGTGGTATTATGTTAGGTAACTAACAATACACGTACTATAAATTCATTTAAGTTATTTAAGCTCTACGTTCTATACAAATACGTTTCAATAAAATATACGACGGCCTTCCCATAAGAGCAATGAGAGGATTTACGTCCCAGTATTGAAGGTCGGAAAATCAAGTCGAAAATCAGAAAATCGAGTCGAATGGTTTCAAGACATAGGTTCATCCTTAGTCAAACCTCCTACAACACAAGGATAGACGTATGTAGGAAATGCATTGAAATTCTATAGCCATCCTTCAATATCGGGACAGGAATTTAAGCGGTACCCTCCGTATTCTTTATTTTAAACGTATTTGGTTCTATATATCTTATTTGTTACTCTGAGCAACTGTAGAGGCTGTCAAACGTATGACATTAATGACATTCATTATTCAATTGACATTTGTTTATTTTGTGTTGTGTTGTGATTTGTTTGTTGTTTGATTTTAATTATGGAGGCTAAAATATTTAATCCATAATTCCATCAGAGTGGAAGTGGGAGAATGAGCTTCGACGAGTGCGCATCCAAATTTTTGTGAACGGTAAGATGGCCGCCATATTCCAGGTCTCGCTGTCACTTCCCCTTTCCCCTCAATCCTCAATTTGTTTGTTGATGCAATGCCTTCTATTAAAAGATCAGCCTACGGGCGAGATTTATGACGTCACGCTAGTTAGATATAACGGATTAATAAATATGTTGTAGAATACATGGAAAACATAATTATTCCTCAGACTTTTGGTTTGTATTTTAAAAATGATATAGTTTAAATGAAATATACATAATATACAGTTAATAACTACAACATATATACCTATTTATAGTAATAAATACTTTGGCAAATAAACTATGAACCATACATATGCAGCAAATGTTTTACAATGTACAAATAATGTATAGGTACATAAGATAATGGGTAAAATGTAAATATATTTTAAATTTTGGGGTTTGAAAATCGATCTAATTTAACAAAAAACATTGAATATCTACTAATAGTGATGTATTATTATTTGCATTCACAAAATTTATATGTATATTTTGCAAGTATCAATGTTCGAAAAATTATATTTACAAATAATACAATATTATCTAAAAAAGGCGTCAGCGATGGCTATGAAATGAAGATCGCTGGCATTTTATATGTTAAATTATTCTAAAATTTTTGATTTTCTTGGGATTTTTAGGTTCGGGAAAAACGCTGATTAAGTTTTCATTTGGGTTTTCATTATTTTTATTCGGTTTAAAAAAAAACGTTTCGGCTAACTATAGCCTTCACAGTGTTGTGTCATATGAGAAAAATAGTGTCGAATATAATCCAAAAAATTACATATACAATATAATTCACACCTCATAATGTTTACTGCAATTAATAAACTAATATAAACTTATCAAAAGATGACCACATATTTTTAAAATTATTATTCTTAACACTAAAATTATCTACATTGACTATGGAGTACGCAGTAAACATTATGTGCGTGGTGTGCATATTTTATATGCAATTTTTGGATTATATTCGACACTATTTTTTCATATGACACAACACTGATGGAGGCTATAATGTTAGCCGAACCGTTTTTTTAAACCAAATAAAAATAATGAAAACCAAATGAAAAATCAATCAGCGTTTTTCCCGAACCTAAATTCCAAGAAAATCAAAAAATTTAGAATATTTAGAATCAAGGTTCAAGAATATCAAATTTTCCAAGATTGTAAAATTCTAGTTAATTATTTTATGTGTACAGTTATTTAGGGAATGTCATCGATGTTCATTTCCAAGCCAACTAGACGCCGATTTTTTCGATGATACGGTATAATTCTTACGTAAAATGTAAATAACATTAGACCAATTAAAACAAAGAAATATGAATTTCTTAGTATTTTTAGTAACACCTTTATTCTTAAAACTTAATTTTGTATTATGCAAATATACCAATTTTATTGTTATTTTATTCATATTGTATTCAGCCATCACTTAAATATTTGATATTAATTTGGTATTATAAATAATCAATACTATTCATTAAAAATTACTGAACAAATATATGTTATGCTTAACATACATTATATATTATCAAACAAAAACACATTCTTCTTTTAAACTGTATCAGTCTTGTCTTTACAAAAATCTTTTTTAAAATTTGAACTCAAAATAATAATCTTTTCATGATCTCTAATACACATATTCTTTATTTTCCCTAGATCATAATACCTACTTACGTGTTTGAATCTATCGAAGCTGAACCAGCAACACTTGGAGTGGAGATTCCACAATATGAATAAAATAAACATAATTGTCCAGTTTTCATTAATACCATCATGGGAGAATATTATTTTTAAATTTATTAAAGATATTTTCAATAAAATTCTCTTGATTTATAACTCGTACCCACTTTTCTTGCTCTTCCGGACACTTTAGGCTGCCTAGTATAATAACTATCCTTAGTAACCATCCTTTCCACCAGGAACACAACAAAGATGAGGCATAGCACCAATAACACACTCCACTTAAGCTTTATTGATGAATTGTTAGAGTCTTAAAAAACACACACAAAAATCACGATAAGTAAAAATGTATGGGCACTTTTAGGTTAAATCACTTGCACAACGTGTAATTTTTAAAATTTCTATTTTTGGTGCGAAACCGAGAGTGACCATATATCTGGTAGTAGTTTATGTCACTTCAACACCAAAATAATTAGTTTTTTGCACTACAATAATAAATAATACCAAAAATCAAAGAGTTAAAACCAAAAATCAACCGACAAAATATGAAACGGAATCTAACCCAATATCTAAGTATGTACAGCTGATGAAGTAAACAAAAGTCCGCCCGTAGGCTGATCTTTTAATAGAAGGCATTGGTTGATGTTTTGTTGGCATGTTGTTCGCGTTGCGTCTCTAGTTGTCCACGTTTATTGGTTTGTGTATTTTTGTTTTTTTTCGGTGTTTTTGTGTTTTTACTATAGTTTATTACCATTATTATAATATTAAAGACTTTTTCAAAATGAACTGTGCTGTGAGATATTGTCGCAATCATACTAAAATGGCTAAATCGCCAGGAAAAGTGATAAGTTTTCATAGGTAACTTCATAAAAGCACATATATATTTAGGATACAGGTGATTCAAATATGTTTATTTTAGTTTCCCTAAAGGCGATTCTCAAACAACATGGTTGGAAGCACTCGGCATTGTTGGAAATTGGAAGTGGTCAAAAGCTAAAGGTGTATGCTCTGATCATTTTAAAGAGGATGAGTTCATTATGCGTGTAGGAAAAAGGTGTTTGAAAGTTAACGCCGTGCCTTCTGTAAAACTATCAGAGGACACAGTGCACAAGAAGACAATAATGAGAAAAAGAAAGCATTATATAAGGTATTTCATATTTTTTGTATAACTGAACAGTGAAAATTTAAAAACAAATTACTCTAAAATTTGTTGTAGTTTCCTAAAGACATATTTTTTTGCACTCATAACAATCCTGCGACATCGTAACCTCACTTATTTGTTTCAGTTTGTTTATCAATTTTTTTATTTTATATTAGCTTATATGAAGTATGTCACAGGAATGAAGTATGAATTCTTTTTATATAGAATATGATCGAAAAAAATCGGCGTCAGCGATGGCTATGAAATGAAGATCGCTGTCATTTTATATGTATAATATGTAAAACAATTGTACTAATTCATGGTACTAATTGACTTGGAAACACTTGGAAATAAAGACATTGTTCTGTTAGGGCGAAGGGACTGAAGGAATCGCAGAAAATGGTCTATAGATGTTCCGCATGTAGCTATCAAACAACAGATAGTTCCAATTTTAACAAGCACAAGATAATTCACTTGACACTGGAAGAACGACGGTGGTTTCTTTGTACGCCCTGCGGCAAGAAATATCTGACTAAAAAATCCTTACGAGATCACATTTATAATGATCATACCGATTCCAGGTAAATTTATTTTTTATTTATTTTTGTTATAATCATTATTTTCAATTGTACTAATTGACTTGGAAATAAAGACATTGTTCTATTTAGGACAAAGGAAATTCTAAAGGAATCACAGAGAAAGGTCTATAGATGTTCCACATGTAGCTACCAAACGCTGTATAAGTCCTATCTTAACACACACAAGAAAATTCACTTGGCATTGGAAAAACGACGGTTGTTTGTTTGTGCGCACTGCAACAAGAAATATATGAGTAAAAGAACCTTACGACGTCACCTTCATAATAATCATACCGATTCCAGGTAAACTTATTTTTATTTATTTTTGTTATAATCATTATTCTCAATTGTACTAATTGACTTGGAAATAAAGACATTGTTCTATTAGGGCGAAGGGACTGAAGGAATCGCAGAAAAAAGTCTATAGATGTTCCACATGTAGCTACCAAACGCCTTATAAGTCTCATCTTAACGCACACAATAATATTCACTTGCCACCGGAAAAACAAAAGTTGAAGAAATCGCATAGATGTTCCACATGTAGCTACCAAACGCCATATAAGTCCCATCTTAACAGACACAATAATATTCACTTGCCACTGGAAGAACGTCAGTTGAAGGAATTGCAGAAACAGGTCTATACATGTTCCATATGTAGCTACCAAACGCCGTGTAAGTCCCATTTTAATACACACAAGAACACTCACTTGCCACCGGAAGAACGACAGTTGTTTGCTGGTGCGCACTGCGAAAAGACATATATGAGTAAAATACCCTTACGAGATCACCTTCATAATGATCATACCTATTCCAGGTAAATTTATTTTTTATTTAAGAATTATACATATTGTAATTGCAAAACATTTTCCGATGCACGTCATCAATCACAGTTCGCTATAGCTCGAAGACTATGGCCAGTGGTCATAGATTTAGTAAGAACAGAATCACATTAGACATTTTAACCCGATCAAAAAATCGGAGGTTGACTACGTACTGTAAAAATCAACTGAGATAGAGAAGGCGACATTGCCACATCTCAAATTTGCGCCTATCTACTCAGTTTGATTTGCAGAAAAGGTGACTTTAAAACCTTTATTCTCAATTTCTTAATTAAATTAATAGTTTATTTTTAAAGAAGCATGCGTAATAATATGTTATTAGCCAGAGGATATATGCGTTACTATTAAAGGACATGTTTACTGTTTAAAGTGCTGAAACGTCTAGAACTATTGGCAACGTCGCTGCTAGTCTTCCAGAATGAAATGAGCCGTCCGTCCCAAAACCCCTCGCGACGGCCCTTGATCCGTTATAGCGTACTACGTTTAGCTTGCGGTGTGTTTGAAGTCGGAATCAAGACGAAAGTGAACTTTCAGTGTTTTTCGGTGGTTTTTGTTTTTGTTTAACGTACTTTTGAATCTGCGAATTCAGTATGGTACGACAGTGTCAAGTGTGTGGAAAAATAAGCTCAAATTACCCGAATTTGTCTTTTCACAGATGGGTATTGTTTTGGTCATTGTACATAGGCGTCCCACAAGAGAGCCTCTCACAATCAAAATGATTTCTAATTATATTTGTAATTAATCTATTAAAACAAGAACGTAGTAGCCAGTAATTGAATTATAATTCGTCTCAATGACTACCTAACTGTTGTAGATCATAACAAATTTGAATATAAACATTGCATTTGAAATTTTATTATAAGCCAGAAAGTGACATTTTTTCTTAAAATTGCGTCATTTCTGGTCATTAGATACGATATTCTAAAGGAATTTTGCTCAATAAATAAACAAAGGTGTTACCCGACCTTTTTTATATTTTATTGCTTTATTATATCTGCCCCTTCGGCCTTGTTTAGACAATTTTTTACCACTGTACAAGTACCTCTTCCTAGAGTTATTTGTACGGTGTATTTACCTTTTTTTTAGAATGGGACGAACTGTAAATAATTATTAGGCTACTAGTTTTATACATACCTATATACAGAGTGACCCAGACCTCCAAAAAAGCTTTTTACCTATTACTACTAGCTGCTCTCGCCATCTAGCACTCGCCATAGTAGTACGTTTTGTACTCAAAATGCTATTTTCTGCTTTTCGTTTGTCGGATTGAGGGTTACAGCAAAGTCGGCCTGACGATGGAGATAAATCTCCGAAACCGGTTGTCGAATGGCTGTTCCCTTCAGTCTGATGAACTTAATGCAGAGAATAAGCATATATGTAGGGGTTAGGCCTTAATAATTTTTTGCTTCTTGTATTTTGTTTATTTATACAACCCCTACCAAGCCTTGAGCTCCATCTACGGTAACGTAGATGAAGCAAACGTAATTCATTATTATGCGACAGAAATCCGATACTGTAGCACACAGGTTTGATACTTTTAATGAATCAGTTTTCAATTTTCTCATTAAATATTGATTTTAGGTATAGGAAGTTGTTAATAATACAAGATTAAGCAACTATTACACAGTACTTCACAGGAAGCTATCGATTGCGAACTAACTAAATCGTTACTAATTACTAATTTTGAAGTTCTTTTTAAGATCAAAAATGGTAAAACTAAAAACTAAACTATCATTTCAGATTAAACGGGAAGTTCTAAATAATGTTGCCTATTCAAGAAAAATTTATCTATAAGTTTTATAACATCTCTAATTAAATTTGGACGAAAAGAATATTTCTGTTTGCTGTAGGTAATTTTCTCAGGGAAAATACGAAAATAAAAATGACTTTTTAAGTCAAAAAAAGTCAAAAGGACGATAGTTCACTATTCACTCAAAATTATTTAGTATAATTTTATTAGCATAGAAACGCGTAAAAAACACAGATTTGTTGCGAAACTAATGAAAACAATTGGTTTGTTTACGACTACTAATTCTCGACCACTTCGGTAGAACTGTCAAAACAGTCAGGCCTTGAATATGACGTTAGCCACGCTCAAAGTTGATCACGTGCATCGGAAATTGTTTTGTGATTACCATATAGATCATTATACCTTCATGTATGTAAGGCTATAATAACCTCTCAGCTGTAATGTCAACATATGGGGGATTCTGTTATAAATTAAAAAAAAAAATTAAAACAAAAATCTTTAGTTAGTTCAACAGTCCTTCCTGAAGTATATCAGGTTTATATATGTGAGGGTTATACCGGGTGTTGCATCATCGAGCGGGACATAGGAAATCCCATGTAAATTTTAATGGGGTCAATTATTGGCTTCCCTAATTATTTTAGAGAATAATTCTATTTAGGTTTATTGAAGAGCACTAAAACCCACGTTCAAAAGAATAACTTTAGATATTTTTGATTAGCCCGTTTACGAGTTATCGCCGATTTCTTTTTAAATATTTTTCATGGCCCTGTATTTACTTATGAGCACCAGTCAAGGTAAAAGATAACTGTCAAATAAAGTTGTCATTTAATACTACCTAAATTGATAAGTTATTGAATATTGTAATAATACTATAATTAACCTTGTAATTGATTACTTTATTTTACTTTAATTCATATTAATTTGTATTTATAAATACATCTTTAAGATTTCCGATGTAGGAATGAGTTTTCAATAATAATAAAGCACTAAATAGCTAAATTTCTGAAATGACAACTTCATTTGACAGTTATCTTTTACCTTGACTGTTGCTCATAAGTAAATACAGGGCCATAAGAAAGGAGAAATATTTAAAAAGAAATCGGCGATAACTCGTAAACGAGCTAATCAAAAATATCTAAAGTTATTCTTTTGAATGTGGGTTTTAGTGCTCTTCAATAAACCTAAATAGAATTATTCTCTAAAATAATTAGGGAAGCCAATAATTGACCCCATTAAAATTTACATGGGAATTCCTGTGTCCCGTCCGACGATGTTTGACCTTTGTTTTATAGTGTTACAAGACTAATTTAAAAATTATTCTATTAGGGTGAAGGAATCGCAGAAAAAGGTCTATAGATGTTCCACATGTGGCTGCAAAACGCCATATAAACACTATCTTAACAGACACAAGAAAATTCACTTGGCACTGGAAGAACGACAGTTGTTTGCTCGTGCGCACTGCGACAAGACATATATGAGTACAATACCTTTACGAGATCACTTTCATAATGATCATACCTATTCCAGGTAAATTTATATTTGTGTAATAATAGATCATATACACTTTCGTGGATATAAGGCTATATAATAACCTCCCAACTATAATACCAACATATCGTCCCCTATCTCATGTACTAGCGTACCTCTCATTTAGTAAATTTGCAAGGAGAGAAGAAGATAAAAAATTACTGGTATTAAACTTGTAATTTTTGTAAGATACGTCGAATCCAAATATTATCGCTACCACCTTGATACCTCTGAAGTTTTTCCGTATTATTTGACCACATTGTATATTATGGCTTATAATGAAATTCACTATAATAAATTCTTTAAAAATCCGAATAGTAAATTAGTCTGATGGATTTATTGTATCTGCTATTAAATCAATAATTACTACCCAAGCAGCATCTGGACGTCGCGTCGGGACAACGTTGTGTCACGCGACCAAACGTCGGGGCGCAACGTCGGCACAACCTCGTGCCAACCCTAGTCTGCACTAGTTTGGAGAATAATTTTTGGGTCAAAACGACGTTGAATGCCGACGTTGGCTAGAAGCCTAATTTAGTACAAACTGCAACGTTGTTTAAAATCCTAATTCACAGAAATACAAAACTAATATGGCGTCTAAGTCGCGTTTTATCCTAAATTGGGATAATTATAGTAAAAATATTATTTTTATGATTTAGTTAGAGACATTATGTCAAATGGCAGTGAAGGAAAACAAAACAAGTATTTAAGTGTGGAGGACGTTTGAAGATCATAATTATTGAAACACTTTAACCGACTCTGTAACTCGCTACCCAAGGCAAAAAAGTTAAACGCAAACAACTTTATTGATAAATGTATTGGTTCTACTTTGAAAAATACTAATGGGCCTTAAAATTAAAGAAGTTTTAAAAAATTCCTTGAATTTTTTTTAGTAAAATGAGAATAATTTATTCGCAGTCGAAAAAATTGTTTCCGCCTGTTTTTTAGGGTCAAATATTTCAAGTTAATGTATTCAAAAAGCAGAAATTGCTCTTTAGGAACGAAACATTTTCTTATTTAACAACATGGCGGCTTTCACTTTGTTGTTTTGGAGATTAAGATGGAGTAGTTCGAGTAGTCGCATACTGGACTAATAAAGTCGCAGTTCGGCCTTAACAGGTAGTATACTAGTCGCAAGATTGCCTAATTTAGTCATCCTAGGGTCTAGCTTGTGCCGCCCTCTATAATCTAAATAAACGAGGGAGTGGATAAACTATCAGTAATATATGTCGATGTATATTTAAATTTAGTTTTATATGTACCTTTCTTATGTCCCATTTTAATTAAGTTTTTTTTTATAAAAACAAAAACAGAACAATGAAGTGAAAATTTAAGATTTAAGGTTATGGTTCAATACAGTTGCAAAAAGGTAGTGACTCGACGTCCTACCAACGGAAAAATAAGGAAATCTAAACAACGTTGGAATTAGTAAAACAGACGACGTTTGCATAACATTGGAATAGGTCCTGAAACTGACGTCGGAAAACTCTATATTGTCCAACGTTGTAACTACGTTGTCCGAATCACCTAAAGATCACTTAAGCAAAAAAGGTTACAAGACAACGTTTATTCGACGTCGCAGAAGCTTCTACTTTGCTGTAGTACTAGTCCAACGTCGGCACAACGTTACAACAACGTTTACATTTATTTTAATACCCAAGGTAGGGAGCTAACTATTTTTTGTAACTAATCCAACGTTGTGTTTAGTAAACATGTGGTCGCAAGTCGTGAAAATGCTACTTGGGTAAACCTAATACAAATAAATGTCATAAAAAATATAAGGATGGTTCAAAATATAAATATTTTTTAAATTCTCTCCGTAGCGCAGCTCTAAGTATTTATCGTTCTGAAAAAATTAAAAGTAATATAAAGGTGATACTTGTCCATGATAGAGATAAACTATTATTATTTTTGGATACATACAATAAAGATCGCTGTCAATTTATATGTAAAATATCGGGGAATGTTATCAATCGTCACTTCCAGGTCAACTTGACGGCGTTTTTTCTAGATCATAACGGTATTTCGTTGTTTTATTTTTTATTGTTTTTTTAGAAATGCTGATGAAGTGATACTGGATTCTTTGAAAATTGAAATTGATGATCACACTCCAATTAAAGATGAGTTTAAGTATGTTTTTCTTTAAAGGTATTTTTACTAATACAGCGATAATGCAATTTATTAATTCCAGATATGCTGAATCTGCCACTAGTGAAGAGAAATTCGAATGTTTTTTAAAAATTGAACTTGATGATGTCACTCCGATTCTAAATAATGACATACACGATGACTTTAAGTATGTTTTCTTTAAATTTATTTTTACCAAGGGGTACATATTAAAAATAAAGTGTTTTAAATATTTTTTATTGTTTCCAGAAATGCCGAAAATTTATCTGTCGCTGAGAAAGTGAAGTTGACGGACTTTATAAAAATGGAACCTGACGATAACTCCCTGTTTCTGGATGAAGACGCGTTTTTCAAACAAGAAAATATTCATAATTTTTAATATTTTAAATATTTCAAAATCTACCTGATTTGTTTAGTTTTCACGTTTAAACTTTTACCTTTTTTTAAACATGTTTAAAAGATTTGTAAGTAGCTGTGATATCTAATATATTCTGTGTATTGATTCTTCCTACCTCTATATCTTTGCATTGAAATGAAATCTAACTAGTGCTGGGAGATCGTTAGAAAACATCGATATTAAGTTTGTTCCAAATTCCGTCACATGACCAATAAAATTCTCTTCAACCGCAAGATTACCGTCTCTTTATCGTCCCAACTGAAGTTGGTATGGGATTGAGAAATAAGAGTATATATTACATTCTAGCAGGCATAAAACGGTCGAAGAAGCGTTACAACGTGCCGCCGCCGCCGCCGCGCCGTTTTTTTGTACTCTAAGGCAATTGTCATGGATTGTTGGTGCAGATCAGAGATATAGAGGTATGGGAAATGTATTATTAATCCGGTAAATGATGGAGATAAACAATTGTGATTGATAAAAATGTATTTTAAGATGAAACTCTTCTTAACAACATTCTGAGAATTCGAATAATGGGCGCGTTCAGGGAACACAGCCGCTGACATTCAGCGTAGAATTTCGTTGACCAGCAGCTTACGATATTCTCTAAACGGTACAAAGCAGCAGAAAAAACAAGAAACAGTACCTGTCTCATGCGCTCTCCGTCTGCTATAAAAAATGAGAGAAATATAAATAAATCCTCTTCGTCAAATCGGTCTATAATCTATAATCGATCTTTAGTCTTTAGAATAAAAATTATTTTGAAAAAAGAATTATTATTACTGGCTGATCATATTTAATAGTTGAAAATATATTACAGGTATATACATTTTATTTACATATATATACATTTAATAGTTGAAAATATATTACAACAGTTTATAAAAATAATTTTACCTATACACCAAACCTAAACAAAACCACTTAAAATAACAGGAACTGGCAGTTCGACCAAGTTAACTTTTACGCATTTTTTTTCCGCTGGTATGGTACAAATAAAATTACTGAAGGTGTAAATACCACAGTAAATACCCTACAATAAAAAAAAAACGACGTCAGGAGTGATGTAGAGGTGAAGATTGCTGTTACTTTATAAGTAAACTTATATAGGGAATATTATCGATCGTTATTTCTAAGCCAACTAGGCGTAATTTTTTTTCGATCAGACGGTAATAATTACAATCGAAAGTTATTTATGCTGATTTAGATTTTTTCAGAAAGTAGTATTTTTTCTTAATTTCATTGTATTTAAAAAATTCGACATGAGATGGAAATCAAGTTGAATTTTCTTTATTTCTTTAACTTCTTCGATCGTTTTCGAACGTTTTAGATTAACCTACTGCTTTGTAACTTTTTTGACAACAAATATCTCCTATTTTTTAAAGATTCGGTTAACTACAATTGACTACAAATTTCAACAAACCATAAAAAGTAAACAATAAACTGAGAAAATTAAAGTTATTTTACATTAGTTGACCACAGATAAGGAAATAGATTAAGGCTAACTTGTCTCAGCCTAAATATTTACCGCTGATAATTTTGCACAGCGGCTGACTGTTGCTGTTCGTCAGAATAGACCGTTTAGGGAAATCGCTTACTCAGCCACTCAGCCGCTGACCGTCCCTGAACGCGCCCAATGAATTGAATAATGACAGGGCAAGTGACATCTGCCTAAAAAAGACAGCGATTTAGAGTGACAATTTTGATTATTCAAAAGAAATACTGGTTGCCTAACGATTAACATTAATTTAAAAATAAATCCCCAACATGAATAATGAACAAAACATTTAAACAAAAACAGACCACAGACTGCACAAGACAAATTGTTGGTTAGTATCAGTTAGTAGTCAGAGATATAGATGTAGATTATAATTCCATAATAGGTTTTAATAAAAATTAAGGAACAGAATTATAAAGCTAGAATAGTATACGGTTTTATATTAACTCTAATTTTATTGAAGTAAGAAAGAAAAGTTATTAAAAGAAAAGTTATAAGAAAAAAAAAAAATTATAAGAAGAAAAAAGCATTCATAAAAAATATATTAAGGGCTGACAAAGGTTAGTCTTGGGTCGAGATTTCCGTATGTAAGAATAGTACAATGCGTTTATAATGTACTGAACAAAGAGAGAACAGTAAGCACGTTGCCAAATGTATGAAATTAATCGAGAAACTGTGCACATTGCTAAGAGACGTGGAAGGGGATATAGCAGATTTGTCGCAGTTGACCGGCTGTTTTTTATTTATTTACTTCCACACATGTAAATACCGACCCAAGAGTAACAGTTGCCAGCACGGTATATCCTTCAATTTAATAGCTGTTAGTAAGAAAAGTTTCCCTTCAAAGATACGCACATACTGCATACATTATTTTTGTGTTTTTGTATTTCATTGTAGTATTTTTAAAACATATTGTAATTACGTATTATTTTTTAATCTTATTTGTTTACCTATTGTTTCGAATTTCCTGTAAGTGGGCTTCGGCCTGTCGGAAATAAACGACTATTTATTTATTTATTTACACAATTTTTTTTTAATAAAACTAGTTTACGATACCTTAATATGCGTTTTATTAACCTAAACACATATTTTTACATAATAAAATTAACAAAGTCTTAAAATAAATACATACATGGAATACATCGTGAAGAAATACTCAGAAGGAAATAAATAAGATATTCAACAACTTAAGCACTTTAATAAGAGATGCGATAACCGTTTGAATTCACTTATTTTCCTCACTTTTGGTGCTGAATTTGAAACTCGTTCATTAACCGAACTAGTAGTACCACGTCTTCGTACGAGGTGGCGTTGTAAAGGGAAGCCCTGATGCCTCCAACCGACCTGTGCCCTTTCAGTTGGTACATGTACCTTTTTTCCGCCTCCTGTAGGAATTTTTCTTCCAAGTCTTCGTTCCCCTGTGGTCCCCCTACCCTGAAGGGAATGTTTATCCTACTTTGACAGTTCTGGTCGATTGGACAACTGTAGAACGTGTTGGAATTGGCGATTGTTTCGTAGAGTACGCCGCTTTTTCGTTGGGATTGTTTTTCCATGCCTTCTATGCCGTCGTTTCTTTTTATCCATTGCAGGACTTTCTCCATTACGTATACTCTAAAAAAAGAAACAGAACATTAAATAATTTTAATTAGGGAAATACAGGGTGGTCCGAACTACACACACCGGAAAAGTCTAGGGATATTACAATTTTATCCAGCCATCGTCAGTAATTTTATTATTTGCATTTCTGATATAATAAAATTAAAATAAACAAATAGTTTACAGGACGTATTGGAAACAAAAATGCGAAATTTACCGAATTTTTCAAATTTACCTTGATTTTTATTGAACTCAAAAAAATACACACTTTTTTTTTTTATTCTAAACTGTGAATTAAAAAAAAAAGATAAAACCATTTTTACTTAATAAAGGGTATGGCCTCCTCTACTGTTCATTACAGCCCTACATCGTCTCTCCATGCTCCTGATCAGTACCCCCCCTGATCAAATCCCTACGAGTCCATTCTCAAAATTCTTCTTTGTACCGCGTCCCATACGTGCTCGATGGGGTTGAGGTCAGGAGATTGTGCCGGCCAGGGTAAGATGTTTAATTGATGAGCATTGATAAACTCACTTACCACTCTGGCTGTATGAGGCCATGCATTGTCATGCATGAGAATGAAGTTTCTCCCAAAATCATTGGCATATGGTAACACGACAGGCTCAAGAATTAAATCACGATATGTGATTCCTGTTAGAAACCTTTCAAGAAAAACGAGATCGGTTTTTTGGTCTAACTGGACTCCTCCCCAGACTATAACTGTTCCACCTTGATAAGGGTGCACTTCCTGAACATGATCCAACCGAATAAGATTTCCCGGTTCTCTCCATACCCTAAGCCTTCTCGAATCCGGATGAATTCCAAAGCGTGACTCATCCGTGAAGAGAACATTGGCCCATTGTTCATTCAACCACTGAACATGATCTTGAGCCCACAATTATTGTACCTCTCGATTACCTCTCGTTAAGGGTTGAGCTCTCCAGGGGCGTCTGCTTCTTAAGTTGACCTCTCTTAATCTATTGCGAACAGTGTCAGGACTAACGGTTACATTATGTGTTTCCTGGAGAATTAAACTAAGCTCTGGTGCTGTAAGAGTCGGTCGGCGTCGAGCATTTAATTTTAAAAATTGATCTTGCTGAGGGGTAGTAATGGGAGGTCGCCCTGTGTGCCTTTCAGCAACATCACCACTTTCACGGTAGCGTGCACTTAATCGCGATATTACACTTTGCGTTGTATTTAATGCTCTAGCTACGTCGATTTGGCGCATTCCAGCTTCGAGCATACCCATGGCCCTTAGCATATCGTCTCTGTTAAGATGTCTACGCTCCATAATGTCGTTTAATACTAAACAGAGTTATTTGAATGAATTCTGGCCAGTTATCATAAAAACATAGCCAGTACAGGTTAAATTCGAACAATTGATACTAGGTGCTTTTTATACATTTGACAAAAAATGCACAAACACTTCTGCAAATATCCCAAATTTAGAAATAACTACTGTGACTACTTCGTTTCAATCGAAGTAGAAAGAATCGGCCTATAAATATGTGGTTGTTTATTCAAAACATTTATTTTTAACTTTAATGAAATTATATCCCTAGATTTTTCCGGTGTGTGTATATTCCGGAAACTTTCCGCAGATAAAAATAAGTAAAAAGTTCGTATAAATGTATGTCCTAAAAAGCTTAGTTTCGGAGATACAGGATGTTGAAGTTTTATTTTTATTTCGATTTTTTACAAATAATTTCTGAAGTAACGTTAATATTTGGATGAAACTGGGAGCTTTTTTTCTGGGAGTATAAAACTACCGAGTGAAAAAATATACATTTCCGTGATTTTTTACGTAAAAAATGTCTGTCGGAAAAAACGCTACGAGCAACCGTTCTGAAGATACCTATTTAGAATGGATTATTGACAAAAAATAAACATGTTGAGTAGATAGTTATTTGACTGAAATGGTAAATTTGGAACCTTTTTATTTTTTTAAATAAATTATAAATTTTTCTTCGAAAAAATGACGATAAAACTGTTTCTGTTGAACTTTTGGCACAAAAGCATTTCAAATTTTTGATTTCAGTCAAAAATTTATTCAGTCTAATAACTGTTTAGTCAACATGTTTAATTTATGTCAATGATGACAGGTACCGTATGATCGAGAAAAAACGGCGTCAACGATGGCTATGAAATGAAGATCGCTGCCATTTTATATGTAAATTTATATGGGAAATGTCATTGATCGTCATTTCCCAGCCAACTGGACGCCATTTTTTTTCGATCATACGGTATTATATAACACAGTAAACTCACAGTAAACTTTTATCAAAGCCCAATGATTTTTCTCTCGTATTTTACAGGGTGTTCCATTTAAAAAAAATATCCCGATCCACTCACTTTTTTTAGCTACCCTATAGAAGTTAAAATATTTTCCTGAAATACATTTCCTAACATATACTTTAGGTTGGCACCAGTTGGCACTTATACAAAATTCCTAAGTTATTTATTGTAGGAGCTACAGATGCCCGACGCACTATTGCCGGACCCTGTATAAATACAGAGGCGTAGGGTATTAAAATATTGTCAAGGTGTATGTGGTGCTAAACTGTATTGCTGGTTGCCTACGTGTATTGAGAAACCTAACGAATTCGCCAGAAAGTGAAAGACGTTTTTGTTGAAGCGCCATCTCTTAGCTAAGTGCCAAAGCGAATCGGGCAGCAGTAGAATTTTCCAGTAAGAAGTAGAACGCTCTCCGAAAATTGTAGAAGGTTCGAGAAACAGTCAGTAGAGTATATAAGCCCGCGTAATCGGCAATTGGAACAGTTGAAGTTTTGAAGCATGGCTGGGAAACTTAAATGAAAATGACAGTTCATTAAAAATAGTTTTTCCTCCAAGATGCAGAGGCGTAAAATATTAAAACTGACAATATTAACAATGCAAATGTCAATATCTGACAATAATAAAATTTGATTTTTAACTGTCACTCAGAGACGCTTTTGTTGTGATTTTACGGTTTGATTTCGTTTTGATTTGTCGAATTATTGTAAAATTAAATTCCTTCAGATTTTTTGCCAGTATTCTGTTTTAGACAATGTTTTTTAAAAATGGTGGGACAATTTGTGTTTTGTAATAACTCTTAATTATTTTTTATCATGGAGTTTAATTGTTGTACACCTGGTTTCCGAAGGATACAATGGTAAGTAAATTAAACATATCTACTTACAGTTATAGATTAGTACTGCTAATAAATGCTACTTGCACTAAATAACTACGTAGTACATCACTATTGCAGTTATTTATTTTTTTTACGGTGCATGTAAGGAATTAAGGACGCGCGTTTTATATTAGCATGATCAGCAGATGATTACATCTGATTTAATTTGTTTTTATTATTTCAGGTCCCAAACGGAAACAAACTGGGAATCTTGCCTACACCAAAATTATATACCTAGCCGTTTCCAATTCACTTCAAAGGGAGGAAAATTATGTAAAACTGCCTGCTATTTGCTGAAAACCGCCAAAGATTAAATTATAACTGTAACAACTTAATATATACTATTTCTAGTATTTTTAATATATTTTTTAATTAATATCCGACATATAGGAACACTTTGTATGCTTTTAATTCAGTTGATTTATCGTTTATAATATGTTCGACCTAATTAAAAGCACACAAAGTGTTCTTACATGTATGTCTAAATTTATTTTAAATTAACTAAAACAACCCCCCTTCTCCGCACCCCTCTCTTCCATTAGTATTTCTTCCTCTATCTACCAGAGGCGCCCTTGTATAATAAAATTGAAATGTATTATAAGTTGCCTATCTATTTAATAGTATAAGTCTTTTATCTATGTTTTGAAGTTAGAAGTTTTGAATTTGATAATACCGCGTTTAAATATTGCGAATCGGACAATTTGGCGAAGAAATTTTATAAGTAGTTAATTGTGTGTAAATTAAAAGAAAAATAAATTAGTTAAGTATTTTATCGTGAGTTTAAATTAGTGGACCCACTGAATCCGTAACAATATTGAAAAATAAAAATTGAGAAATCCTTTTTTTTTATTTAAAAAAATGGGTTACTTACGAAAAGGTTGAAGGTGTGTTTAGGACGGAATTTTCTTTGGATACTTGAGTGAAATTGAATACTGTCGGGCATATTTTCATGGCTTTTCCCAATAAGTCCTCCCTTACAATGACCACCACTGCGCCGGCAGGTCCGATGTTTTTTTGGGCTCCGCCGAATATACAGCCAAACTGTAACAATATACAGAGCGTTTAAACTAAAAAATATATATTAGGGTCATTAAATAAAAATAATAAGATAAAAAAATAGTTTAAATAGTTTTTTCTTTGTTCCTTGTCCTTTTTTTTTTGTTTTTTTTTACGACGTGAAGCTTATTTGTTTTATTAGTAAAGTACCACCAATGGTACCACAATGGATATTAGCAGGGATAACTTGGGCCCGCATTGCCAACAATAGACAAGAATGGGCACAACTACAAAGAGAGTATCTAAATATGTGATGGAGGCTACACCATAATTGGAAATGGTTGAATAAGCTGAAAATGATGCTGATTGTTTACAGCATTCTTTGTGTTGTTGCCGTTGTACTATCTTGACAGGCTCTCAAAGTCTTTACTATCCTTATTTATTTTTGCTTGGAAAAAAGTCCGGAAGTTTTGCAACTTTGCAGGTTTATAGGTTTTGGGGTCCCTAACTAAAATCCATAAAATGCACATTTCCAGGACTTACCGCCGGCGCCGCCATATTGCCAAGATGGCGCCCAAAATCGGTATTTTGTGAATATCTTGAAAACTATGCGTTTTTCGCAAAAATTTGAGGAGAGCAAAATTAAAGAGAATAAAATTTCCTATAAAAACGGTTTTATGAGAATTTCCGCTAAACTCAACCGTTTAGGCACAAAATCCCTGGAAATTTTACAATTTTGCGGAAAATATGATATATTATGTATAGTCGATTTTCCGAAATCAAATGTCGATTAGGGTTCACTAAAACTAGTTTTAGTTTAGTTTCTTTAATTTTGTCATAAAACAGTGGCGTATCATTAATTCGCTCATTAATTTATGAATAATTAATTTTGATTATTGAAAATGTGTACTTGTTTCCACACCATCCAAGAGGTAAAGTATATGGCGCGTTTATTTTAACGTGGTCTCCCCGGAGGCCTACTCCACTAGATAAATTTAAAACTTTAACTTATCTGCACAAGCCCGACGGATCGGGCTCATTGATGTCAAAATCGATCGTGTCTGCTGTGCTGGGCTCATCAGGGTGGTCTCTTAATACGTCCAACTCTTCATCTTCATCCGCCAGAGGGATATCTACAGGCAAGTCCACACACTTTAGTGACGTTGTCACAGGATTTCCCATTGCAGTATGCACAAATCATTGAACATTTTAATCCTGCTTTTCTGCATCCGCAGGCATTACCATAGTTGTTGGTTTTGCATTTACAGGATAAAAATGCCAACAGGGATTTTGGAGCTGGATTTTTCAACGTTGTGACTGGAGTAATGCCTGTTTTTGTTTTCTTCCAATCCCATTCTTCGGCATCTTTGGTACAACCAGACCAATGCTGAACTTGGTGGTAAGTTCGCAATGAATGCTGTCCAGCACGACAATTAATTATTCATAAATTAATGAGCGAATTAATGATACGCTACTGTTTCGTGACAAAATTGAAGAAACTAAACTAAAACTAGTTTTAATGAACCCTAATCGACATTTGATTTCCGAAAATCGACGACACATAATATATTATATTTTACGCAAAATTGTAAAATTTCTAGGGATTTTGTGTCTAAACGGTTGACTAGCGAAAATTTTCATAACACCTTTTTTATAGGAAATTTTATTCTCTTTAATTTTGCTCTCCTCAAATTTTCGCGAAAAACGCATAGTTTTCGAGATATTCACAAAATACCGATTTTGCTGAAGTTTGGAAATGTGCATTTTATGGATTTTAGTTAGGGACCCCAAAACCTATAAACCTGCAAAGTTTCAAAACTTCCGGACTTTTTTCCAAGCAGGCCGTAGCATGATACCGTACCTTGGAAACATCAAATTTTCGGGTCATGATATTCGATGACATATCTGTTACTATTGGAACTCCGTTAGTGTCAGGGATATAAGGGAATTCAACACCATCCACAGTCTCGTTATCACAGTAGTAAAAGTAGGAAGCATTCGGGTTCAGCGTCCAAGTCGATTGGTCTGGAATCTTCCCGGGTTTGTCCGCTTTGGGGAACACTAGATTCACACTTCCGTATTTCTCGGCCTCTTTGGCAGCTTTGGACGACCAAGTACCGGTAACTGCGTAGTCTGCGGTACCGGTAGCACCCATAAAGTTCATGGCGACCGCAGCGAAAGCACCTAAACCTCCGCCTTGGATGAAGAGGATTCTGTAGTTGTCTGGAACATTTCTGAAAAGGATAATAATCTCACTTTAATAGTACTACAAAAGTCTACAAGAGTTTTAACGACGGCTATAGATCATACCCAAGAACAGTTAACCTAATAGGACTGCTCATTTAGCCGAAAGTGTCAGCCAGGTACATGCGAAAACTCCTCGCTTTGTAACGTCATTGTGGTCATGGTTATTAGATTTAAGCACCTTATATGTATGCAGTATAGAAAATTAACTGTATAAATCGTATTAAATACTCGTATAATGTATTTTTAAGAACAGCAGTTCCCAGCATCACCTTTTGCAAGCATTCTTTTTAAAGTACTTCCATATTTTGCTTTAAAATAATTAAGTATTTATACACTCTATAGCTCTAAAAACTTTAAAAATACCTTTTTCCCATCTAAAATTGACAAAATAATTAACTCAAAATTTCTCAGCTGTTATTTTTATAAGTTTACCATAGGCAACTAATAATACACACTATCATGACAAGGACTATAATGACGTCACAACTGTCAGCTGAAGCGCGGGAAGAGGCGAACGTACGTCTTAAAAGGTACATTCAGTCTGAGAGCGTCGAGCGTCGCGTCCGCGTGTCGAAATGGAATCAGTTCACTTAACTTAAATTAGACCGTTCGGGCAGACAGCGTCGCGTTTGGCGATGCGCTAGCGTCCGTTGAGCGTCGGGGTTCGAGTTCAATGGGGCGGACGCGACGCAAACGCGACGCGATGCTCGTCGCTCTCAGCCTGAATGTACCTTTATGAGGATGAGCAATCCTATTAGTTTACCGTTCTTGGATCATACCAAATAAACTTTTAGTCACGTGATTAAGCTTGACCGGCACCGCGTTGATCACTTTTACATATTTTCTTTTAATCAGAATATTTTAGGAAACAAAAATAAATTAATTATAAATATATAAACAGTTGTTATTTACCATCAACAAATCTCACCTCCTTAACAGAACTTAAGGTACACAAAGGGCCATTACTACCGCTTTCCCGTTCAAAATATTCTAAAAAGGTTGCGATGAGGTTTTTACGGCTATTAAGCTATCTTGTACACTTTGCACTAAAAGATGTTTGACTGCAAGGTCTGCTAGTAAAAATGTTTAAGCTTAACCCAACTAGCATTTATAGTGGCAGATACGTAACTGCCACTATCAAAGCCACTACAAAGTGGGCGGTTACCATCGGCGGCTACGTCGTATATTCGTAGCGGCTAAGTAACTGCGACCAAAATGGGGAAAGATTTTGAGTAGCCGGGTAGTGTCTTGGGTAGTTTTTGCCACTAAAAGAGTTACTATGATGTGTTACTATAAAGTAGCCTACTGGTGAATGCGACTTATCCGTTACGAAACTGCCTAGTCGCGGGTTCGTGGCAGCCAAGTGTTAGCCACCGACATGTGGAACTTTCGTTAAACTGTTGAACTTTATTCGCAGCGACCTCTTCATGCAATTTCACATTTCATAAAATAAATGTCATGATGGAAAATAATTATGGAAGCCATTATTATTTTTTCGTTATTTAATTTGTTATTTACCGTGCGATTTTAACGCCTTTTTTAGGTAAATTCTAGAACGCAATCAACTTTACTGAATAAAATAGTGGGTTTATATAACAAAATTTTCGAGCGCCTCTCAAAATATTTCAAATTATTATATTATTTGCAATAAAAACTCATGTTTGTAATTAAAAAATAATAATAATTTGCTTGAAACCGGGGTCAAATTTTAAAATATTAGTCCACCGTCAGAAATAACAAAATAACTAAAGAAAAAAGCTTTAATCTAGGTATATTTAGCTTAAAAACGCATAATGTTTGAGCCATTTGGCTGTTCGTCTAAAAATTCATGAAAAAAATATGGCCGTTTAATCCGAAAAATACTGTATAGTCCCATATGCTTCCACAAAGTACCGGGAACAATAACATATTAGGCCAACCCTACCCGTTTGAACCTTTAAAATCTTCGGATTGATAAAGTGACAATTGTAGCTATCCAAAGGCGACTTTATAGAAACAATAACTTTTTTGGAACTACATGGTCAACGATTCTTTGGAACCATAAAGTGATTTTTCCAAGAATGTTCCCTGCGCCACCAAATTACCACTTAATTGGAGCGTTGCTACACTGATCGTGGTGGTGGCGACTATACATTCCATTGGTGCCACTATAACGTTCCGCCTTGTCCTTTGAAGTTATTTTTTATTTATTGTGCATTTTCTATTATAAGTGTTTCTATATTATTCAGAGCTACAAGAGGTATAGAGTATTTTAACGCCCACTCTTTTAGCTCTTGTTTCATATTGTTATTGGTTCTCAAATTAGTTCTCCTCTGAGATTCAGTTTCAGATGAACTAACACTACACTCATCTACAGAAACAGCTTCAAAAATGTCTCAGTCACTAACTGATTTATGATGTTCATCAGTAGGACTATAGAAAGATGTAGTTTTTGTTTCTGATGTTGATGCATCGGCTCGCAGTGATTCATTTTGTTTAATTCTTCGATAGAAAGTACTAGATATTCTAAATTTCTTTTTATTCACCTTAGGGATTTTACAAAATTTTAATACAGCTTAAAAGCAAGTAAAAGAAAACATTAAAACAGAGCAGCACACTATGCAATCTGACGCAATTATATTTATTAGGGTATATTAAGTTACGGTCACTATAAAGTAGCCGTTTTTGACCCCCGTGACTTTTTAGTGGCAATGGATGTGCGACGGCTACTTTATAGTGACCTAGGAAGGTAGCAGTAACCATTTTGCTACTTTCAATGCTACTATAAATTAGAAGTAACTAGGTGTTGTGGCCGCGACTACCCCGTAACTTAAATTGTTACTATAAAGTAACAAAAACTTAATGGAGGCATTATGGTAGCACTTGTTGGTAACCCCTACTTTGAAAAGTTACTATAAAGTTTTTGGTCTTTTATGGTGTCATATTCGAAGATTCGGGTAGTTCCAACCACTTCTTTAAATTACATGTTTGCGACTTGCAATCGGGGTGTTTTTTTCCACTTTTATGGTAGGTAGGGACTAACCGGTCACTCTCGAAATATACTTCAAAGTGACTATTCCTTATAGAGTAACATTTTAAGTGGCAGATTGGGTCTAGGAACTATACTTTAGGGGCAGTGACATTTTAAAAAGGACTGGGAACTATATTTGCTAGTTGGGAAATTATCACAGCACAATTCATTTAAACCACAAACTCGTAATACAAAACTAAAGTGTCAAAACGAATGACAATGTCAGGAAATAAATAAATAAATGTGGCAACTTGACGTTTTTTCCAGCAGAGCTACCACCTGAATCCCAAGCGGGAAATTTAAATTCCAGTTAGTCAGTCTGGCGCCGAGTATGTCCATAGTTGGCAACAATGAATTTAAAAATCGTGCCCTCGATTACGTAACTAAAAGTTTAATGGTATCGTTTATACAGGGTGTCCCAGAAATAAGTGCAAGTATTTTAAAGGGTGGTAGATCTGGTCAAAAGAAACATTTTTTCTCTTTACCATTTTTCAAATAAGTCCAAAATAACGGAGTTATTTTACTTTGAAAATTTAAACAAAAAATGCTTTTTTGCCTAAATTTTGAGAGCCACTGGATCTTTTCTGGATTTTCTTTCATGTAAATTTAATCTACTGCCTATGTTGCCATATTATCAAAAAATTATGTTTTTTAATTGAAAACTAAAAAACTGTCCAACATTTTTTTCGAAAAATTCCAAATTTTCATAATTTTTTTTCCCGAAAAAAAAAGCTCATAGGCGTGTTTCTGAGGCCGAAATATACTACCAGTTAAAATACTTGCACTTATTTCTGGGACACCATGTATGAGGTTTTTTTCGCAACATATTTTTTTGAAAATTTTGTACTTTTCGAAAAAAGTTTGGATTTTTTTAAAATTCTTAATCAAAAAACATAATATTTTGATAATATGGAAAGAACGGTGGTTTTCAAAATATAAGCAAAAATTTTTTGTTAAATTTTCAAAATAAAACAATTCGATTATTTTGGACTTATTTGAAAACAATAAAGAAAAAAGAGAAAATAAGTTTCTTTTAGCGAGATCTACTAGCCCTGAACATATTTTGCACTTATTTAATGCTCACCCTGTATTTAACGCAAATTTACAGTACGATTAATGAGTGAGAAATATTACAAAAAAAAATCCTCAAAAATGTAATAGTAATTTAAAATAATTATTGTATTAATCTATACTAAAATATAAAATCCTTATGTGACTGACTCACTGATTAATCACGATCCTGCTCAAACCACTGAACTAAGAAGCTCAATTTTGGCATACAGGTTGATTCTAGGGTGTAGAGGTTCGATAAGAAAGGATTTTTCGAAATTCGAATTCTAAGGGGGTGAAACCACCCCTCAAATATTAGAATATTTATTTATTTAAAAACCGGTGAGTTTTTCGGAAAAACTCTTAAACCCGTATATTTTATTTTGTTGTTTTACATATTTTAATATTTTTTTAAAAAATATACAGGGTGTTTCATAAAATATGACCATTGAGTAATCACGATTCTGTTTAAACTGCTTGACGTTTAAAGCTGATTTTTGGCAAACGGATTGACTGTGGGGTGTAGAGGTTCGATAAGGAGGGGTTTCTCGAATCTCAAATTCCAAGAGGGTGAAAACGCCCCTCAAATATTACAATATTTGTTATTTAAAAAACGGTTAGTCTTTCGGAAAAATGTTTGGACGCGCATAATTTATTTTGTTTTTTACATATTTTGAAATTTAAAAAAAAATCATACAGGGTGTTTCAAAAAGTTGGGTAATTGATCAACCACGATTTTGCTTAAACTGCTTGACGTAAAGAGTTTATTTTTGGCAAACGGATTTTTCGAAAGTCAAATTCCAACGAGATGAAACCAATACCCCTCAAATATTACCAAGTTATATAATAATATCGCCATATTGTTTTTTCTCATGCTGACATAAATGTGAGAGAATTGTATCCAGTTTGTATGTTAATGGAAATTCTTGCTTCGCTTTATCATCACCATTACAAATGATTAATTCGACGCGAACGAAGTCGCGGGTACACGCCAGTACTTGTATAAAGCAATTTCATGCTACATTTTAAAACTATCTTATCTTTTGATAGTAAGAGGTTCAATGTCATGAGAGGTGAATCATTTTTTAAACTTCAAAATTCTCACGCACGTTAAAAATTATCCTCATTATCTCAACCTCATTAACCTTGACTGATTTTGATTTTACATCGGTGTTATCACATTATTATTTCTTTGTAAGTACTTACAAAAGTTCTCTGATCAGGTCCTGTGCACTTTTGTTTATTTTCGAGTATTCTTTTGATCTGTGGCTCATCTCCATCAGACTCATGCCGCTGTTCTGGTATGAGAGAAGTTCCGACTGGACTTCGGTTAAAACCTGGAAAAAAATGGATACATTGAAAAAATTTAGTCGGATACAAAGATATATCGTGATGAGAGGTCGTTTAAATTGATTATAAGAGATCATTTTCGGTAAAATATAGAGATTTTACGGATTTTAAAATAAAAAACTATCGACCATATTTTATTGACAAAACATTAAATGAAATACAAGCCCCAAATCATAGACACAATGATAACAATACACAATTACACAATACATACAACTTACAATTCCATACATACGAGGCGTTTCGGAAAAAATAAAAAGGATAGGAAAACAATATAACATACGAACATCTTTCAAAACACAAAATACGCTTAGATCCATTTTATCACATAATAAACCAATGAATACAGAACAACCAACAAAAAATGTAATATACCAAATACCATGTGAATGCGATAAATTTTAAATTGGTGAAACATCTAGACCCTTAAATGTTAGAATTAATGAACATAAAAATTATTTAAGAAAGGGAGATTTTCACAAATCTAAGATTTGTCAGCATTCTTGGGACACAGGGCACAGAATAAACTTTAATAACGCCAAAATTATAATGAGAGAAGCGAGTGCCTCTAAAAGAAAAATAAAAGAGGCTTTTTTAATACAATCTAATAAAAATAAATGTACCTATTGCTCATGCATCTGTAGATGTTAGTAATGTATGGCAATCGCTTCTTTGATTTTAAAGAACATAACATAAAGAACCAACAGTAAGACCAACGGTTGATCAAGGACCAGAAATTCTCAATAGTGAAGTATTGCAGGCAATTAAACAACTTAAAAACAACAAAAGTCCAGGCCCTGACAATATATATCCAGAAATACTTAAATTAATATCAGAAGAGAACGTAGATATACTGACTAGGCTTTTTAACAAGATCTATGATAGAGGAAAAGTACCTGATGACTGTCTACACTCAACTTTTGTACCGCTTCCGAAAAAAACATCAGCTCGACATCTCAGTGACTACAGACTTATTAGTTTAATGAGTCACGCACTGAAAGTGTTACTTAAAATAATACATAACAGAATTTATAAGAAGTGTGAGCAAGAAAGCGGCTATGAACAGTTTGGGTTTAAGAGTGGATTGGGAACACGAGAGGCCTCATTCTGTTTACAATTGATGGCGCAGAAGTGTACAGACCAACAAAAACCAATGTATGTGTGTTTCGTAGATTTCGAAAAAGCATTCGATAGAGTCAAACATACGAGACTCATCGAAATGTTGTATGAGTTGGGAGTTGACAGCAAAGATGTAACACTTCTGAAAAATATATATTGGCAACAAGACAGGGATGTGTGCTGTCTCCTTCGTTATTTAATGTTTATTCTGAGGCAATTTTTCGGGAAGCTTTCTCTTCAACAGATTGCGGTATTAAAGTCAACGGCGAAGTCATTAACAACATTAGATTTGCCGATGACACAGTTCTTATTGCCGATTCTGATACTGGTCTCCAGAGTTTAGTGGAACGACTTAAAGGCTCCTGTAAGAAATACGGGATGAAGATCAATTCTCTTAAAACTAAAGTCATGATATTTGGAAAGAACCAAAATGTACCAATTCCTATTAAAATAGAGGGCAATACCTTAGAACAGGTCTACAAGTTCAAATATTTGGGGTCCTGGATAGTTAACACCTTGAACAACGACGTGGAAATAAAAACCAGAATAGAACAAGCGAGAAATGCATTTTTAAAAATGAAGAACGTCTTCCAGAACCCGAGATTGGACCTAGAGTTGAGAACTAGGCTCGTTAAGTGTTATGTTTGGTCAATCCTATTATTCGGAGCAGAAACATGGACACTGAAAGTTCAAGAGATGAATCGCCTCGAATCGTTCGAAACATGGATATATCGAAGAATGCTTAAAATTCCATGGACAGCCCATATCACAAATACCGAAGTCTACAACAGAATAGGCAAAGAGAGAGAGAGAATTGCTCAATATAATAAAAATAAGAAAAACATCATACTTAGGGCATATATTGAGAAATGAAAAATACCACGTCTTACAATTGATAGTTAAGGGTAAGATTGAAGGAAAGAGAGGTCTCGACAGGAAGAAACTATCTTGGTTGAGAAACATCAGAAACTGGACTCACCTAACTTTTGAAGAACTCATAAGGAAAGCCGAGAATCGTGAAGATTTTGCCAATGTGATCGCCAACCTCCACGAAAGAGACGGCACGTAAAGAAGAAACATAAAGAAACATAAAAATAATTAACACATAGAGGGCATCAATAAAAAACAAACCCGAACGTTAATTAATTTAAAATTTATTATTTCTTTAAGCTTTTTATGAAGCTTATTGTCAAATATAGTTATCTGTGGTACCAACATAACATTTTATATTTTCGCCAATTAGAATAATAGAGCTTAATAGATTTTATTCACCTCCATAACTTGATGTGATGAAAAACATTTTTTGGAAGTCAGTAGAAGCAAATATGAGCGACATCGGGAACTTTGCCAAGAGCTGGAAGTGCTTTAACGCAAAGAAAGTATGAGAGAAAGGTTTGGTACGATAATACAGGGGTATCGCAATGGGCCAAAGCCTCTGAGTGAGGGTAACTACCTACTAATTATTAATTATTAAAATATTACACAGAAAATACCTACTAATCAGCCTAAATTCAAATAAACATAAAAAATTGACTAGATATTATGTTTAACAAATAAAAAAACGACCACTCTGTATATATTTACTAAGTAATGAAATGGAAAAAACCTTCCAAGCTAGTCATGTTCTAAACTTGAAATTTGTGTACCTAGTAAAATAGATAGGTAGGTACTTGATTTTTGCGATGTATAAAAATCATTTTTATTAAATATCAATTATACCGTTTGTTTTTATCAACCAATTTACCTTGGAGTTTATTACCCATTAACAGTGAACTTGATAATCCGAATTTGCTTATACTAATTTCTTTTTTATGTTATTGGACGATATCACAATTTTTTTTTATCTTAAAATGATTGACTTAAGTATTAATTATTTTAAATAGGTAATTAAAAATATTACACGCGATTGATGTGTGAAATTTATAGTATCCTATTTTTATACAGGTTGGCGCCTCTCATACGCCGCGGAGGCTCCAAGGAGAACGACAGTTTGTATTGCACTTCCTCTCAAGGAACTAGAATTCCCACCTCTATTGTACAGTATTGAGCCTTCTAGTTCTGAGCTCGGGGTTGGCAGATAAAGATCGTGCTCCGCATTCCTAAGTGGATAGTTTGAGGTGGCCTTTCGGGAATAGCAGATATGTGCTTGCGGATTAAGCAAACGGATTCAAATATGAATAAAGAAGGAAGAGTCAGTATTTTGAAATTTTTAAAGAAATTCTGGCAGTGAGTTCTACTGTAATATTATATCCCATCAAAAAAAATGGGCGCTTATCTCAGCATCCTACAGGCAGAAAACTGCACTATCTAAAGATGCGTACAACTTATCTTAGATACTAACTATCCGAAACAAGAAATAACCATCTCGTCCGATAGCCAAGCGTGCACCGAAAAAAAGTACACAACTATGGAAATGAATAGGTACCTACTCATAACATATTTTTCCAATTTAGTGCAAAATAAATGTTTTACAAAATATTTTTTTTCTCTTTGGTAGTCATCTAAACAAGGAGTGCGGTAATGAAAATGCGTGAGTTAAGAAGCTCTTAACTCACTCAAAATGCGTGAGTTAAGAGCTTCTTAACTCACTGACGGTATATAAAATATATTGGAAATGGTACCAAGTTATGGGTTGCAGAATATACAACAGCGACTGTTGTGTCTGTCATTTTAGTTCAAAAGTAGTCATTTATTTTCAGTCATTTTTTGGATGTTAAGCATCGAAATCGTCCTTTTTACCATTCGAAAAAACGATGTTACAGTAGCCTTTGAAATAATAATCGATGACAGTCAATTATTATATTAGAAATTGACTTAAAATCATAGTAATAATTAATATATAAATAGATAGAAACAAGAATTGTTTATCAGGCATCCTCCAAAGCAGAGTAAGTCTTCAAAGAATTAAGAAAATAAAAATAAGTGTTAGTTTAAAAAAAACATCTAAACAAACTTACTTCTCTAGGTAGTTTGGCAGGTCCCGCTCCAAAATTTAATGCTGATTGACTGGATCCCATTCTGCTGGCTTGTGTATTGCTGAGTGCTGAATAAAACAAGGGAAAAATCACTGAAATAATCAAGTCTTTGCGAAATACACGAAAAGTTCGTCTGTATATGAGATAGTACCGTCTGACAGTCTATATGTTGTTCGTTTTAATGCTGAATGCGGTCGTACCGTCAGTACCGTGCGAGTTAAATCGGTTTCTAAAGATCCTCCGGTCGTACTTTCGGTTTATATCGGTCAGTTGAGAAACGCGTCAGACTGGAGAGATGGTTTAGTGGGGACGACTTATACAGGCTGTCCTAAAAAATTGAACTATATTTTTTATTGCATATTTTTAAATTCTAAAGTACCTACAGTGGAGACACAGGTCTACTTCACACACAACGGAGCCTTAAAAAACCTTCATATTCCTTCAACTTCACAAAAAATTCCAGATCTTGGAAAAAATCACCAAATTTCGAGTATTTTAAAATTTTTAAAAACTTATTTCTGGTTACAATTGAGGGTTGGAACCTCTAGTGTTACACAGCAAAATAAAAACACTAAATCACCACAATACACCAAAACACTTTTACTTTTACACTGGACGCGCGTTTCGCTAACCATGTTAGCATCATCAGCAGATGATTATAAACTAAAGTACAACCTACAAGTTGAGCGTTTATATACTCGCTCAGTGGGCACTGAGTGGGCGTGGCAAAAACTAGCCAACCGAGTCAGAGCCCACTGAGCGTAACAGTTAGATTTCCGCCACTAGAGTAGTAGAAACAAAGAACTTGAAGGAATTGGACCTTCACTGGACCTTTCCAGTGGAGGTGTTTTATCTTTTGGATTACCTAATAATTGTTGTAATTTATTATTAGCACTATACACAAGTTTATAATTGACATTCTTAAAAAGTCCTTTTAGACCACGGGATAACTCTCTATCAAACGGTATCGAAAAATATTTAGACGTATCTTTCTCCACTTGAAAAGTCCTCACAACAAACAAACACCTCCACTGGAAAGGTCGGGTATTTATGAAATCTCTTGTAAAGATTGTAATCAGAAATATGTTGGGCAAATTAGAAGATCAATATTAACTAGATTTAAAGAACATTTAACTCAGATAAGATATGGTAGACCGGATAAATCTTGCGTTGCCGAACATATTGTTGATAAAGAACATTGTATAGATCTTAATCATTTAAAATTAATTAAACAAATCTCAAATTACAGGCAATTAGATGCATATGAAAGCATCAGAATTAATAAATGTAAAGATAGTATGAACAGAGTCAACGGTCCAATTCCTTCAAGTTCTTTGTTCCGACTACTCTAGTGGCGGAAATCTAACTGTTACGCTCAGTGGGCTCTGACTCGGTTGGCTAGTTTTTGCCACGCCCACTCGGTGCCCACTGAGCTCAACTTGTAGATTATACTTTAGTTTATAATCATCTGCTGATGATGCTAACATGGTTAGCGAAACGCGCGTCCAGTGTAAAAGTGTTTTGGTGTATTGTGGTGATTTAGTGTTTTTATTTTGTTTTTGTTATTTCTGGTTATTTTTGGATACCGATGTATTTAAATAAACATCATATTAGAAAAGTAACACTATCAAAAATACTGTGATAGATTACTCCACAGCAGTATTTAAAGTATGTTTTAATTGTACCTCACATATAATTAAATCAAAATACCTTTTTTGACCAGGTGTAGCGTTCCATAATAATAATTAAAGCATAGATAACTAATTGGTTTTAAATACTTTTTTTTTAAACTACGTATATTTCCGGACGTAATAAGTTTTGATAGATCAATTAAATAAATTAATCTGTAAAAATAACATTAAACGATACCAACTAAATTTTTTAAAGAACCACTAGGGATACAATGGGGACTCTTAAGCAGGCTAGAAGACCTGGATTACGCAGACGATCTATGCATCTTTTCCCATTCACATTCGGATATGTCTCAAAAACTTCTTATACTCCAAGAGGAAGCTAATAATGTCGGTCTTCAAATCAACGTGGCGAAAACCAAAGAAATGAGGTCAAATACTCCCAACAACCAAGATCTATACCTCTCCAACCGAGCCATCGAAAGAGTTGATGAACTTCAGTACCTGGGAAGTATGGTTCACAGCGATGGGGGCACAGAGAAAGATATAGAGGAAAGGATTTTGAAGGCACAAAGAGCTTTTGGCATGCTTACACCTGTGTGGAACTCCTCTATATATAGCAAAAAAACTAAAGTCCAGCTCTTCAATAGCAATGTCAAATCTATTTTGCTTTATGGATGCGAAACATGGAAGGTTACGCGTGGTCTCATGGATCGCCTACAGGTGTTTGTTAACAAGTGTCTTCGAAGAATATTGAGAATTTTCTGGCCCAATCAAATTAACAACGAAGAACTGTGGAGAAGAACATCACAAAATCGAATAGATATCGAAATTAAGAAAAGAAAGTGCGGCCTGATTGGGCACATTTTGCGCAGACCCCACAGAGATATCGCTAGACAGGCACTTGAAGACCAAGGAATACCTGGAGAAGAACAGTAACCTCTGAAGCCCAAGAGGTCGGGAAAACATGGGGAGAGATCAAACAGACAGCTCAGAATAGGATCAGATGGAAACATCTCTTAGAAGCCCTATGTCCCACGAAGGGATGACGGGAACATATCCGTTAGCCTTTGCTGAAGATTCTGCGATAAAAATTCTGGATAGCAGAGCACATAAGATTATCACTGCGAGTCTCTGGGCCGCAAGATACACTTTTTATTTGCGAAAGCACTAAGGCTAAAACTGAAGGAACTATGCTCCCATCCTATCAAGGACCTGCATAAGCAGACATAAGAAAAGGGTAAAACACAATAGGAATTAGAATGTGTACAGAAAAATATTTAGGATATTTAATCTATGGCATATATTCAAAATAGACCAGTATTTTTTATATTAGCTATAACGACACAACATGAACGCACACATATTGCGTATAATTAATTTAATAGCAAATAATAACGAAATAATAGTCGTCAAAGTGTTTTGTTTTTTTACGTTTTATTGTTGCTAAACGCTTCACGACAAAATATTTTTCATTGCTCTCCTGGGGATTTCAATCGTTGTTGTATATTTTGATGTTTTTAAATTACGCATATTATTCTTAAAAATATATACACTTATAGATATATCACTGACTCGTGCAGCTTATGCAATTAGATAGAATAAAATCTGTATAAAATATAACACGGGTTCTTATACATTCTTTAAAAAAAGGCTAACGGAAGTTTGCTGCATGTGTGTTATCATATTTTGATGCATGTATTCCGCTCTTTACTTATTATCAGTATTATTAAATGAAGCAATGTCTATAAAATAAACTACGAGTAATCCAGCTGTTGGTATTTGCTGGCATTTTACGTCTCGATACAATGACCGCCAAAAAGTTTGAAACAAAAAATATTAATTTTTTATCACAATATAAAAGCTTCAACGAAGTAGGTCTCAAAATAAATTTAGCAACAACTAAAGTACTCTTCAACGAACTAGTAGACAGAAAAGACATTTGTTGTCCTCCTTTCACGCAGTCGAGCAACTCTGAACTGTCCAAGAACGCGATACTCTCACTCCATTCAATTGAGTCATAAAGTTCCAGAACTGTTCCGCGCCATATGGAGGTACCATCAGGCTTATCGCGCACCGCTCCTTTCAGAACCGTTCTCGAGTAGCCCTACCCAAGTAACATTTTCACGACTTGCAAGTAACATTTTCACGACCACATGTTTATTAAACACAACGTTGGATTAGTTACAAAAAATAGTTAGCTCCCTACCTTGGGTATTAAAATAAATTTAAACGTTTTTATAACGTTGTGCCGACGTTGGACTAGTACTACAGCAAAATAGGAAGCTTCTGCGACGTCGAATAAACGTTGTCTTGTAACCTTTTTTGCTTAAGTGATCTTTAGGTGATTCGGACAACGTAGTTACAACGTTGGACAATATAGAGTTTTCCGACGTCAGTTTCAGGACCTATTGCAACGTTATGCAAACGTCGTCTGTTTTACTAATTCCAACGTTGTTGAGATTTCCTTATTCTTACGTTGGTAGGACGTCGAGTCACTACCTTTTTGCAACTGTATTGAACCATAACCTTAAATCTTAAATTTTCACTTCATTGTTCTGTTCAGTCAGACAGTTCAGTGCTGTTTTTGTTTTTATAAAAAAAAACTTAATTAAAATGGGACATAAGAAAGGTACATATAAAACTAAATTTAAATATACATCGACATATATTACCGATAGTTTATCCACTCCCTCGTTTATTTAGAGAGAGGGCGGCACAAGCTAGACTCTAGGATGACTAAATTAGGCAATCTTGCGACTAGTATACTACCTGTTAAGGCCGAACTGCGACTTTATTAGTCCAGTATGCGACTACTCGAACTACTCCATCTTAATCTCCAAAACAACAAAGTGAAAGCCGCCATTATTGGCTTCCGTAATTATTTTAGAGAATAATTCTATTTAGGTTTATTGAAGAGCACTAAAACCCACATTCAAAAGAATAACTTCAGATATTTTTGATTAGCTCGTTTACGAGTTATCGCCGATTTCTTTTTAAATATTTCTCCTTTCTTGCGGCCCTGTATTTACTTATGAGCACCAGTCAAGGTAAAAGATAACTGTCAAATGAAGTTGTCATTTCAAAAATTTACCTATTTAGTGCTTTATTATTATTGAAAACTCATTCCTACATCGGAAATCTTAAAGATGTATTTATAAATTCAAATTAATATGAAAAAGTAAATTAAAGTAATCAATTACAAGGTTAATTATAGTATTATTAGAATATTCAATAACTTATTAATTTAGGTACTATTAAATTGTTAGAACTTTAGGATTTAAGATGTTCAAATGTTCCTCCATCGACCGCTAGACAATAACCCAAGCGATCATAAAATTCTCTTCTTGCATTCGCTAGTTGGTAAACTGAAATTCTATTGCATTCGGCAGAAATAGCATTTTTTAACTCGTCTAGATTTGGGTATTTTTTATCCTTGTATATCCTGTTTTTTAAATGACCCCAGAGAAAGAAATCATTTGGCGAAATATCAGCAGACCTTGCTGGCCAATTTACTGTATGATTTAAGCCAATAACGTTTCCGTTAAAACTATTGTCTAAATATTCCCGAACAGCCAGGGTACTATGTGCCGGGCAGCCATCCATTTGGTACCAAACTTCCTGATGTTCCCTCGCGGCATCATGTAAAGCAGGTAAAATATGATTGTCGAGTAGT